GGGCGAAATATAAAGTGAATAAGTAAGCAATGTAAATGAACTTTTGTTTCTAGCGTCAGCCCTATAGGCAAGGGTAGGTTAGCGTGCTTGTGGAGATGCCACGCTTCATGCATCTGACACGGACTGTGCTTTAGCTTGGAAGATCTCGGCCAACCACAAGTGGACCGAGTAGGATCAAATATCTTGAGCTGAATATAACCTAGTGCACAGCTCATACATGAATGAACACATCAAAAGTTGTACCATGGCATAAAGCCCCGAAGATACTCGTAGCGAAGGAGTCAATTAGGTCGATTTAGAAGGTTGGATACCCACTCTAGGCTAGTGTATGCAGAGGATCAAGTTGCCAAGGCTATCTGATAGGCACGAAAACGATGTAGCCTAGCGATGCCCCATAGGTGATATGAAGGAATGAATTGGCGTTCATGACGTTGTAGCCCGACGAGAGGCTCTTTGAAGGTCTCATATTCATTCAAAGAAGATTTAATGAGGTAGTAAGGGACTGACTATGTTCAGAGTAGTCAATTATAAGTACACAAAGCACCCTCATACTCAATAGAAGACAGAATAATGAGAAAAAAAAGAAATTATAGCGGAGAATTGCAGACCCGCCCATTCAGCCCTGTAGACCTCCCAAGGCTCCTCCACTCCGGGATAGGCCCGTGCTTACTCAGCCCCTGGAATCAAATGGATGAGAACACGTTGGCTTCCCCCACTGGAGGTTCCCCAATTCGGGCTTTGATCTTCATTTACTCTGCTTCTTTTTTAATATCACCTAGTCCCTCGATTTGGGCTTTGCTTTTCTTTCTCTGTGTTGCACAGGGCATGTATCTTTCTTAACAATAACAACAATTTCTTCCTTGTTTACCCCAACTTTTATTCCTCACCTGGCTATTGCAATTGATCCTGCTTATTGCCGTTGAGGGTGTCCGCGATCATGGAGAACGCCTTTCTCCGTACTCCAGCCGAGTCGCTGGAGCACTTCAAGGTGACCGAGCAGACCGGTTTGTCGCAAAACGCGGTTTTGAAGTCTAGACAACAATATGGACCGAACGGTTAGTCCGCATTCCGCAGAACGATGACCTCAGAACTAACATCTGCTGTTTACCTAGCTCTTGCGGAAGAACCTCCAACTCCCATGTGGGAGCTGATTTTGGAACAATTCAAGGACCAATTGGTTCTTATCCTCCTTGGCTCGGCCGCCGTGTCCTTTGTGCTAGCTCTCTTCGAAGAGAGTGACGATTGGACTGCATTTGTTGACCCCGCTGTTGTATGTGCTTGGATATTCTTCATTTCATGTGTTCTGTCTTGCTGACCAAGTCGTGCTTTGTTCACAGATCCTTACTATCCTCGTCCTCAATGCCGTGGTCGGAGTGACCCAAGAAAGCAGCGCAGAGAAGGCAATCTCAGCTCTCCAGGAATATTCCGCCAACGAGGCCAAGGTTGTCCGTGATGGAATGACCCGAAAGGTCAAGGCCGACGATTTGGTTCCCGGAGACGTGATTCAGATTGCTGTCGGTGACCGTGTTCCCGCTGACTGCCGACTGCTCGCCATCCAGAGCAACAGTTTCCGTGTTGACCAGGCTATTCTGACTGGTGAGAGTGAAAGTGTTGCAAAGGAGGTCCGGGCTATCAAGGATGAGCAGGCTGTCAAGCAGGACCAGCTCAACATGATCTTCTCTGGTACCACCGTTGTCAACGGTCACGCTACAGCTCTCGTCGTGTTGACCGGTGGCTCGACTGCTATCGGAGATATCCACGAGAGTATCACTTCCCAGATCTCCCAGCCGACCCCCTTGAAGCAGAAGCTGAACGAATTTGGTGACACGCTCGCCAAGGTTATTACCGTCATCTGTGTCCTGGTTTGGGCTATCAACTACGAGAACTTCAACGACCCCGCGTTCGGTGGCTGGACCAAGGGTGCTATCTACTATCTGAAAATTGCTGTCTCTCTTGGTGTTGCGGCTATTCCGGAGGGCCTGGCAGTGGTCATTACCTCCTGTCTAGCTCTGGGTACTCGCAAAATGGCTCAGAAGAACGCAGTTGTCCGGTCTCTTCCCTCCGTCGAAACTCTAGGCAGCTGCAGCGTGATTTGCTCTGACAAGACCGGAACTTTGACCACTAACCAGATGAGCGTCCAGAAGATCGTTTACCTGACTAGCTCTGGCACTGGCTTCGAGGAAATCGACGTCGAAGGCACTACTTTCACTCCCCAGGGCAAGCTCACCCAGAATGGCAAGGCTGTCGAGAACTTGGCTGTTTCTTCATCGACCGTCGCACAGCTGGCTGAGGTCACTGCCCTTTGCAACGCCGCTACTCTTTCCCACGATCCCAAGAGCGGAGTCTTCTCCAGCATCGGCGAGCCCACCGAGGGAGCCCTGCGTACTCTGGTCGAGAAAATTGGAACCACTGACATCGCCTTCAACCAGAAGCTTTACCGTCTCTCTGCATCCGAAAGATTGCATACCGCTAGCGCTCACTACGAGTCCCGTCTTCCCCTCAAGGCCACTTATGAGTTCTCCCGTGATCGCAAGAGTATGTCTGTCCTCGTTGGCGAGGGCAAGGAACAGAAGTTGCTCGTCAAGGGTGCCCCTGAAAGCATCCTGGAACGTTGCTCGTACGTTATTCAAGGCGCCAATGGATCTCGCGTTCCTGTGACCAAGACCCACTTAAAGCTTCTCTCCGAGGAAGTTGTTGAGTATGGTAACCGTGGTCTCCGTGTCATGGCCATCGCCAGTGTTGACGGTGTCTCTGGAAACCCCCTCTTGAAGAATGCCACCACCACCGAGGACTACGCCAAGCTGGAACAGAACATGACTCTCATTGGTCTTGTCGCAATGTTGGATCCTCCCCGCCCTGAGGTTTCCGCTGCTATCAAGAAGTGCCACGCCGCTGGAATCCGTGTTATTGTCATCACTGGTGATAACCGCAATACCGCCGAGTCTATCTGTCGCTCAATTGGTGTGTTCGGTGCCGACGAGGATCTTACCGGCAAGAGCTACACTGGCCGTGAATTCGACGCCCTTAGTGAAAGTGAACAGGTGAAGGCCGTTGAGTCCGCCTCCCTTTTCTCGCGCACTGAGCCCACCCACAAGTCCAAGCTTGTTGATCTCCTCCAGTCTTTGAACCACGTTGTCGCTATGACCGGTGACGGTGTCAACGACGCTCCCGCTCTCAAGAAGTCTGACATTGGTGTCGCCATGGGTACCGGAACCGACGTGGCCAAGATGGCCGCTGATATGGTCTTAGCTGATGACAACTTCGCTACCATTGCCGTCGCCGTCGAGGAAGGTCGTTCCATCTACAGCAACACTCAACAGTTCATCCGCTACCTGATCTCTTCCAACATCGGAGAGGTCGTCTCTATCTTCTTGACTGCTGCCCTTGGCATGCCCGAGGCTCTGATTCCCGTTCAGTTGTTGTGGGTTAACCTTGTCACCGATGGTCTGCCTGCCACTGCTCTGTCATTCAACCCTCCGGACCACGATGTGATGAAGCGTCCTCCCCGCCGTCGCGACGAGGCCCTTGTCGGCGGCTGGTTGTTCTTCCGTTACATGGTTGTCGGTATCTACGTCGGTGTTGCCACCGTCTTTGGTTACGTCTGGTGGTTTGTCTACAACCCCGATGGACCCGGCATTTCTTTCTGGCAATTGGTAAGTTTATGATGTTTCCAAGTATTATTAATGTGTTGCTAACATGGTCCATTCAGTCCCACTACCACAAGTGTGCCTCTCAGTTCCCCGAGATTGGCTGCGAAATGTTCAGCAACGATATGAGCAAGTCTGCCTCCACCGTGTCTCTCTCCATCCTCGTGGTGATTGAGATGTTCAACGCCATGAACGCGCTGTCTTCCAGCGAGTCCCTCCTGACTTTCTTCCTGGGCAACAACCCCATGCTCATCTACGCCATCACTCTGTCCATGCTCCTCCACTTTGCCATCCTCTACATTCCCTTCCTCCAGAACCTGTTCTCGATTCTACCGATGGACTGGAATGAATGGCAAGCCGTGTTGGTGATCAGTGTGCCTGTGATGTAAGTGCCTTGCTTCTGCTTCATCTTGAATATCCCACTAATCCATACTTCCAGTTTGATCGATGAGGTCCTCAAGTTTGCTGAGCGTCTTCTCTACAACACGAAAGCCGTCAACCCGGCCGCCCAGAAGGGTGTCGGTAAGCCCAAGCGGGCTTAAAGGAACTATTTGGGCGAGAGCCTAAATGCGACCCTACCTTCCCGGTTATCTGCCCGAGTAGGCGATATCCGGTATGTAATAGAGATAGATTACCTGATTGGCTGGATATTTTGTCGCGCATTGAATCCGAGACTGCGTCGATTGCCTATGCTATTCCCTATAGATCCTTGAATGAAAGATTTCTTTGTTGCACTTGTGGCTAGAGCAATATATCCTCGCTTCGTACGGAGTAGAAAGACCAGATTTGACGTGTCGATCTTGGCGTGCCCCCCACGTGTAGCTTGGAGGGCCGTGATCCCCAACCTTGCACAGGAATAATTATGAATGATGTGATGCAGCTGTAATTGGTGTCCTTGTAATAGACACGGCTGTTGTCTATTAAAGTGTACAGATAGCTTCTTGGAAAGCATAATAGGGTGTTTAGGGTAACATGCTCGGAGTAACATTCCACCAGACACGGGAGAGGATAGCCCGTAAAATGACCGGAATGCTATCCCGCATGTATATAGCGTCTATAACCCATGCAACGCTGACGCCACCCCAAGGGTCTAAAGCGGGGATTTTTTTCGATCAGACCATTTGAATTAAATCAGAGTTACCTTCGAGCCTCGGTGCAACTCCGTGTTGTAAGTGTTGATTGGATGATGATCGTCGTTCTCCAGGGATCATCTGGGGCATTTCCCCGGACTGGAAAAGTGTGGAGTTTGCGGAGAAAAAGGGTGTCACCTTGATTTTCTTGTTTACTAGTTAAATAGCCCCTAGGATCCCTTCGATCCCTTCTATTTTCCCTTGGTCCTTTTTATATCTCAAGATGGGCGTCAAGGAATTCCTCAAAAACCGTTCGGCCTTGCGCGTTAATAATCGTACGACTACATCGGCCGCTACTTTAACTCTACGACAGAGTCTCTGGCCATTGACTCTAGTCACGATCTTGTTCTTCTTATGGGTATGTTACATATCGTTCATACATTTTGTCTATACACAATCCTCCTAACACTTCAATTAGGGCTTCGCGTATGGTTTGCTGGATACTCTGAACTCCCATTTCCAGAAAACCCTACATATCGACCGAACCCGTTCAGCCGGTCTTCAAGCTGCCTATTTCGGGTATAATCTCTCTTCATAAACCACATCCATAAAAACCCTCTAACAGAAACACAGTGCATACCCCCTAGCCTCCCTCGGCTACGCAAACTGGATCCTCCGTAACTACGGCTACAAAACCGTCTTCATCTTCGGTCTATGTCTTTACGGTATCGGAGCACTATGCATGTGGCCTGCAGGACTAAACCAATCCTTCGGCGGGTTCTGCGGTGCAACATTCGTTATTGGATCAGGTCTCGGATCGCTTGAGACTGCAGCTAATCCCTACTTAACCGGTAAGACACACATTCCACACAGAATCATACATACAGTAGATGCTGATCTCCGCCCCTTACATCTGTATAGTCTGCGGACCACCCCGCTACTCAGAAATCAGAATCAACTTCGCCCAGGCTTTCAATGCAATCGGCACAGTCGTCGGCCCCGTCCTAGGCTCGTACGTCTTCTTCACAGAAACAGAATATGATGTATCAGCTCTGCAGCGCGTGCAATGGGTTTACCTCGCTATCGGTATTTTCGTCTTCCTTCTCGCGGGTGTTTTCTTCTGTTCCAATATCCCTGAAGTCACGGATGAGGATATGGCATTCCAGGTTGCGCAGACGCATGTCGATGAGCAGGATAAACCTTTCTGGAAACAGTACAAGCTGTTCCATGCAACTCTAGCTCAGTTCACTTACACAGGTGCACAAGGTATGTCTATATCCCCGCTTCTCATTTTATACTCCAGTTGTATCAAACTAACTCTTCCAGTCGCTATCGCCGGCTACTTCATCAACTACGTCAAAGATACATGGCCGGGTACATCGAGCGCCACAGCAGCGAAGTATCTCGCCGGCGCACAGGGCGCATTCGCAGTCGGTCGATTCCTCGGTTCGGGAATTATGAAATTCGTGCGTGCGCGCTGGGTCTTCCTAGTTTATTTGTCATGCACGGTTGCTTTCCTTGCTGCGTCGGTGACGCAGACGAAGCAGGTCGGTATCGCCATGTTATTCCTGACTCTCTTCTTTGAGTCCGTTTGTTTCCCGACTATCATGGCACTGGGTATCAGCGGTCTCGGACGTCATTATAAGCGCGGCTCTGGGTTTATTGTTGGTGGTGTTTGTGGTGGTGCTGTTGTGCCGCCGATTCTCGGTCATGTTGCTGATATGCATGATAACACCGGGTTCGCGTTTATTGTTCCGACTATGGTATGTTATATCTGCCCTTGGATTCGAGGTTGTGTTGGGTCGGTTGCTAATGATTGCAGTTCATGGTCGTCGCTTGGACGTACGCTATTGCTGTGAACTTCATTCCGGCGTATACCCACACCGTGGATAAAATCGGTGAAAGTGATGTTGGGCTTGAGAGTTCGAGAAAAGATGAGGAGGATGTTATGGGTTCTCATATTGATGAGAAGCACCAGGTTGTTTATGTGGAGCGGTAGATGGGTGTCGTTTGATCTGCTTTCAGTATCCCTTCCGGGTAATGGTTAATGACTTAATGGGTGTTGGTATTTTTTTTGTTATGTTTTGCTTAGGATTATTTTCTTTATAGAGTTATGGATGACCAGATGATACAATGATGCTTGCCAGAATGACTGTGGTTTTTGAATCAAAACTTGACATTCTTGAACGGAGTAGTAGATTGTCATGTAGAGCTTCCCTCGCTTTAGGTAGCTTGTAGTGAAGTCTGAATTGGGAAGCTTGGTCCTCGACACCGTTGGGGTTCAAGTATAATGTAATGTTCAACAAAATTGAATGCTCAGAGTAGTCAAATCTAGTCTCCAGACCTTTACTATATATATAGTCTGACATTTCCTCTTTGGTATCTGGGTGATTTATTCTTTGCTCAGTTCTTATCTAGATACACTACTGCGAAGAACCGAATAAATATATAGATTTACTTGTATTCACGCTCAAAGATCACATGTCAATTACACCAATCGGGGTGCAAAGTCTTAGAGGGACTAATTTGAACTACGCACCCTTGCTGGGGTTTATTGGTAATCGAAAGACATACGAGAGGACCCGAAATCGCAAGACAGGCAAGTGAAAAGAACAAGAGGAAGGAAAGGAACGAGGAGCATCGGGGGAGAGAGTCCACATAAGACAAGTCCTGACTCCATTTGTATTTTGACGCTATACCAACCTGGTACCCAGATATATAGAACCACAAGTGGGTATTACTCACGGCTCGATCCCTCACTGGTTATATTGGGGTCTGGTCCGTCTATTCCGAGATTGCTCCAACTTCATCGGTTGAATCCGTTCAACGCCATCATGCTTGAAAACGGCCCCAGGGAGACCATAGCCAATATATACACTTTTGAGTTTTAGCAAATCTATATCAGTAAGACTTGCTAATACACATAGAATAAGAGTGACTGTGTCTGAATGGTCCGCGGGTCTCTATGAATTGTATGCTATCGAGTTTGATTAGAAAAGAGACTAAGAAAGTGTGAGTCTCCTTGGGGGACATACAATGATAGTTCTCAACCGGGACCTTGGGCCACCTTCTCGGCAACGATTGTGTCGATACTGGAATTCTTCCCATGGGCTACCAACCCAGTATTCCCGGTAAGTTAATGCACGGCTTGGCTTGGCGCATTGCGGTTTGTCTCGCCAAGGAGGATGCGCTCCATCTTGTATTCACGGTCTCCACGTAGGGCTTTGTACTGCCGGTCGACCGCTCTGACAATAGAGTCCAAGAAAAAGACTGCTCCCAAGATGAATATTGGGGAGTTCTTCACGTTCGTATGCGTCTTCAGTGTCAGGCTTCCCACTTTGTTGCGTGTTTCCGGCCGACCAGTGGGATGCTCCCGCGGGCGACCACATTAAGAGGCAAGCCATGGGACGCTAGGATATCACCGGAAAGCGTGGCGATTCAAGCAGACCAGAACGAAGGCCTCCATACGCTAGACGAGTACGAAGAAATGAATGTCAGCGCAGCCGAGCAGGAAGGCACCGAGGTCTGTGTTTTACTCATCGTTGCATTATCACATGGATTTCAAGAGTGTTTGATCCGAAGGAGCAAGCCATTTGTATGCTCTTCATGCTTCTTATCCTTTCTACCTCGTTCACGATGCGAGCTATTCCAACGAGCCACAACGCACGGATATCTTCGGGCAGGGTGTGAAGCAGCCAAAACAACCTTCACCCATAACCTTGTCAAGTCGGCACATGAAGGAAGAAAGATATTTGTTGAGTGGGCTAAAAAATCGAATTTGCCACAAAGAGAGGTATGAGCTGGATGATAAGGATCTCGGCTTTTTAGCAGCGTTCTTGTTCGATCATTCATGACACCCCGAGAGTAGAGAACGTAGAGGGCTCAACCAAAGAAAGGTTGCCGATAAGCACACGTGCTCACTGTTTCGAAATTCGCTGTATTTTACCTGTGGAATCATGGAAGGGAGGGCACTCGCATCTTTGGCAGCTTTTTTGGTGTCACATTGCCCTCTCGGAGTGCCGGGTGAAGACGAGATATTTTGTGCGGACCATGTCAAAGATCGCAACGTCGCATTGATTTCCTTGAAAGGTTTCGATATTTTGTACTTGGATTCGATGGCACTCCACGAAGGGCTGTTTGTGTGTCCGTCAGCTTTTTTGATGTACGATTGCTATTGAGCATCATATCATAGTTGACTTAGTGTGGACGAGACTCGTCAAATTGTGGCATGACCAAGTCGTCATCAAGTACAAAGCAAGCCGAATCCCCGGGATGAGAAATGGCAGAGGTGCAGGTAAATTGTCGCGCTATATCCAACTTTTCTTCTTCAAGAGCTGGGTTTTCGATCTTATTCTCGCCGTAGCTTTTCGAAGATGGACAAAGAGACCAACGATATGATAGTATGTTTGGATTATGTCGCTAACTGTCTGGAGCGTTAAAAGAAGACAAGCAGGTAGGATGTGAGAAAAGACGTCAGGATTATTATCATTCCAACATGAAACTCTTTATGTAGGTGAGAATTCCTTTGATGATGTGCCAAACAGACGTACTCAAAACACACAACTGTTATATAGAAATGAGGGGATATCAAATAGACGGCAACCTTACCTCGATGTCTTTGTTCTTCTGTCAAATCCTTTCTTTTCTAGTATTTCGCTTTTCGTTTTGCTATCATCTCTGGTCTTCGGCGATATTCGCGAACCCCCTCCCCGGATGACTTCATAAACATGCTGGGGAGTTTCAGTCAGCATTCGGGAGAAAGGTGAGACTTATGGGAGGAGGTTGATATTCTGCCAGAACCACACGTAGATGGTAGTGATGGTAGCTGATAGAAGCTCGTGTGCTCAAGGCTTCGCAGGAAAAGCCCCTCATGGTCTGATCTGGGATGAAGCAAATCGTTATCTTGATGGCTCCCAAATCGTCGGGGATCACAGTAAGATCTTTCAGAACTGAGAATTCGGTGAGCACGAAGTGACATCAACCCTCTTCCCCCATTATATATGAATATGTAGCTCCAAGCTCTCCAGCAAACGGGATTGCTGTCGTAGAGCTTCGACATATCTTTGTCTAGTGCACTCTTCGTTCAATGTTCTTCATTTTCATCAGGATCATCCTTCTGTATGGAGCTTTCACGGCACGAGGATCCTACATCCCCGGAGGCTGAACGAGCTAGTTTCACAGTTCAGCGACATATAGATATCATCTTGACGACAGTCTCCAAATTGAGAATGAAGTGAGTTTGAAGTGAGATGGGTTATCTTCAACTGTGCCATGTAGATGTTCTGTATCCATCCATAGGACAGGACAGTGCCTGGAGGGGTTCCATATATATCTGTTGAGAATACTCTTCGCGTATGTCATCGTATAAAGCAACACATCCATCCATCATTTCTGATAAATAATACTTGGTGCACTTTATATAGAAGCCAGATGCCATATAGGAATTTTTGGCTACGGCAATGTTGACAAGTGAGGGGAGGGAAGAAGAAGAAGAAGGGGGGAGGAGGAGGAGGAGAGATCTGTGATTCTCTACAAACAAACGGAGGCTAACTAGTTAAACATCCAGCGATAACCTGACAAACAAGGCCTCAAGGGGTCAAAATCGTCAACTACTGATAGCGGGCAACATGTTTGAGATATTGCAAGCTCCGTGGGAAACGCGAGTTGCTTTCTCGAATCGATCACTCCCTCCTTCTATCGAGACACGCTGTCTCAGCAACAGTTCTCGATTAGCATCACCGGAAAGCATATCGACTCGGCTGGCGCCCTCCCAAGTTGTCTTTCCTGGGACAAAGCCTTTTTGTTTAGAGAACTTGCCGACTTAAAGCCAGGTGGATGGGAGTGGAAGCGGGACCCTTTAGCACCGAGAATGCGGCAATGTTAATCCTCTACCCTCATGGCATGTGCATATGCAACTTTAAAACTCTCTAGTGACGAGGATTGTGATAGTAGAGCTTTGACCTACATTTGTCGAGTTCTCGAAACTCGGTGAGAATGGCGTCGACGGTCTCTTGACGGAGTCTTTGTGGCATGACTAACTCGTCATCATGTAAGGGGAAGATCCAACCTCCAGAAAGCTTGGGGATGGGAGCTACGAGACGTGTCGGTGGACATGGACGGTGGGAAAGGGGCTTGAAGATGGGAATGGCGGGAAGTAAGAAAGAGGTGGAAAATAAGTTAGCTGACCTCATTTCTCTTATGGAAGATAAATATTCAAATCCAAACTCTCGAGTAAGCAGTATGGGCATTTGATTGTATCCACGTACTGCAAATCTAAGAGCTCTATTTATTCCCTACTATATATAGGTCTTAGTTATCTAGAACAATGCGTGGATGGTTTCTGTTTATTCATTCAGCGGGCTGTGGATGTTTTAGACGGGGATTTGATGTTTGTTGCGTCTGAGGACGTGTTGGGCCTTGGGAGCCATAAGTCTTGAATCTTGCTAGCGAGTTCGAAAGATGAGAAGTCAGACGAACAGACGAGCAGTGGAAGTGGCCAAGTTATAGTTTGGGGTTAGGGATATCAAAGTTGTTATTGGTCTATGCAATTTCATGATGCAAGTATTCTGTTGCTGAAAAATCCAGCAAGATGATATGGGACAAAGTTCTATTGAGACAGGGGAATGCTAGGAAAAAGCCACCAAAATCAAGCGAGGGTCGAATCGTCACGAGGAAAGGAAATGTAAGCGGGAAAAGCGCTTCATGGAGGTAGGAAAATGTGAAGGAAAAGGGTGGAAGAAAGGGAATAAGAAAGGCATAGTTCCAGTTATGGATCCAATATGCCGGAAAAGAGACAGTCCAAAGGAAATGAAAAACGAGAACGCGCTGTGTAAGTGGGGGTATAAAAGATCTATCGTCTAACCAAACATAGGAATGAGGGATCGTGGGATGGGCAAAGAAACGCCCGAATATAATGCACATATGGGAAATTGCAAGGAAGCTGTCGGGTTGATAGGGGTATCATTCAGCGACGCCGATTTTGTCTGTGGCATCGGATGGCGAGCGCAAAGAGGAGGAACGAGGAGGCCGAAGGGGACTGGTCTCGAGGTTTTCAATAGGAGCGAATGGCGTTCTGCCGCTTGTGGGAGATCCGGGTTCGTTTCCTGGACGATCATCGGAGATGACAATATCACCTGGTGTACCAGGTTCGTCAAACTCATCGACTTCTTCAATTTCTTCCTCGATCCCTTCGACATCTTCCTCTTCCTCGATAATTTGGCTCTTGCGTGCAGCAGGCCGCTCTGCCACAGCGTCAAGACCACTAACAGTCAGTGGCTGGCCGGGAATGGGGGAGCTGACTGCCCCAGTAGACATTATCAAGTTAGTAGTATGGATCATAGGACCCTTAAAGAGAGATCTCTTTCGCCTAGCAAACACCAGGCTTGAAGAAGGCGAGTAGAGTAATGGCCCTGGTACAGCCTCATTGAATGATGACGACATCTGACCTGGATGGTCCGCAATCTCTCGAGGTGCTCCGCCTGTCCCTCTAACTAGCCGAATATTGCTCGGAAAACGGGATGAGGCACCCGGAGTGGTGGGCAGGACTTTGATAGATGAGTGAGGAGATTTGGAGGCTCTGGCAGTGGGCGTCGAAATAGTATCTACACTGTTGGAGGAAATCGAAGAGGCCTTGGAGTGAGCACGGGCGTGATGAATGCTGCGGATCGATGATACCGAGGAAGATGTGGATTTGCGTCCTCGTAGTCCTGCTGACGAACGTCGATAGGATCCGCGTGGTGTGATAGGTGAGGGCGAGAGTGAGTTTCGATGGCTATTATGACCGGTGTTCAATGGTAGCGGCTGGCGAGGGTAAGAGTGGCGGTTTTGGCGGTATGAGGCACTGCTAGGAGCGAGGCTGCTAGCATTGGAGATTCGTTTGACCTGGGTGGGTGTCACAACATCTTCCCCTGTAACCTCGCTTGCAGAGGATGACAAGGTGGCAGGTTTCTTTCCAGTATCTTGACTCTTCGCTGGGCTCAACTTATCGGAAAGGAACTTGCGCGAGCTCGTTGACTTGGCATGGGGAGACCTAGCTCTCTTCGCCGATTCTACAAACCAGTGCTTGAGAGACGCTAGCTGGCTGAGTATCGGATACTGGTGACGGCGACTAGTGCGACGCCGGAATATACCTTGATGCTGTGTCAACTCCGGCTGGGACGCGCTAACATGCAACACGCTGGGCCGTGATCGCCGTCTGTCTTTTGGCGGCGGAACTGGGCGGCGTCGTGTCGAGTTGTGGGAATGTATAGAATCTTTGTCGAGCGGCAATGGTGGCGTGGTGACATCGATTGGGAATACTGGAAGCGGTTCAGGAAGCGCAGGAAGATCCGGCACTGCCAATTGGGATGGCAAGCTTCTTCTATCCCGTCTCCCACGATCTCGCAATCCTGAGCCTTCTTCCTCCACCTCCATTAAAGCCGATGATCGCTTCTCTAGACGACTGCTCGCAGCACTTAGACGACGGAGGGTTTTTACTTCGACATCCCGCTCACGACGCTTGCGCTCTCTTTTTCTTTCCTTCCGTTGCTCTTTTTCAATCAGCAGGGCCCACCAGCCAGCCAGTGGGTCGCACCGCTGAGCCAGGACATTTTCAATGACCTCGTCAATATTGACCCCAGCGCTTTTCATCCGCTGCAAGGTAGTCTTCTCTAGTGGCGTAGTAAATGGGGACGGTCTTGGGATTTTCAAAATTGCAAGCTGTTCAGGAGCATGTTCCGCAAGGAAAGGATGAGCCAGGATCTCGTCTAGGCTGGGTCGAATCAAAGGCCGCTTGGACAACATGAGATTGATCAAAGCCTTGGCATCGTCCGTGAACTTTTCGTTGAAGGTCGGCTCGTCTGACAATATTCGCTTTTTGGTGATTTGATCGTCATCGTCGTCGTATGGTAGTTCGCCTGCCAAAAGCGCATAGAGAATGATTCCCAAGCTCCATACATCCACTTTTTCACCCGCATATTTCTCTCCTTTCAGCATCTCGGGTGCACTATAGCATATCGTCCCACAGAATGTCTGAAGGTAGCTAGCTTTTCCTTCATATTCACGCGTAAACCCAAAATCGCATAGCTTGACGTTTTCTTGTTTATCCAGCAATATGTTTTCCAGTTTCAAGTCACGATGCACACATGATTTACTGTGGACGTAGGCGACCGCTCCCACCAATTGTGTAAATATCCGCTTCACCTTTTCTACCGGTAGCGGGCCGTGTCGAAGGAGGTAGTTGTAGAGTTCATCGCCTGTAACAAACTTTTGTCAGTATGTTTCTCCGAGGGTCTTCTGCCGTGCGCAAGCCAACGTACCGGGACAATACTCCAATACCAGCCAAACAAGGCTCTCCGTCACCACCACTTCGTACAACCGCGCGATATGAGGATGTAGGAATTGGCGATGGTGATGGATCTCGCGCACGAGATTGGTATCCTCCTTGCTGGACGATTTGAGCACCACCTGCCGACTAATCAGCATTGCCTCCAGGACTTTGTTCTTGATTCGCATGACATGACCTACCTTGGAGCCATTGGTGAGTTTGTGCGAAGCGAGATAGACCTTGCCGAAGGAACCTTTTCCAATCAACCTCCCCAGTGTGTAATTCCCTACTGTCCGAAGGTCCTTGGAGGAGAACTCCCTGCGGAGAAGCACCGGGTTAGCGCAACTGGCCATCTAAACCGAAACCAAAGCGATCGCTTACTCAAGGAGTTCATTGTAGGAGTTGGCAAGCTGTTGAGAATTTTGAGTTAGCCATAATTCCACGGACTCTGCGCAAGGCTCGAGAGGCTCGAGGCTTGAATATAAGAAGAGTTCCCTCTGTTCCATGGCGCACCTTCTCCTTTTGCTTTTGGCTTTGAACCCCCGCTCTTGTTCGGGGCGGCATATGTTATGATTGCCAAGTTTCGTCGAGAGAGTCTCTGCGCGTCAAGGGGTGGAAATGGTTGTGCCGCGGGTGCCATTCAACGGGACCGAGATACGCGGATAAGCGGTATCCGGAGCGATCGAGAAATTTCAGAAAGGGGTGCTCGGAAAGATGGCCGGATAAATAGCAAAATTTGAAAGGGGAATTGCATACACAAAGGCCGAAGATTCCTAGACGTCAACGGGAACGTGGACCGTGTGGAGAACTCGGGACTTGGACTCTCCTTTTTTTGGGGGGGGATTCCGCTATTATTATCTTTATGTACAATATACAATATCCCGCTATTTCAGGAAAATTGGACTCCGTTCCTGTCTAGGAGTCTGGGCATGACGCTGTTTATAGTCCTCGTAACTCAATTGGCTAGAATGCCAGGCTTCGACTGTAGTCCTGAAACAGCCAAACTATTCATGATCGTCATCGAAAATATGGACTGTTAATGCCTTACTGCCTAAATTGAACCTGATCCCTTACTTGCGTATGGTACATGTACAACGTACGACACCGACGCCCGATTAATTTAGTCGACTGCACCTATTGGCTGCCGTGTGCTGACATGAGCCAATTGGGGAAATGGCTGAACAACCATCGTCATATTATATGCACTGGTATTATATGCTTCATCGCCACCACGGCAGCGATTCAAGATGTCGCACTGTACGTTCACTGGAACCCATCGTGGGATCAACGGGGCTGAGTCCCGCCTCACCCTGGAAAGCCAGGGACACCATGCCAAAGTATGAGTGAAGAAGGTCTATAGGTTTGATCAGCAACGAAGTCTCGATAACAGCAACGCAGTCTCGATATCAGCATGCGAGCAGCTTACCAGGAGGATCCCCGGGCCCCTTCCCAAACCCACCGACAAGATGTTGGGTCTTTTCGAGCAAGTATCGACGATTGCGAACTTCATCGACCACGGAATACTGATCCAGCATCTAATATCCGCGTTAGTAGACATTCACTACTAAACAAGGAGTCACCTACCATCAGTGTCGCTCCATTCCAGAATGAATAGCATGTGTCTGCGTATTTATTGCATCGGCCGTTGAACCCGGCGCATGATATTGTGTCAGCCTCGATGGGTTGAACATTGGGTAACCCGCGGACTCTATCGTCGAGAGATCCCGTCTCTGCCACCTCAAGCTGTTCATCATCCTCATCCTCGTGGGGTTCCTCTAGCTGCGTTGTTTGCCTCGAAGCCAGCCATGTAATCAAAGCCTCGAATTGATCGGAGCCTGCCGATAGTAAGGGCGGTTTTAGATCATTAGAGGTCCGGCGCAAGAAGTCTAGAGAGCCAACCGCGCAATAAGTATGCCCACCTATAAGTTGTTAGATGAATTCAGCTGGCGAGAAAGGGAGAAACAAACTATGCGATTCACAGAAAGGAGACTCAGCCATGCCACCGTCGTACGTCTGTTTCGTCAGACTGTCAGTATTTCAATCGAGAACCGAACCTCAAGGTTTCCACATACCTGGCACGCCTGAATAAAAGAAACGAAACCCAGCACGTCAATATCCGGTACACCCTCAAGCCCTGTCTCATTTCGTCCGCGCAGGATATACCGTATGCCGGCAGCACAGCAGCAGTATCGCAAATCACGAGCCCCCCTACACGCCCCTCAGGACCGACAAGTTCACCGAAGCTTCCATCGGCGCGTTGGACTTTGGGAAGCCACTCAAGACACCCCCGTCGCTTGACACGCGACAGGTCATCCCCGAGGATGAGCAAGTTGACTAGCGCAAAGAATGTCGCGGGGACATTAGCTGGATCCCAAGCTTCATTATCCTTATTTCGCTTTTCTGGTCCAAAGTCTGTGCCTGGGAAGCCACGGAATCCGCCCGAGGGCACCTGGCAGTGGTAGAGCCAGTCGATGTACCCTTGTTTTTCTTCCGGTGTGGTTTTGCTCTGGAGAACGCCGAGCACGTCTAATCCCGAGAGCGTCAGGTAGGCGAGGAGCATGCGATTAGAGTCATTGGAAGTATAGGCGGACGGGAGGAAGGTTTTCAGGCATCGGAGGTAGTATTTGACATGGCGCTCTGTGTTGAAGGTTGGGTTTGGGTCGGTCATTGTAGAGGACGGGTGTTGGACCACTATGTAGTATGACAAGAACTGGGCGATATTCCAGTATTATTTATCCCATGCAATTCAACCAGCGTGCATCAAGCGGTAAATCAGATCCAATCAATCAGCGCAATGTTGTGTTGGTGGGGGAATCTCGACTCGAGCTGCTTTTCCCCACATGTGTCGCGGCCAAAAAACACTCGGACCAACTCTCCAAGTTATTTCCGTGCCTGTTTAGACCTTCTCTTATCCACTAACTTGTGCCATTGTGACTCGCTCATCATGGTTTTTATTTCATCGAAGACCCTTATCCAGGCACATGCCGTGTTTCTGCTTGTCATCGCCGGTTACCTGATCAAGAGCCCGGAGGTGATCACCGACTGCGATCTAGTGTTTATGATGGGAGAGGCCTTGAAGATTGTACGACATCAACATTTTCGATTCACAAGTTCATTCCTACTATATTAGCAATGAATCTGCCCAGATCGAATTGACTGCTAACACTCATGATATAGGACTTCCCATCCCTGTCAAGCCCGCAACAATCCCCCTTTACCTTCTGTGCCATACTCATCTTCGTCGAGGCCATGATCGACCTTGTCCTGCTGTCCAACATTCCCTTCCACGAAGCTCTCGATGAAGCTCTCCCCTATATCCGGCCCCTGCGAAATGGCAACCTCCCCGCCGAGGATCTGCAGGTTCTGCAGCAATTGCCCGAATATATCACCAAGTCCTTGACGATTTACTGGAGCGTCTGGATCGCAGTTGCTGCAGCTCGCTTTGGTGTGTATGCTGGCATTGCGTTCTTTATTTACCAGGGCAGAGGTGACCACATGGCCTCGTCTTACACAAGCGCTGCGGGTATTGGAGGCCTTGATCGCCTGAAGAACCGGGTAGTCTTCAGCTTTGCTTTCTTCGAAATGATGTTTTGGTTCTGGGTAAGTCGAACAGATTTGACCCTGTCGGTTGTTTATCATGCTAATGTGCTATTCTATAGAATTTCGCGACCCTCCGTGAGGAACGCCAGGAACGCCTGACCAAGCTGCTGGAGGATAGCCGTGAAATGTGAACATTTCCACTGGTTCCTTAGTATTTCTTTCTACAAGTGTATTATTACTATGACATATCCCATCGCCGTTGAAAAGCGATGGCACTTACACACCGTGTACCGGATCAATTAAAACTATAACGTGGATAAAATAAGGCACAGGTGCATCCTCGGCCAGTTGTCGTGCTTCAATTCATTCCATCGTCATGACGACATTTCAACGCTGCTAAACATACCATCTCCCTCTTGAAATTACGCAGCACGCTTCATTCTAGATCAGAATGGCGAACGCAGCCGCAGCACCAGCAGCAGCCACGAGCGAAGAATCCTTGTGTGTCAGCGCAGCAACGCCAGTGCTAGTCGCAGCAGCAGAGACGGACGAAGCAGTGGAGGCACCGTTCGAGGTCTTGGTAGAAGTGTTTGTGCCCGTCAGACTAGTCGAATCCTCAGTCTTGGTCGCAGCCGAGGCCTCAGTGCTAGACTTGGTTCCAGTCTCGGTGGAGTTGGAGCTAGTGCTAGCGCTGGTGCTGGTGCTAGAGTTGGAGCTCGACTTGCTGCTCGAGCAGACAACCTCGGTAGGTATATCGGTCACACCACCCCGGGCACAGATTGACTTGGCGACCTTGATGGTTGCTGCGGTGGAGAAGAACATATTAGCCCACTGTAGATGTTCTGCTATGCTTTGTGCGTAGTCGTTTGAAATAATCTTGTACTTGCCTACTCAATTGGGGATAGAGGGGAGAGTGTAGAACTTACTATCCTGGTCCGCCTTGGAGCATTTATCAGCGACGCAGCAGGCGACATCGCCCAAGAAGGACTTGGACTCGCAGATACACTTGAAATCAATGCCGCAGTTCTCGGGGATTGAACCTGTAGCACATGATTTCTATAGAATGGATTGGTTAGCAGGCGGCACATCTGACGCAGTTGTGTGTTGACTGTAAACACATACTGAGCAGTCGGGCAGATCACCCAAGCCTTGAGCAGCAGCAGTGGACAGCAGAGCTGCCAGGGCGAAAGTAACGGTGAACTTCATCTTTGCAGATATGGGGATGTTGGATGAAGTGAGTTATTGGTAGGGAAGGAAATGTGAGAGGTTTTGTTCTCCAACTCAGGCCCCCAGGTCGTGGTAATACACCAATAGATATGTCAAAAATACACTAATACGCAGATCAATCATCGGTACATGTATTTCCCCGCATAACCTTCCAGGTTTGGGCTTGGGTTTCTCCGCAAATTTCGGTATAGAAGTATTTTTTGAAATGATTGGATATTAAATATCAGAACTCCTGGGTATTTTACATAGGGGGTATTTAACTGCTCCACCCCACGTCTATCTCTCCCTCTTTCTATGTCAAGTAGTCGAGATACCTACCAGTGCAGATGAACATTATAGAAAGCAAAGATGTCCCCACTTCTCAGGCTTCCGTTGAAATCGATAGCGTCGGTGATCTCCAGAACACGCAGCCAATATTGAAACTGGCTGTAGTGTCCCTCACCGACCCCTTCATATCATCCACTAGTATGACTCGCCGCCTGCACCGTTGTGAGGCTGACCAACTATGGGCGGATAACCGTAGGCAGAGGCATCTTGCTCGGACGGGTCAAGATTGAGGTTCGACATGGGGTTTGCGCCTTCAGCATTGGGGAACCCCGCTGGACGAGCTAGTCCAGGTGCAGCTCCACCCTGGCCGCCAACCGATCCTCCAGCTCCATATCCAGCGCCATCGCTTGGGGGTCTCTGATTGTCGCCGCGGGCTGACTGGGTTTCACGGTACTTGGATAGGTAGATCTTGAGTGCTTCAGCGTAATTCTCGAAGCCAAGCGAGGTCATGGCGAATAGGATGTCCTCGCCGTTGACAGTTTTGCGCTTCTCCTGTTGGCACTTCTCCGATGCTTCACTCGTGATAAATGAGATGTACTCGCTCACACATTCCTGCATGCATTCCTTGGCTTCTTTTGCGATTTTCGCATTTTCAGGAAGAGCAAGCTTCATGATACGAGCCACATTGGCTATCGGAAGCCACCGATCCTGTTCCTTCACCTCAAACTCGCCTTGGTGTCCATGCGCGTCGTGGTGATCCTTGTCTATGTGGTCTTGCTCTTCTCCCGATTGCGCCTCCGGGTCAAGATCGGGTTCCTTTGAAGGGGAAGTTGACGACATAATGTAAATTGGACTGGATAAGTGTGGTAGACCTTTGGTTTTGCGTCAATGCTTGTGCTTCGCGTGCGCGCTGCACAGTAGTCTCAGGTGAGGAGAGCTCAGTAGTTGGGATTTGGCAATGATGCGGGCTATGTCGCTTCAGGGACGAGGGGTTGGCTTCAATATAGAATGCGATCACGTCGTAGCTGCGGTGGAAATAATGCGCTTGATAACTTGGAGTCTAGCTCTGGAGGCCATTGATGATGTGACACTGGTGGTCACATGACCCATCACATGACCATTTTATGGTCACGTGTCGGCAGAGACGGGAGCATGGAGTAAATATAAGTCCCTTCTCTGTATACATTTTTTGTATCGATGAATATTGTAAACGGCGATGGCTCCTTTTTGTATGTGATCTTACGGTATCAGGACCTAGACCAGGGGCCGTTGCTGTAGACCCAATTGATACATAGGTCTTGAATGGTTTTAAGACTCCACCATCTCGTATTGGTATTTCCTATAATTACCTGGAAGGTCCGGGCGTAGCTGTGGATACTGTTGTTTGTATTGTGGCATTTATTTAACCAACTATATTATAAGTACAGACCTCCCATCACCTTGCTTCCAACATTATTCACTTCCACACCGTCTATTGTCTATTCCATGACGATCATTCGGGTTGTACGGCTTACACTCTATACCAATCACAAGGTTAAAATGGGAAATCTGCAAGCCTCCGGTCAGCATTAGTGATTCTACTCCCTCCAGTGGGCCAGTCCCTGATCTCAACAAACTTGTGGGTTTGGTCCTGCGTGCTTCAAAGGAAAAACGGGTTCGAGCTATTTCATTCTTGCAGAGATCTACCTGCACCTCGGTCGAAGATTCAACGCTTAACGAATGTGATGCCTCGGTCCAAGCGCGCCGATCCAAGCTTTTCCCCCAAGGAACTTCGTCAGTGGTCCAGCTTTCCCCGCGTTCTGGGCGTATCGTATATACTGCACATGTACTAAATTATAGAAGATTTGTGGTTGGCTTAAGTATCGTCTTAATGGAGTCTTAAATGGAGACTTACATGTATATCGTACAAGAATTTGGAATTTGCCTCTGTCACATTCAAACAATAATCGCAATGCATGCGGGCGGGTTACGTCCACACTCGGGGTCTTAACTAACATATCGACCGAGCTCCTTCTCTTTCCCAAGTTATATTTTAGGACTATAATATAGTCCTAAAAATTTGAATACTGATCTTTGTTTATATCTACGATTTATTCCTATTGGCGAGCTTTTCCACGTAGTCTCCTTCGGATGGTCGAGACTTAGTCTGAGTTGGTATAGTCCGTACCCCTCCTGTCTTTGTTTTACTTTTCTATTTAAACCGCTGCATTATCTCCAAGCGCATCACCCACAAGCGCGTCGTTACTGCAATCATGGGTCTTGGAGTACTGGAAGATACAAAGCTCGCGCATGTCCCAGGTAATATGCCCCTTCCTTCGCCTAGGTCCAATCGAACCCAGCGTGGCTCATCACAACTTCAAAACCACAGGCACCTCCGATATCTATGAACAAAACAGCGATGCGAGCGACCAAACCCCAGGTGCCTCAGGCCTCAAATGCGACTGGTCGGGCAACCAGCCGATTATCCTCGTCCCGCAACCGAGCGATGACCCAAACGACCCATTGGTATGTTTCAGAGAGATTTGCGCCCCAAGACTTGGTTCCACAAGCACAAAAGACCTGATCCAACCGATCCCATTAGAACTGGCCATTATGGCGACGCGATATGATCCTTGCCATTCTCTCCTTCGTAACCATCCTTTGCACAACCCTAAGCTCCATCCTAGCGGCCAATACCGTCACCATCGCAGACTACGAGGAAATAACGTTCACGGCAGCCGCCCTGTTGACTGGGTATCACCTATGCGGTGTCGGCGTGGCGGGCATTCTCATTGTTCCAACGGCTCGAGTCTGGGGGAAACGTCATCTATTCCTAATCGGGCATGTCTTGATGATTATCAGCTGTATCTGGGCTGGTGTTAGTGGCAAGAACGAGAATAGTCTCATATGGGCACGGGTATTCCAAGGTGTTGCATTGGCGCCGTTCGAGGCATTGGTCAATGCTTGTGTTGGTGACCTTTATTTCGTTCATGTGAGTCGGGCCTTATTTTCCCAAATTTGAGATACGAGGAAATTAATGGAAATAACACAGGAACGAGGGAAGCGAATGGCTGTATCCAATGTCGCACTATTTGGCGCAGCCTTTCTGACACCTGTTGTAGTGGGCAAGATCACCAAGTCCATGGGATGGCAGTGGTCTTTCTACTTTGTAGCAATTTTCCTCGGCGCTTCATTGCCACTGATGTTCTTTTTCGTGCCCGAAACTGCTTTCCGGCGCTCTGATTACTTGAATACCGATTTCAAGCGAACTGGCGGGCAGGGCGAGTCCATGGAGTCTCATGCTTCGCTCAGTGAGGTTTCCAATGATGATACCAAGGAGCTTAGACCAGAGTCCGCCGGTCTAAATGGAATTCCGAGAGCTGAAGCCGCGACAACAGTCCCCAAGAAGGATTCATTTGCTCAATCACTCAGGCTGTTTAATGGACGGAAGACAGATGAGAGCTTCTTCAAGCTGCTCCTTCGTCCATTCCCGTTGTTCTTCCATCCAGGCATCCTCTGGGTAAGCAACCCACTCCGAATCTGACTCCACGCACTGATTAAAGTCTAGGCTTGTCTGATCCAAGGCGTCATTATCGGATGGGCGGTTTTCGTGGGTGTGGTTCTAGCAATCGTGTTTCTCGGACCTCCAATGTGGTTCGAAGAAGACAAGACTGGATATCTCTACACAGGTGCCTTCATCGGTTCCGTTGTTGGTCTCATCTTGTCTGGTCTGCTCTCTGATTCCATCAACAAGTTGATGATCCGGCTCAACCACGGCAAATATGAACCTGAATTCCGGATCCTTTTGGTGATTCCCCAGCTCATTTTCTGTGGCATCGGACTCTACGGGTTCGGATGGACTGCAAACAATGTGATGCACTATGGCTGGCTATTGCCAGACGTCTTCTTCGCATTCTTGATCGTCGGCATGGTAATGGGGGCCGTTGCTGCTTCACTATATATCGTCGATGCCCATCGTATGTGTACTATTTGACCTCGTGTGGAAATGATTGCTGACAGTACTAGGCGAGATGGCCATTGAGGCATTTACCTGCATGCTGGTTTTCAAAAACATGTTCAGCTTTGTGCTGACCTTCTTCGCCTACAAATGGTTTGCCCACGGAGGTATCAAACATACCATGATTATCATAGGTAGCATCCAAGTGGGCATCTGCCTGTTAAGTATTCCGATGTGTAAGTTTTACCAAGTGTGCGGAATTGATCATCATCATCCAACTGACTAACCCGTGCCCCGGTATAGATGTCTTCGGAAAACGGAACAGGTCCTTTTTTGCTCGTCATGACATCCTCGAGATGCTTTATCTCCGGTAATATGCTGGCAATACCAGAAGTCTTCAGCAGTGCAGGGAGCGGGTATCTATGATTTTACACGATATGAGCGATAGAGCAAGCATATGCTACCAGACTTTGCTTATTTTTACGGAATTTAATATTACAATTGTCTGAATCACATTTACATTTCCACCTGGACTCGCTAGGTGACGTTTAACTAGCGGGCGAAAATGGACACTTCTACAATAGTGTTGTCCTGAGAGCCAGTTTCTTTTTCGAATAGTTCATGAAACACGGTGATAGATCTAGGGCTCGATGGACAATAAACCTGACTAAATAATGAGAACCATAGCACCTACCAATGAGAACGCAGTCCAGACAGCCGTGAGAACTCCAAGCTGAGGGGGACAGAACCTATACCCGGTTAGCTAATATGGACCAAGTAATCCGTGAATGACTGTGCAATACGTACTCTTCCGAACTAAGACCAATAAATCCACCCCAAAAGAGCCACTGCGCAATCCAGAGAAGGAGCATGCTGATGACCGTAGCCGCATACCATCCCACAAATGCTTTCTGGGAAACCCGGTCATGTTGGCCTTCAACAGAGCAAGCGCCATACACCGTGTAATCTCCTTCCTTGCTCTTTATCAACGGTGTTTTTTCTGAGTCCCCGCTTTCCTCAATCCTCGATGTTGTCTGCTTGCCTCTCTCCCACTCTGGTGAGTTCAATCTACCAGATCCACTCAACCTGTTCGTCCTACGCGTGGCCCGTACTAACAGAGCGATCACCGCGCTAACGATAATAAGCCACATGAGTGCTCCAGCATACATGGTTTTTGCACTTCCACTCCTCTCCGCTCCTTCCATGCCTCCAAAGTAAAAATAGTGGTTTTGACCATAATGAACGGTCATAAGCATATAATATGCTGATAGAGACTGGAGGATCAGTTCGGTAGATAGCGAAGACGCTGCCGTGAAAAGTTTCATCTCTCCAAAGGGTTGTACACCAATCAACAAAATCGGTAGCCAAGTAGGCCGAGGGATCGAGCACCAGAGGAACATCGATTGAATAACGGGAACGTTCTCATAGCCAGCGGTTTGTCGAATAAAAAGAATATTGAACCAGTTTGCTATGAGTTGTAGAGCGGCGATAAAAGTCCCTTTGACAAACCAAGGCCACGTGTGCGAGTCCCATAGAAAGCGGCGTGCAATTTTATGTATGCCTGTTCTTTGACCGAGAAATACTGCAAGGAAAGTAGCTATATTGACTAGAGCAAAACTTGCGAGCTTTGACTCATTCGAGGGACATGTTTCCGTTTCCCTGATGTATCCCCGACTGGGAGTATGGGTAATGTCTGAATCGTTGGAGGGCTTTAATGCCCAGCGCCATGGAATCATCTCGAGTGTGGTGGGGACGGCTAATTGACGCCAATTATCTGGCAGGCCGTGCCAGTCCTGCACATTGCCACAAAGGTCATGGAGCCACTTGAGATAGTCTATTCGAGTGTCGAATATCTTGCACAATCCTCCGCAGGAATCGTAGCTGATGTCGCGGCAAAAGCAAGCCCTGTCAATTGCGCGTTTGACTTTGCAGTAGCCACCGGGCTCGCAAGCATCGGTTGCACACTGATCAGGAAGCTCGATCACCTCCTTCGGCATATCCGCGACACACATCGGCCAGTGCCAATCTTCGATAGGAATGTACGCAAATTGGGTGGTTTTGAGTGTGTCGGCCCAGTTCTCGGGCAAGGATGTCGACCCACAGGTGGCATTAATCCAGAGACGCTCCTTCGTGAAGTCCAGTTGTCCGGACCCTGAGCAAGGTTCCTTTTTAAGATCTATATTGAAGGCGTTGCAGAAGCAATCTTTATCAAAGTAAACGCCATCCCTGATGCGATGCAGGACGAGATCGTAGATGCGACGCTGGACAAGGTCGTAACCCACAGTTTCAAAATCCAGAGCGATCATAGACCGTAGCCTTTCACTAAATTCCCAAGGACGAGCAGCGTTTCCAGTGTGTTGAGTAGTGCTTGTGAAACCACAGGAGGCCATGACATGTTGAAATGGTTCCATCGACAAAGCAGAAACCGAGTCGGTCAGACATGTTGGTGCATTATGAATCACGTCAACGGCAGCGTACCCTTCAGCTAGGGAGGCTGGAGAGAGATTTTGCAACCCGTTTGTATCCCCAACATCAACAAGCCATGTTCGCCCGGTGATCTTCCGAATCCACAGATACAACTGCGCTTTGGCGAGAACTGATCGACCACAGTATGGGAGATAACTTTCGATGATGTCGGGGGAGAATGTAGTGCTGAGACAGCTGAGTTCAGTCAGCCATTGGTGGTGGGTGCAGATAAATCCAAAGTGGGAGGTGCATCGTTTGCTGGTGCATTTTGTCATGGCACGCAACCAGGTGGACTGATCTTGCTGGGCGATGCACTGTGGCATAGGGGCCAGATCTTCTGGATTAACCCATCCATTGCGGTTGCTTTGGGGTAACAAGATACCGTCTTCCCCATCATAATCAACGGTGGTGGTATGGATCGCTTCCGCAGTATCAATGTTGCTAACGATAGATGGAGGCAGGAGGAAGCTGCCTTTCGCATCTACCCCACAAACCCCCATCAATAGCACAAGATACGTGGAGATTTTCATCTTGCTGTCAAGGCACCGAAGTTGTGTGAACGGAACTCGGGCCCTTTCTGCGAATGATACTCTGGCGCGGGGCTCGCCGTTTTAGGCAGCCGATGTACTCCAGGGCTTTTAGCGGTGTGCTCGTTTCAAATGTTCTTTTTTTAGAGACTTTTAGCCTCAAGATACCTTGGGTATTTTTTGAGATATATTTTCTCTTAGATATTAGAATGATAAACTATAGAGGATGCATTCAAATGTATAGAATGGTATTATAAACCGTACTACAGGCAAAATCTACATTGGCGCACTCGCGGTAATACTTAGGCTGCCGTGGCTGAAGGTCGCTTTGTATTGTCAAGTCTATGGTTGTTTAGGAGAATAGTCTGTTTTCTCTTCTCCCCCTTCCTCCACTAGATCGTTCGTTGCTGGTCTGGAGCCTTTCTGTCGCCATGACATACCTCTTCTTTCTAGAAGATATAGCGGCGGTATGGTAAGAAGGGCGAGGGCTGCAAAGAGAACAAAACACCATCCTGGACTAAGCTTACTAAGAAGCACATCTAGCAGAGCAAGCATACCTGCAGACTTGTCACATAGTACAAAATTATTCGCCGCTTGGGTTGTGGCGGGGAATTCAGGATAAAGGTCGACGAGTAAAATGCTTGCAGAGGTAAAGAAGACCTGCATGCTAGGGCCAATGAAAAATTGAAGAACAAGAAGTACGGCCATATGCTTTTGTTTATCAGCCAGGCTTTGATTTATCCGCCGTTGCAATTCTACGAGCTGCTGCGACTCTCATCTTCGGTTCAGCCATTCCGATAGTCTTTCCCTTTTTACAATCTAGACTCTTCTTTCTGTAGGCAAGACTACCACATCAGAGTATACCTTTACCAACTCAGGGCCGACTACTACGAATCCTCATGCTTCTAATCGTACCCCGGGCAGTTCGTCGTGCGGGAAGACGTCTCTGTGGCCCTGATGAAGACTCCGATGTGGCCCGAGGCAGGACCTAGCAACATAGTAGCTATGGACCTCGCTGCTGCCATTCTCAGAAACAGGAGCGCACGAGTTGAAGAATATTCATTTCCACCTGATGTTAACAATACTGCTGCTCTGGAGCGAATACAAAGTGTAATCCTCCACGGTGAGGCTAAAGCTTCCTTTCTCAAAGAATACCGGGTAGACAAGACAAACCTCGCGGGGGGAGGGAATTATGAATGATCGTTAAGGGACAGGAATCACCTGGAACTTATATCGTGTGTATGAGCCTCATCTATGATAATAGGCCTTTTTCCTCACGTTGACATGAATATAGTCGAGAGAACGGCGAGGGTGCGAAGCGCCGGGGTGAACGAGCCACGGCAGCAGCCAGACCCAATCGAAAGCCAACACGTCAGTCTGGCTAGTCCAATATCCCAGTGTGGACCAGATCCCACGATATGTGGCATTCGCGGACTGCAGTAGTTGATTAATTAGGCGCCTTAGTGGTTAGCGTATGAATTTAATAGGCCAAGATGATATTCGTCCGCATCCAATATCGCCCGCATTTCGCAAGTGTCGACAAACATATTGCCCCACAGTAAGCTGCTATGGGCCCAACTTGGTCCCGCCCATACTGCCGATATTAGAAGATTAGAACTGGAAACAAATGTCTGAGCGGAGGGACGATCTACCGAGTTTTCTAAACGAACGCCGGGTTTAGACACTTAGTACTATGGAGGCCGCGAGCGATACTTTCCGGTCACTCGGATGAGCGTTCTAATCTGGTCTGCCACCTCTAGCCTACTAATTATTACCGATCGCTTTCCAGTTCATATTGTTCAGACCCACATGAATCTCGCGCAATTTTCTCGTGGAACGGTGGAGGCCCTTGGCGAAAGGAAAAATGGTACGTTGAAAGGCCTCCTTGCGCTGGAAACACAGTCTCTCCAGAAGCGAAGCGCCGGGCGGCCCCCCAGATGCTTAATCCGCCCTGCCTGGGGTGGTCCCGCGATTTGTATCTGTCAAAAGGGACTCCATTCGCAGAGCTCATCTTAATGGACTGAAGCTTGCTGACACTCTCCAACTTTGCCTCTACAGTGGAGACGACTCAAATCAAAACAACGTGGCCAGACTCCCCGACTGGATGACTTGAATGATCAGGTCAACTCGACATGTGAGGGTCAGAACCAGGGCTCACCGATATCTACTTCCTTGGAACAATCCCCCAATGTTCGACGACGGAGTTCGGGTGTAAGCGAGCTGTACATGGACCATGGGCCGTTGGTGACATCCAAGCGGACATCGGAACCCACTGAGACTTCTAATGCGTAGAACCAACTATTTCCGTCAACATCTCCAGAGCGTCAGCGGCGCCGCTCGCAAGATCGCCGAGATGACCCAATGGGTCTCACAGTTCTCCACGCCCCAGAGTCAAAACACCGGACCGTGGACATCCTGTTCATACACGGACTCGGAGGCACTAGTCTACGAATATGGTGCAAGAATCGGGACTTGAAGTTGCTCTGGCCCAAGAATTGGCTGGCAGAGGAACCAGACCTGTCTACAGCACGCATCTTGACGTTTGGCTACAACGCAAACTTTGCTGCGAAGAAGGAGCAGGCATCCTTGTCGATTGGTGACTTCGCCAATGACCTGCTCTTTCACATGAAATACGACCAAGATGGTGACGAAAAGATGGGCGAAGTCCCAATCATAATCGTCGCACACTCGATGGGGGGTCTTGTGTTCAAGAAAGCTTGTATGTGATCGGATTTGGAGGAGCTTCAGCGGAATTATCATGGGTGAACGAGCCTACTAACCTCAGTGGTAGACATCCATGGGCATCTCAACGAGCAGTATCGCAAAATTACGTCTAGCATCAAAGCTGTTCTCTTCATGGCTACTCCGCACCGGGGGACTGATCTCGCAGAGTCCCTAAACCGGATTCTCACCAGCTCCATTTTTGGGCATTCCCCGAAAGATTACGTTAGAGAGCTCACAAAAGGCAGCACTACTATCGACGAGCTAAATGATACATTTCGCCATCATGCGGCAAAATTGCAGATATTTTCGTTCTACGAGACTCTCACCACCGCGGTTGGACCGATGAATGTGATGATTCTAGAAAAGTATTCGTCCGTGTTAGGCTACCATAATGAGACTCCACAGCCTTTGATGGCAAACCATCACGATGTGGTGAAGTTCTCCAGTCGGAATGACCCCAACTATAAGTCAGTGCGAGGCGCCCTGCGCAGCATCGTCAATGCGTTCCGGTTTTCGAAAATACACGAGCATGATACCGAGAAAGATATCAAAATGATCCAAAAGTGGCTGGGAGTGACGGGCCCGCCGGAAGAGGACTTGGCTTCACTGCAATCAGTCTGGAAGGCAGGAACATGTGAGCATCTGCTGCAAAAGCCCAAGTTTGAAGATTGGCTCGATTCAGATATTCCCCATATTCTCTGGGCACACGCTCCTCCGGGGAGTGGAAAATCGATCCAGTGCTCCTTTGTAATCCAATCCCTTCAACTGCGCCGAGAAAGGTGTGCGTACTGGTTCTTTAAGGATGCCGATGTTCATAAGCGTTCCCTGAGCAACATGCTTCGCTCAGTGGCCTACCAGATTGCGGTCGAAGATGAGTCATTTCGGCGAGCTCTTATGGAAGTTGTCAAGTCAGGCATGCGTGTCGACAAAGCGGATGCGCGCACAATTTGGCGAAATATCTTTGCTTCTAGACTTTCAGCCATCAGTACGGTGATGTATTGGGTCATAGATGGGTTGGATGAGTCGGAATCGAGCAGAACCTTTATCGATCTCATCTCAAATATTAGCACGTCCCAGAGCAATATCCGAGTCCTTTTCTTCAGTCGTCCACTGTCAAACATCAACCAAGCTATCCAGAGAGCAAGGAGGCGAGTTACCATCACAGATGTTGCTTTGACAGACAACTTGGAAGACATACGTCTCGTGGCTGCAGATGAAATGGATTCCTTTCTCTCGGGCGATGAGTTCGAGGATTTTAAGCACGAAACCATTGAGGAAATTACGTGCCGCTCGCAAGGCAACTTCCTGTGGGCCAGTCTCATCCTCAAAATTGTCATCAATTGTCATCGCCAAGAAGAAGTCAAACAGGTCCTACGTGCCACGCCGGATGGCATGGACAAGCTCTATCATGGAATGGCTGAGGCCATTGCAAAGATAGACCGCGAGGAGAATACAACTCTTTGTAAGATACTTCTTTCTTGGGCCATGTACTCGACCAGACCTATTGAGATAGAAGAAATCATGGAGCCCTATTCCACGGAGCTCCACACAGTCATTGATCTCAAACATACAATCAGCGAAATCTGTGGTCAGTTTGTGGTCATCAACGCCAACAATCAGGTCGTATTGGTCCACCAGACAGCTCGACAATACCTCAGAGCTTGTACCAGGCTTCCATTCTCGCTCGATGCATGTGAGGTGAACGAAGAGCTCCTATTTTAGTGTCTAAAATTCCTTTGCGATATGTCTCTAAGAATCAAAATCCGACAGCGCAAAACTCCCATCTTCGTTACGTGTGCGTCGGTTTCCTGGGCTCTTCACCTGAATCGCTCGTCTGTTGAACCTGACAGGGTACTTAACATCCTTGTTAAATTTTTCAGCGGTAATTTTCCATTACCTTGGGTTCAGTTCCTAGCTATGAATGGGCATCTTTCGCATTTGGTGGCAGTATCTTCCCATCTCATGAGCTTCGTCCGGCAACGAAGGAAGGTCGACGCGATCAAGCCGCCACCACTGCTTCGCTTGCCAGAACTGGCGTTGCTGGAGACATGGGCTTTGGATCTTTTGAAGATGACAGCGAAATTCGGGATTCATTTGAGCGATGATCCCAATGCTATCTACAAATACATTCCTGCCCTCAGTCCAGAGAACTCGGTGCTTTACCAGAAGTACGCAAAAAAATCATCATATACGATCTCTGTCTCTGGTATAACAAATACAGACTGGGATGATTGTCTTGCTCGGGTATCAAATGGTTCTGATTCTGCATTGTATATTGCAGTGTCGGCGGAGTATCTTGCTCTTGCGAACGGCCGACCGAATGGCAGGATTCGGCTGTGGAGTAATGCCATCTTCCAAGACCACTCTGGCTTCAATCCTGGCGAGCCGATATGTTCCATCTCTTTTAGCGACTCTGGCTCGCTCCTGGCCTGCTATTGCCTGGATAATACGTACGTGTGGAGGGTAAGTCACCGGACTGTCGTCGCCAAGATCGAAAGCCCCCACCAGGAACGACCAAAGTCTCTGAGGTTCGGACAAGACGAATCGTTTCTCATCGTTGCTACTGACTTTCGTCGTGTGTATCGACTGGATTTTGATAACAATACCCCAACATGGCTTACCTATGGCCCCTCTCTTCTCCTGGAAACTTCACTACCCGAGGGAGCGTTTGTCAATACCCCATCCTCGGTTGACTTCAGCCCAGATTGCACACAGCTTGCTGTCGCCTATCGAAACTTCCCTCTGGCCGTTTGGAATATTGACCCACCGGAAGTTATTGCCAGGTGCAGACAAAAGGAGAAACAGGGACAGACAACGAACACAACATCCTGGACAGGTGTCAACCGTGTGGTCTGGCATCCCTTCAGTGGCGAGGTTATCGGAATCAATCGTGACGGCAATGTCTTCAAGTGGGGTCCGATGGACGACAGCTACGAAGAGGTGAAACAGGAGTCAGATAACACGCCATCGGATATCCAGTGTTGTCCCAATGGCGTTGTCTTCGCCACCAGCGACGTGAGAGGCTCAGTCAGAATTTACGACTACTCGCATATGATTCAGATGTATAAACTAACTTCGGATTCTATGGTCACGAATATTACATTTAGCCCCGACAGTCGCAGACTCTATGATCTGCGTGGGTCCTGGTGCAATGTATGGGAGCTAAATTGTTTGATCAGGATCAATGACACCAGCATAGGTCCATCCGAGGAGAGCGAGAGCGTGAATAGGTACGAACAGAAAATAAAGACCGGCTGGGTCTCGGAACTAGACGACAACAACGGCTCCATGATCTTGTTGCCAACGTCCGAAGCGTATGCCGATACCAAGCCGCCAATCACGGCAGTGGCAAACTGCGCGAGGAACCAGAATATCTTCGCGCATGCCACAGAGGATGGAAAGATTGAGATCTGTGATATAGAGACCAAACGCAAACACCTCATTACGGAATGTACTTTCGGCATGGATATTGTCCACTTCGCCCTGGCCCAGTGCGGTGAGTACGTTGCGTACTGCTTGCTTGATGGGCATGTCACGGTCAGGAGCATCGACTTGTCAAAACCGGAGAAAATTTCCACGAAAACAGTCTTTGCGGAGACAAAGTCTATCAGCCGCGGCCATATCAGACAGATTCTTTTCGACAGCAAATCTGAGCGACTGTTAGTCTGCGGCACAGAGAGACTTCAGGTCCTCTGTCTCGCAGACAGTAGCATAACTGCTGAGATAGAAATCGACCCCTCAGATCCACCTGCACAATGGGACAATCACCCAACAGATCCGACTATCCTACTGGGCATAACAATGGGCAAAGTTAATGCATTATCTTGGGATGCCCTCGAATACAAGTATACCCTCTCGCAAAATCTTGTCGGCGACAGCTCCGATAGTCAGTCGGCACCATCTCTGAAACTGGAAGCTGTGTCGCAATCATACCACCCCAAAATGCATCTCGCAACCACGTCCGAGAACACCGCGAATGGCAGGCGTTTTCGCTTTCTGCTACTGGATACCTCAGTGCTATATGAAGATCAGACGGGCTCCTCCTCTTCTGATGCGATCAGCGCTGTACATATCCCGCCTGCTATTGCCGAATGCATGGAGCAGCCGGTTGGAATTCTTGCAGATGGCCGTCTCGTCTTCCTTGACAATGCCCTATGGGTGTGCACGGCGCAGCTATGGTTACCATCCACTCGCGGGTTGGAAACTACAGTGATAAGACACTTTTTTATCCCTCGCGACTGGCTGAATAGCGCGGGGCTAGGGCTATGTAAGGTGCAGGCGGATGGGAAGTTCTTGTGCCCCAGCAAGGGTGAGATGGCGGTGATTAGGACCAACATTGGGACAGACTGGTGAAGCACGACACTTTGGGTAGGGTCATGATACGTTGAATTCCATGTCTATACCCGGGAAGTAAAGATACATACGTACATTAAAATACTACATAATAGTAAAATTTGCAGTCGTGTAGCGCATTCCAACAAAATACTACTATATAATAAAATGCTTGGCATTGAATGCCTCATTATTAAGGCCGCAATTGCCTATTTCAGCCATGCCCCACCATTACTCCTGAAGTGTTATCGTCATTCGAATGAACGTGGAGGATCAGCATATATAGCGTATATCAACGTGGATCCATGTAGATGTTAGAATTTCAAGTCCTCACGTCACCACCTGAAAATGAGACTCGGCTCGTTCAAATGCGGAATCCTTCACTCCACTTAGATCGTTCACTAGCGCCCGTATGAGATCCCCGTAGCTCCGGGGCAGATCGATCTTCCCCAACGATGATGCAATGGCTTTCTGATCGACGTCACGGGGATGAAAGAAGCTTTCCGGACTTCCATTCCACATATAGTTTTGTCTCTGCTATCCTCTTTTCTTTTCGACTTCTTTATCTTTGTTCAAATATGGCGACTGTACAAGTAACTCGCCAGCCACGGCTAGCAGATGATGGTAAGATCTACATCCATTATCTCCAGCTGATAGCTAATCTCACGTGAAATAGCCGCGACTGCTGCCCTATATGTGACACACCCTGAACGCAGGGCATCTCTCCGCGCCCCGACCGCAACAAAACCACAGAACTTGAGTAAGTCTCATCCCTAGATATGGGCGAAAACAACCATGCTAATAATGTGCTCTGCGGCAGACTCACACGCGGTTGGTGGTACCCGAAAGCTCAGCCACGCCTCCGCTGCATCGGCGATCGCACACGCAAATCGCAAACCTGTCGAAGTATGGCAGCCCCCGGCAAGACAGCCTGCTGCCGAGAAGGCTGCACTATGCGTGAAGGACTATGCTCCGCCCCAACAACCCAAATCCACTACCCAACACAGCGCGGAGGGGCTGGGAGCTGCAATGCTCGCTGTTCGTGAGCAGAGAGCCTCGGTGAGCCAGGCTTCTGCATCCGCTGCCAGGCGTGGCAGCTCAACCGATCGTTACCACCATACAGCCGTCGGCGGCAACCCGAAGGACAAGGCGCTCAAGGCCGCATCGGGCGCTTACACCCTCTCGCGTAAGAGAGCCGACTCGGCACCCAGTGACGCAGGTGTTACCTCCGAACTTCCATATGACGCTTCAATTGGCGCATCACGATATTCTCGTGTGGAAGAGGAGGACCCCCTTGACCACTTAGACCCTTCTCTCGAATCAAGCCGGGTCCGACACATGTCTAACACTAACCCGAAGCTGTACACCTCATCGCCACCTGTCCAACCCGAAGTGGAGGAACGAAACAACAAGAACTCGCAGCGCGCTGCTGCCATCTCAATGGCAAAGGAGATGTACAAAGTCACCGGTACTAAGCAACAAACCGGTGAATCTCCCGCCGTCCGAGCAGCCCAAAAGGGACAAAGTCAACTGGGCTACCGCAAGACCGTATCCACTGCAGATGGGTCTGCCCTCCGACGTGCGATTGCCCTACAAGAGGCAGCGCAAAAGCGAGCCGCCGAGAAGTTGGCGCTTATGCAGGATGAGCATGCAGACTACCAGCTATATTATGGCACTGCACCTCCACCACGGTCGCGCTTGATCACCCGTCGCAAGAGAACTTCGAGCGATACGGATGCCTCTCAGACTGACGCAGAGCAGTCTCGGCAAATCCGGAACCAGATGACCAGCCTGCGGAACAAGATGGGCCACGTAGAGGATCGTCAGACGCAGGATCGTGAATTGCTTATGCAAGCTGCCCGTCGCAATGTGGACCGAACCCTCCAGGACATGGAGGCGCGAGTTTGTGCGGACACCGGTCGCGCTCCGGCTTCCGTACAGAGGGGGTGGGATGAAGCTGCCCAGGCACGCGTGCGACGGGAGGCGGAGGAATTTGAAGCCGTTAACACCCAAGGGGATCGAGTGAACATCGGCGGCCAAAAGTATATGGACATGGCCGACGTCGATGCTGTCGCTCGGTCTCGCCTCCAGCCTGCTCTTGATGAGATTACCGAGAATGCTGAACAACGGAGGGCCAACGAAATCGAAGCCCGTTTGGACGCTGAAGAGGAGGAGAGACATGCTGCTGTGGAGCGTGAACGCGAAGCTGATATGAGAGAGGTGGAGAGACAACTGAGAGGTTAGTCACCGAGTCTTTTCCTCCTGCAAGATATCCTCTGACCAATTTATTAGGAACAGGCAAGCGCGACAAATCCGAGAGCAAGGTTCCCAAATTCTTTTTGTGGCGGAGGAAGGGCAAGCGAGCTCGGGTTGAGGAATCTGAGACCGAAGAGGCCCAAGCTGTCTCGCCTGTTACCCAAGGAGCTGTATTAGAGCGGCCTCCGAGTACAGCCCCGGACGTCAATGCGTCGACGGACACTATCCCCGAGCAAGCTTCTATTGTGCCAGAGCCGAGGGAGACCATTCCCGATGAAGCTTCTGTTCAAACAGAAATAGCCGCTCCCGAAAGCGTCGCAGCCGTCTCATCAGCCCCAGAGACTGAACCTTCAAAGCCCGATGAAAACGATGTGCCAGTGGCAATCCCACGGCGGCCGACACGAAGCCAGACCGAACCCCTTGACCTCGAGCAGCGAGATGCAGCTGCCTCCGGTCCATCAGTTGTGCACTACTTCACGCCACCAGTCACAAGCCCGCGTGCCGACACCAAGCTCAAGAACTGGTTCCGCGACCGTCTCGTCCGCCGCTCCAGTGGCCCAGTCCCCATCTACCCCCATCAGCCAGCTCCGGAGTTCAACACAGACAGTGAACCCGCCTTCCAAGGTGGAGCCACTCTCACCGGCCGCGACGAGCCTCGCGGCGCAGCACTTGGCTCACACCCTCTTGGCGAAACTATCCCGACTCACAACAGATCTTCAAGCTACTACAGCAACGACTTTGATGTGAGCAAGATTAACAGTGCCGACTCTGCCCCGGGGTCAACCAAGCAAAATGGCAATGGCAAAAGAAGGAACCGTCTGAGCAGGACGTTCTTCAAGACCGTCTCCGATAACCATGATGAGTCGAACGACGGTGACTCACGTCGTGACTCGGGGATTCAATCTTCATCTCAGGATGTCGAGGGCGCTGACGCTCAGAGTCTGCGCGATAGTGCTAATGGCCAGGGTCTTACTGTGCCACCTACTATCGGCGAGACGGTCAACGGAAGAAGAGAATCTCGATTCTCCGAAATTCTGTGATTCCCATATTGAATGTTGATGTGTATTTGTATTTGAAACGTTGACTTGATGTACGATTTTTATTATTATTATTTGGATCTTACGGGTGGTTTACTGGCGCTTTTTGGAACTTGAAATGATCTGTGAGGATATGGGGGTGGTATTGTTTACTTTGATAGTAATTTCGGTGCTTCGTATATAATCAATCTAATCCACAATGTCTTTATCAAACCCTACCAACATCATTGAACATGTCTTTCAAGGTGAGCAATAACCCGCCTGAGCGGATCAATCACAGCCTTGTCTCCCGATACCTCCTCCCCATCCAAATCAATGAGCTCCTTCACCTCAAACCCATGTCCCTGTCCCTCCGCACGCTCAAACGAAACATCCACCCCAAGCCCCTCCAAAGCCCGAGCCACTGCAACACTCTGCTCAATCCCAACCAACTCATCCGCATCTCCATGCAGAAGAACCGTAGGCGGGAAATCCTTATCAAACCCAAACCTAGCAGGGAAAAGCACCCGATCTTCCACTGAAATCGCCCCAAGCCCCTCCCCAGCAATCCTCGCCGCCAACCCAGCCTTCCTGGTAAGCACATCAGGATACTGCGCCGCCTGATGCAAAGCCCTAATCCACCCAAACCGACGATCGGCAGGCAGGTTCGTCGGAAACGCATACCCATCAATAGCATCGTCCCGCATAGCATCCTCGACCTCCTTCAAAGCTTGCGCTTCATCCTCGACTGGAGCAACAAGCGGCTGACCAGGATGGATATACCTCTCACTGGAAGAATCCATCATTCCGTAAATGGAGAGCAGAGCGAGGGGCCGCGGTGTAGCGGGGTGCGCGGTAGCAGCGAGCGCTAGATATCCGCCTGCGCTGGAACCGGCGATGATTACACGCTTGCTGATATTTGCATTCACCCAGTTTACGGCGTCTATTGCGTCTTGTAGGATTTCCAAGCCTGGGGTTTCGGGCAGAAGACGGTAGGAGGCTGTTGCGTATGTCCAGCCTCGTTTTTGGCAGGCGTTTATTAGCCAGTGGGGTGGGAAGGTTGTTTTATCGCCTAGGAACTGTGACGTAGCTTGTGAGATGGCTTGTTGCTTTTCGGTTTAAATGATGTTTTGGACTTACGAGGAAGCCTCCGTGGAAGTGGAGGACGACGGGGGTGTTTTCGTCTTTGGTTGGTGGGGAGAGGACGTCGATCTCGAGTGAGAGGCCGTCTACGACTTTGAAGACATGTGTGACTGACATGATTGCGGGATTTTTCTTTTATTAGAATGGAGGGTTTCTTATTTATGTACTTATCTATTTTAACTGTTCTCGTAAGCAGAAAAGTACCCCCGGCCTTATCGGGGTGACCTGCGGGATATCTCCACACTACCGTGTTGGGGAGTTCAAGGGGTAAGACGGAAGAGTTCATATCCACGCCAAGCCGAATTGGCTTATAGTATTATCAGTTATCTTATGTAGATTATGTAAATCGTGAATAGTTTGAACAAAATTACAGTCTGTACAATGGGCAATGGATATACAATATAGTATAAAGGGCTGTGGGAAATCCCGCGGCTTCAAAGTGTGGGGAAACTCCAGGATGGCACCCACGGCAGTTATACTTCTGCTTTGTGTATTTGTCGAATTCACATAAATATTCTACTTCTAGTCCGCGGGTTTTTAGAAATCTCCTTCTTTCCATCAATAATTCTTTAAAATGGTCGAAGAGTCACTTGCAGCACTGTCGGTGCTGGGACTGGTCCAGACAACAGGCCTGGTAATCAGTTTTATGCTCATGGGATATATATCATACATGTCATATTTTCACCCCCTTTCCAAGTACCCAGGCCCAAAGATAGCTTCTTTGACGAACGTTTGGAAGGCCTATTATGTTTACAAACTTGTTCTCCACGAAAAGCTAGTCGAACTCCACCAGCAGTATGGCCCCGTCGTCCGAATTGGCCCTAACCATCTCCATTTTTGGGATGGCGAAGCCATTACTCCGATCTACAAGGGCGGCAGGAAGATGGGAAAGACAGAGTTCTATGATGCCTTTACTGCATTTAACCCCAATCTCTTTGGGGGTAGGGATGAAGATGTAAGAGATTATGTTTGTATTTATCAGACAACCTGCTAACAATATCAGATCCATGCCCTTCGTCGACGACAACTATCCCACGGATTCTCACAGGCATCAGTCGAAAACTTCGAACCTCTCATCAATGGCCATATAGAGATATTGCTCGGCAAACTGAACGAATTCGCAAAGACCGGAGAGGTCTTCGACCTCAAGTCCACCATCTCGTGCTTTGTTCTTGATATCCTAGGTGAGGTCGCCTTCAGTCGACCTTTCAATGCCCAACTCAGAGGAGAAGCAGATGAAATACACGCAATAAACGACCACATTCTCCTATCATGCGTAATTGGTGAACTTCCCCTCCAGACACTATCAAAGTTCCTAGCTCGATGGTCGCCCGTCCCATGGATGCGAAGACTATTGAAGAGCAGAAATAAGCTCAAAGTAACGTGCTCGGAGTGTGTTAGAAACAAGATCAACAATGCATCCGACCGTCGGGATCTACTCGAAAGCCTCGTGACCGCAAAAGACGCTGAAACCGGCGCCAGTCTCACCGAGCAAGAAATCAATTCAGAGGCGTTTGCCATGCTGTGAGTATACCCTTTAGTACTTGGGAATTTTGGATTGTTTACTTACTTGTACTAGTGTAGCAGGCTCTCACTCGACCTCCGGTACATTAACGTTACTTTTTTGGCACCTCATCCATAACCCAGAGATATGGGCTGCCGTCGCCGCCGAGGTAGCCAGTACTCTTCAACCACTACAAGATGGAGACATTTCCTATCCCATCAGAGGATTGGAGGCTTCCTTGCCATACACCATGGCATGCGTGAGGGAGAATTTTCGCCTTAACCCAGTGTTTACCATGCCCCTGTGGCGAAGTGTCAGTTCACCAGGAGGAGCGAGAATTGGAGAATTTGACGTACCTTGCGGTGTAAGTTTGGGCTACCCTTCTAACTATCCAGATTTGTCTGCAGTCCACAATACTGACCACTGAATCTAAAAATAGACCAATGTCTGCATCTCGAATTATGTCCTCCATCACAATCCAGAGATTTGGGGTGAAGATCATGCTGTATTTCGACCGGATAGATGGCTAGGAAAAGAAGAGCCTAACCGGAGTCGGTTCCTCATTCCATTCAGTATTGGACATCGCATGTGCATCGGTCGGAATCTTGCCATGACCAATATATTGAAGACCCTTACTACTTTGATCAGTCAGTTTGAGTTTCATCCGATCTCTCGGGATGAGCATGTCCGAGTCCGCAGCTCGGGAATTGGAGAGATGGAGGGATCCTTTCAATGTAAAGTTTTAGCAAAACGTTGAGGAATCGCTCATTTATGGGATTGGAGAGTGAAAGAGTCCATGGAAAGATGAAATTATGTATGTAAAAAGGCATAAAATACATCCGGGGTCATACTACATGAGGCGGTAGTATGGTACTGTAATAATACAGTATTATATATGTATATCTCATATCCGTGCACAATTAAAGGCTTATAAACAGATGTGCATGTTTGGAGTGGTAATAATACCTGAGCATGTGACATGTTGATCATCACCAATACCCTCAAGCCTTTCTCCGTTTGCACTACCCCAAAATTTGAAATCATAGGAGATACATGTACTTCCTTACTAATTTCGGACGCACGAAGTCAATGAACCTCCCTGAAAATGGAAGCTCGAACTTCATCAAATGACCAATTGAACTCTATGCCTTTTCAGTGTTCCGTTTGCTCCCAAACCTTCGGAAAGATCCAACACCTCAAGAGACACAGATCAATCCGTACGATGCAAATCCCCTTCGATATTATTTTTCTTGTTATCGACTACTAAATTATCATTGCTTAGATATTGACAAGAAACCACATCTCTGCGAGTTCTGTAGCTCTGAGTTCACACGCAGGTAAAGTCAGATCAACTTTCGTTGGATAGCTCGGCCATTTGACAACATCAAATCTTGACAGTGATGCCCTTTGCCGCCATTGGAAGACCTGCGTAGCTCGCTTAGCATCTGGGAACCCAGTGCCCCAGCGCACTCGATCTGGAAAAAGAAAGCATGCGTGCGATCGTTGCACAGAGCGCAAACGCGCCTGTAACCAAGGCAACCCTTGTGCTGAGTGTACTCTTCAAAACTCGCACTGCACGTATATTCACAAAAAGCAAAGATATTCACAAGTATCTGTGAGTGCGGGAGATTCTTATGATGACAATGGCGAGCAAAATGTTCCTGGCGCTTCCAGAGCCCAGAAAAAGCCAAGTATAGGCCAAAAGTTGATAAATAAGATTGGCATCGCTGATCGGTGCCGGTTTGACTTCCTTTTGAAGTTTACTCGTGCAGCTGGAATCAACGAAGGATATAATTGCAATCGCTTGTTCATGGCAGATGAACCATACGATCACAGTCCCTCTGGTGGCACCTTTCAAACGAGCCTAGATCCATGTCTTCTGAGTGAGGATTATTCATGGTCAAATGTGGACAGGGCACCATCTACCAGATGTAACAGCCCTACAAGAGCACATCTCGTGAATGATGCCCTGAGGCTTCAGTCCAGTCGCATTTGGCACATGCTTCTCCCTTTTTGTGACGAGAAAACAGAAGAGGGTGTAACTATGGCTGATGTCATATTATTCTTTTCGCCAGAGAATATCCTCCATTTCGTTGATATATTTTGGGATCGTTGGTATCCCCACTGTCTAATCTTCCACAGGCCGACATTCAAAATCGACTCCTGCTCGCCTCTCCTTCTTACAAACATGGCGCTCATGGGAGGCTGTACATCCCCATATAAGGCTGATCGCCACATTGCAAGATCACTACTAGATATTGCAGAAGCGATTGTGTTCTCACAACCTATGTTCTCGACCACGGCAACTAGGGCCGAAGCTACCGATCAAAACCATTTGGCCCAAATCAGCACTTTGCAAGCAACCTATTTGATTTGTATTATGCAAAAGTGGGAAGGGAGCGATGAATCAAAGGTTCGCATTCAGCGTGATCAATTCACAAAGTTCGTGTCAGTACGTACAGCCTATCAGATTGCCCTCATTCTTCAATCTTGTTCTCTAACTTTTTACAGGCAACACGGGCAATGGGATTGTCGAGGGCTAGACATAGCCATCAACCGATTACCTCGAAATTTGACGATTCCCAATGGCGAGCATGGATTGAAAGAGAAGAAATCAATAGGTGCGTTCAATGAAATTACGCTTGCCAGTTGTATACTAATACGAACATAGAATGTGCAACTATGTATTCCTTCTTGACTCCGCCTTTGTGATTTTTCATAATTCATTCCCAAGAATGGTTCTCCAGGAGATGCAAATTGATTTGACGTCTCCAGAGTCATGGTTTCAGGCATCTTCTCCTGCCGAATTTCTATCTGCTGTCCGGTCAAACCCAGGACTACCGGAGAAACATCTATCTCTTGTTGATTCCGTTCGCAGGTTGTGCAATGACAGTCCGTACCAAAACCCGAATTTTTTAGACGGTGCTAGCAAACTAAATTTGTTCACAATCGCTACAGGTGAGCATTTCCCGATTTTATTCGCAGGACGTTCAGTTGACCTTCAGAATACAGCGATCCATGGCCTTATATTCCATCAGAAATCCTCGCTATACACCCTTCCACTTTCTGATAATCCGTTGGGCAAGGCACTTGACCGATTGGACGTCGCTTGCAAATCAAATCAGAAACTATATACGCGCGCCTCAATCGATACAACCCATGAGCAAGATGGATTTATGCAGTACGCTGATGAGTTCGCTGTCTTGGCACGTATCTCTCTCGAATTATCGTATTTTTCACCAACGGAATGGTCGGAATTTATCGAGGGGTTGTCTGAAAGCTCCTCTAGTGGTTCATTTGCTACTTTTGATCAAGCCGGCATGGGCCCTGTTGGAAATTTGATGCTGGCCGTCGAAAACTTAAGCTTGAATAGATAAATAGCATTCAGTACAAAGTCAGCTGATTGGTGTCCCTAGGTGTAGTTTTGATAGTATAGAAGGGGGAAAGTCTAGCCGGAACCACCCAATGCAGCTCTATACTGTACAAAAGTAACATAGCAGCGAAAAAGAAAAGACATGTAAAAGGATCTAGAATGACGCCTGAAAGGACTCCTGGAATTTGCCGAAAAGACTACTGGAAAGAACATCTAGAAAGACTATCAGAAAGGATTTGACAAGGCCAAATAAGTCAATTATTCTTCCAAGGACTCCAAGGTCATATCCGTGTTATTTCTAATGATCGGACCGCCCGTTGATGCTATCTCCGTTTATTTGGTGATTGTTAGCCTGAGGCTAGAAAGTTTGCTCTTCGGCCTTCATCACTCAGTAGCAGCTTCTCTCTTTTACCATCAAACAAGATGTCGTTTGTTTCACCTTCTAATGAACTAATAATCGCTATTCTAGCGGAACTAGAAGTCGAAGATGTCATCTCAGTCCTCGAAACCCATCCCGATCTCTATCAACTTTGCTTCCAGTGTATCTGCCATCGAGATCTGAATCTAAGACCGTACTGCGAATCTGGAAATATCTTCAGAGTGCGATTGTTGCTGAAAGCAGGTGCGAGAGCTGATCGTTGCTCGTCATATCATTCCGGACTGGCTCTTTCCGATGCCGCTGCAAATGGACATGAAGAAGTTGTGCAACTACTTCTCGACCACGGCGCCCGAATGGATCTTGACTTGAATTACGATTGTCGTCCGCTTCGAGTTGCCGCAAAGAAGGGATACTTTACTATCGTCAGACTGATGCTTGATTACGGGGTTGATGTCAACAACACAAGCATTTGTGGATTCACTGCTCTTGATGAAACCATAAAATTCAAGGGTAATTACTCCAACTATGAAGAAAGCCCCTGGGAAGTGCGTGGTCTGTGCTTGCATAGGAACCGCCAAACGCCCTTTAGCTACTACGAGACTCTCAAGGTACTACTTGAATCCGGGGCTGATGTCAACATTGCGGATGATATAACCCAATTACAATCCTCGATGTATTGAGATAGCCAAACTTCTCCTTGACCACGGTGCGGATGTCAATGCACGGAATAGAAAAGGGAGAACACCATTGCACCTTGCAGCATCCAGTCCTACCCAAGGAGAAATTCTCACTGGGATGTATCTCTCCTACAAAGCCAATATCAATGCAGCTGATGATGATGGATTTACACCGCTCCATCTAGCGGTCTCAAACCCAGCCTCAGTCGCCAATACTCAAGTTATAGAGCAGTTGTTGATGTTCGGTGCCGATGTCAATGCAGGAATAAGCATGGGCTACACGCCTCTGCATTCGGCAGTCGATAATTGCGCGGTAGCAAACGAAGTGGTCGAATTGCTTTTTAGGTATGGGGCAGATAAGCTCGACACACCATTGAAAATGGCGAGAGAACGCGTTGGTAACGTGTCACCTTGGAGACATTGAGAGGACGTTGATCTGATTCTTGCTTTATTTGCGAGCAGTTTTAGTACCAGTGCGAATTTGCATATCGGCCAGGAGGTACCTGAATCACATGGGAAAGTCGTTTCACAAATTAAGCCTCCGACTACCTTCTTTCTACCGTCTACCTCTAAAGCCGAGAAGGGGTAGAAAATACCTTAAAACATCTAAACCAAATATCTGTTAAGCCACTGAAAAGACCACTGAAAATGTTGGGGTTTCTCATCCGACAAAAAAGCGTACAATTATAGTAGTGGAAAATCTTTCTAGCCTTTTCAACAAAAAAAAACTAGAAGGTTTGCTGAAAAGACATCACATTTTATATTACAAAAGCCATTCTATATTTCAACCGCACTCACTATCAGGATCACCTCGGATCGAACCACCACAACAAGACTTTCTTTTGGCTCATCCCGGTTTTTAACATCAACTTGCATTCTTATGGACCTCCATTATACCTCTATCAATTGTTCTTTAATATAAAGATCAGATTATCTCTCTCTTTAATAGTATTACTACTGTAATATCTCTTCCTATTGAAAATGCGATGATTTAATCACAATTAATCGCCGTATAATTTACTCTGCAGAGGTGGCGCCTTTACAAAATAGGGGGTTTAGGGGGTAGATAGGGAGCGCCTCACTCTTACTTTTCCAAGTTAACATATCTCGAAGGAAGGCTGTAAAATAATATTTTGAGACTACAGGACTTTCGCAGGAGTTGACTAAGCCGGTTAGAGTGCCCAGGTGGACCTTTTTTTCCTTTGGTTACCCGTCTGCGGGTAGATAGACTCTCGGGGTCCCGAGGCTATCCACGTGGACGGGGCCTACATGCATATTATGTAAGTACATACAATCTCCAGGACTTTATAACTAGACGGGCGGGAGTATTTAAAATTAGTCACATCTATACGGAACCTAAGTACGTTATATTGCCTATGGCTACAGATATGGATAGGAGCTTCAATGCCTATACAGGACCTCGGGACAGCGTATAGGAGTTACCTAGTATGGGTGGGTTCGGTAAAATTGTATTGTCGTGGTGGTTCGATCCACCGCTCGTATTTACGGATTCCTTTAGAAACATTTATTTAAATCCTATTTACCTGGAGTAATACGGAGTATATGGATACGACTAATACGAGTAAATAAGTGGTGTGGCTATGTTCAAGATCACCTTAGCTATTGGAAACCATCCAACCCCGTTGTCAGCACCATGTACACAGATATATAGGTCATTGATGGACTTAACGTGCCGTTTTAAAAATCCCAGATTAATAAGGAATTTAATTTGTTAATTCTAGAAGGCCTTTCGGTGATCATTGCACTTGTACGTAGTATCCATAATCAGCATTAATCCTCCCCATCGATCTATGATACACCCCATGTTATACCCATTATAGCCGGTTCTCATGATAGTGCTTCTCAACCTCTACTGTAACATCCACCGTCCTTAGCACGCCTCCCTTCCCTTGGAGATCCTGCGTCAAATGTCGCGTACTCTCAGCCCCCTCACTCGAACTAGACTGTCTGCCCTCATTATTCTGATTTGGATCCCCCGATGAAACCTCAGTGACAACCCCGATCTGGCCTCCCCATCCATCAAACATTGACCGTCCATTCTTCTTCTGGCGTCCACGCGACTGCGACCGCGAATGCGACTGGCTTGCTGCCGAGGAGGATTGGTTGATATACCCGCTGGCCTTGGTCTGCGGGAGCTCGAGTCCGTCGGGGATCTGGGCTGTCGTCAGGCCAGAGTGTAGGCCGGCGAAAATGTGGTAGAGGGTCGGGACGCAGGCGACTATGATGGTTGTGAGCATCATTGTCTGGCCGATTATTTCCCAAATGGCGATATCCCCTGTATACTTGTCAGACTTAGTTTGCCGAAGTTGGAAGAGGCAGTCACGGACAGGAGACATCGGTTGATTTGACGAATGAAGGTAGGAGGGCTAGGTGGGCGATCCCGAGGGCGACGATACTGTGACGAGTTAGTTATTGAATTCGAAAGGGAAATTCCTGGAGTTGCTGAGGTACATTATGCGCAAAGAGAAGGAGCACAGGATCTTCACGCGCTTGTCCTGGGCCATCTGGACATGTTGCATCATAACAAATGGCAGGACGACGATGATAATCTCTGTGAGGATGTTGATGACTGCGATGGGGTAAAGTAGGGCTCCCTGCTTGGGGTTAGATGTGTTAAACTGTGGGCCGTTTTCCTGGTGTATACTGACCTTTCCAACACATCGCTCAGGAGAGTATAGCCACACATCGGGCAATTCACATTGGAAAGCTGTACTGAAAATTGCGAATATCGACCAGCCGACAACTATACCACCGGCGACAACACAGCCGCGACGGAGGTTTTGATTCGGCGTCAACTTCCAGATCAGCAGAATGGTCGAGATTTTCGAAAGCGACAAGATAAGGATGAGCAGAAGGTGAGCAGCAAAGGCTAATTTGCTCCAGGCTTGAACATCGCCTTCGCTCAGCCGGTCCCGGTGCTTTCCCAGTCCATGATCCACAGCCTTCTGTAAGACAATGACTTGAATAATTGCAAGAATCACAGCGACCCAGATGGGAGTATTGGCAGTTGTCCGTCGCTGCTTGAAATAGATCACCGAACTAAGCTTGGCGAGCACAAAAATTATGGTCACAATCAGAAGGGGCACGGAGACCACTGTGATAATACTGCCTCGATTATCACTTGATAGAGCCTGGAAGGCGTCCTTTTGGTCGGCCATCGCACTTTTTTAGAACTTGCGGGGATGGATGTCATATAATAAGCTGCTTTTTCACATCTTGAATACTAAAGTTTCATTCTGATAATTTACAATCCTTGTCGATTCTTTGAGTCCGACCCCAAATTCACTGCAAGGACAGGTGGGTGGCTGTTGGCTGGGTTTGCGGTACTATTTCTCATATTGTGCAGGGATGTAAATCCTGTCAGTACGATGTGTTAAATCGAACATACCAATACTAGTTTGAGACCGCTTAAGTGGGGTCCGATATATTTCCATCAATAGCATTGGCCATATTGATGAACTATGATCAACAGATCTGAAATTGAGTGGGCCGAGGTTACGAAGGATTCACAAGGCCGCTCGGACTACAAACTAGAAAAGACCGGCTCTTCTACTAGGAAATGCTAGTAGCCAACGACAAAGCGCGGACGCTGGGCGGTGCTATTAAATTTGTAACAGTCCAATGATTTCCCGGAAGTCCAGATCCGGCATTAAATAGCACGGTCTCATTAGATTGCAAACGACAAGGGTGTGCGCCTAAGCGAACAAGACATTGTTTCAACACGGCATAACAGCTCGCTTCTGGGTTGACTACCTGTTTCGCATTCATTCCGCAATATCAGACCCTTGTCTAGTCTCTCACGGAAATGAGAAGGCAAAAACGGCCAGTACTTCTTTCCGCCTTTTGGCCGACTGGTCTAATTTCAGTTGACTTTTTTTATTTTCTCCAACTTTCCTCTCCTTAATCGTATTTCAATATGCAGGAAGAAGATTTGGAAATGAAGAGCGGCAGCGCTGTGCGCTCAGTGCCAGTAGGGAGTGGGAATGGTGGCTATGAGAGCTCTACAGTGCGCGAAAAACAACACCTGGAGGTAAATACCCAACGTTCAATTGACCTGCTCAGACTCTAATCTTTCAACAGAAATATCTCAATTTCTTCTCATCGGTCGCATTTTCCGCTTGTCTGCTTGCCTCATGGGAAACTGCCGGCGGTAGTTTGCTCTCGGGACTATACAACGGCGGCCCCGCAGCAATTGTTTATGGCATTATCTTAACCACCGTGGGGAATCTGTCCATCGCTTGCTCCTTAGCCGAGCTTGCTTCTATGTATGTGCACAAATGACTGAGATGTGGCACTGCAAGTCCGCCGCGTCCCTCGCATCTCATCTCGATGCTGCGAGCAGCGGCATACTCGCGCCTCTTGAAACACTCTAGCTGAGACCGGCTAACCTCGAAACAGTCACCCAACTGCAGGTGCTCAATATCACTGGTCCTATTTCCTTGCGCCTCGCGGTCGTCGATTCATCAGTTTCTTTCAGGGTGAGCGCATGCCTTGTCATTTTCCTTTTATAGCCGTATGCTGAACATATCAGGCTGGGTCACTGTCTTCAGCTGGAGCAGTCTCGTGTGTATCGCACCTTTTTTCATCGGCAACCAAATCCAGGGCATGGTTGTGCTGCAGTACCCCGACTATGAGATGCAAAGGTGGCGTGGTACCCTGCTCATGTGGGCAGTTGCAATCATTCCGATTCTCCTGAATATATTTGCCCGTCGAATTCTAGGAGGCGTCGAGGTTGCTGCCGGTATCATGCATGTCGTCTTCCTACCTGTTGTTATCGCAGTCTGCGTCATCCTTGCCCCTCGAAACCCCGACGCATTCGTCTGGGACAACTTTGTCAGCGGCTTGAGTGGCTGGAAGGACCCTGGAGTTGTATTCTCCATCGGTCTTCTTGGTGTTCTTACTCCCCTTAGTGGTACGTCCCTCCTCTACCAAAATGTTGAACAATCTAATCAATACCAACAGGCGTCGACGGCATCATCCACATGGCCGAAGAAGTCAAGAATGCCAAATTTGTAGTCCCCCGCTCCATGATATACGGCACTCTAATCAATGGAATCCTCGCATTGGGCTACCTGATCGCCATCCTCTACTGCATGGGCGACTACGCTGAAGCAGTCACCACCCCAACAGGCTACCCCATCATTCAAATCACCTATCAAGCAACTAAATCCAAGGCAGCCACATACGTCCTCATGACAATGGGCATCCTGCCCGGCTGGATCGGCTTCTTCAACGGCCTCGCCTCCGTCACGCGTCTCACCTGGGCTTTCGCTCGAGACAACGGACTCCCCTTCTCAGTCTTCTTTACCTACGTCGACCCAACCTACAAGATCCCCATTCGTGCTTTGTTCCTCGTTGCGTCATGCATCTTCGCACTCTCATTCATTCAGATTGGCTCTACCGCTGCATTCAGCGCTATTCTCTCGATCAGCACACTTGGTCTCTACATTTCCTACATTATCCCTCTCGTCCTCCTTGTCATGAAGCGCTTCATGGCTCCTCGGGATATCCCACAGGGATCATTCACTCTTGGAAAACTCGGCCTCCCCATGAATCTCTTTGCTATTCTTTTCGCCACATATTTCGCCATCTTCCTTCCATTCCCCTCGACTCTGCCAGTTACCGCCGAGAACATGAACTATGCCGGCCCTGTGCTTGGCTTTGTTATGCTATTCGCCTGTGGAGATTGGCTTGTTCGCGGACGCCATATTTGGCAGGGCCCAACAGTCAAGGCTTGGGCCAGGACAGAGTGAAGTTTGAAAGATTTGAATTGAACATAGAGGAGGAAGGGAAGCAAGTGAGCTTCCAAAATTTGTTAATAGCTTTTTATTTTTGAGATGTGATTATTTAGACTGTACGTATATTTTTATTTTCTATGTATCCAGAATGTACAAATTTCTTTCATTTGAAGTCTTCACACAGAACGGTTCGGCGTACGAAGAATGTCTACAACCAATATAAAAGCTCGAGATACTCCTTTGTTCCAGGAAATTACCTCGCACGGGAAGAGTCTCTGCAAACTAATACACAGTCAGGGCTATAGATAGGAAAGCGCATCAATATGCAACCCCCTGAACAGACCAGCTGATAAGAAATAGTACGGTAGTACACAGACAAGTACGGAGTAGATTGACGGAAATTCCAATTCTATGGATGCTGCCGTGATTGAGCCTGAATCTGCTAATAAGTCTGATGCCGAGGAATTCCGTACTAGTTTGCTGCCGTTCCAATCAAAGGAGGTAAATGTCTCATGCAACCGAGTGGCGCCGTCGAGCTTTCGTACATAAGGCCAAGAGCTTGGCATTTGGCAAACTCTTCTACCTAGTTAGCATGTGCGTCTAATATTACCGCCAGTGCGCCACTTGAGATTTTCCTGCAGTAAATTCTGTCCTTTTTGGTAGTATTTTTAGTAGTTTTTCTTAGCTGTTTTTATAATACTCTACCAATGATGACTAGGCGAACAGACTTCTCGATGCACTCCGACGACTTCATGGGGTATATATATTGGCATAGGAAGAGTTAGCCGTGAAGTATATATAGAATAGGTGCAATATTGGTGTATTTGAATGTATAAATACTCATATTATAATCTATACTTTAGGCACAATCTGAACTGGTACACTGGCGGTAATGGACTGCCGTGCTGGCATAGGATTTTCGATTACAACGGGACACTTCGTAATGGCTCCAGGGGGAGCTCACTGAGGCTAACAGCCACTACTGAGTGTTTGGTCCGGTGACACCAAAAATTTAGGAAAGATCCAGGATGGCTTTCGTGGCCTGCCAGAACCAAGAGCTTCTTATGTTTGAGGTGTGACTAGACTATATGTATATCTTTGTTTACTATGTATCTAGAATGTACAAATTTCCTATGTTTCAACCTTGGAAGTCTTCATCAGAGATTATATAGAACGGTTCGGCGTACAAAGAATGTTTATAACTATAGCTAATATGAAATGGAATATATGGCAGGTGGCCCATAAGCCGTCCACGGGTGTATATTGTCTTTGCAGGCTGCTTCTTTAGAGAAGGGGGAGAGGGAGAAAGAAGAGCTATCCAGCTATCTAGATTTGTCCCAATGGTGCCTGACTCCGCATAGGTGCCTGAGGCACCAGACACTCTTTTAACTAGTCGACATGTTTTCCCAACTTGAGAAGTTTCTCGACGTTCCTGTAGTATATCTTATCACGAAACTTGGATTCCATGGAGAATGCATCCAAGTCTTCCCTGAATCCCGCAATCTTATCTGAATCAGCGTATGGGAAGTCAGATCCTTGAAGTAACATCAGCAATTTGGCCAATCCGAGTTCATGCACACTGGGAGCAGACCGTAGGTAATATGAGTATGAGGGATCAGATCTAGGATCGTTTTCAAAACGGCGGGTGAGCTTGAGAGTGCCAGGTCATAGTAGAAGGACCGGAAGTCATCCATAATCTCTTCATTTGTTTTACCAAACGTTAACTTTGTGGACCTAGTTGCTCTCGAAGTTGTTGCAATCCGAGATATTAGGTATGGAAGCGAGCCCCCTGCATGAGAGAGGATTTTCGGGCAATTGGGAAACTCTCGAGTCACATTGCCGATGATCAAGTCAACCGCGGTGCGAGTCGTCTCGTGGGGGTAGTCAATGACTGGCTGTGGAAGAAGCGGATTTGTCCAAGTAGTGTTTACTGGGTGGGTAGGATGGATGAAGACCAGTGTCCTCCGCGCATCTAGTTCTTTCCAGATGGGAGTGAAGAGACTGTGACCCAGATAATTGTTTTCATCCCCGTATCTCGTGAACAAAGTGACACCGTCCGCTTTCAAAACATCTAGTACATACTCAATCTCTGCTAGAGATCCAGGTATATCCATAAGTGATGGAAGTGCGGCAAAGAAGCCAAATGAGCCGGGGTGTTGCTGGCGGAGACCGGCGGCATACTCATTTACTTGCCTGGCTAGGATCCGTGCTGATTCTGTATTAGGAGCGACGGATGCACCAGGCGCTGTCAGTGACAGAATTGCCTTCTGGATTCCGTTGGTTGCCATGTTCTGCAAAGATGATTCAGGGCTCCAATCTGGGGTTGGCCAGCCGGATGGATCTCCTCCAGCCTTTTCTAGGGCTGTAGTCGGTCAGCATCAATCTTGGATTCCAAGTGCGGGTATACAAACCAACTCTGTATACCGGAGGTAAGAAATGATGATGAGTATCGACTTTATACGGTACTTTCGGCCAGCCCCTAGCAATCACAGCGCCGCTTAACGCAATAATGCTGACTAGTATGGTCGCCATTGTCATTTTTCTCCGAGTTCCAAGTATGTGCTTGGTGTTTTTGCTTAACAGAGAACACTGATTACGGCGACTTCGAGGTCTTTCTTATATGCCATGGCCGAGCAGGCCGAGGCACAAACACAACAACCGAGTTTAAACAGTCATTTATCGCAATATGGCCCTGTGATAAATTCGGAGCAGATTCCGGCACGATCTCCCCAACGTCTCCCCTTCCCCACGTTACCCCACGTTTCGGGAGAGGAACTATCAAACCTAAAGATATGCTCTGCGGTCAGCTTCCGAAACTCTATATTTCCCGTCTCTCTCGGACGTCATTCCGGGTGACGGTTGCCTCCTTCGAGTTTTAAGCAAGCTGTAATTCAGTCCCTGGTTGAAACCTAAAGTCTAGGATCATGTAGCATACAGCACTTGGACGGTACGTAGCTGTAAGAGGGAAGGTCGGCAAATTTGGGAGTGATGTCGCAGTTATTTGGATTGAATTACAAATAGGATGCTTTTAGATGTCCTATTCTGGGATTCGTACATGCTTAAGTACGAATTACAGTTCAAAGGGTGTTATATGAATCAATCAGGCTATGCCGGAACTCTCCCGTGTGAATGGACTACCCGAAACGAGGTATGACATGTGCACACAGCTACGCATGATGTTGCTCGGACGAACCCGAGGCGGAGCTTCACTAACGGGATGGTTCCGGGCCCCATTATGACAGACACTGTTAAGAGCAGCGGGGGACAACCTTTCATCATCGCGGTTATTACTATGCTGGCCCTGATTTCAGTTCCTGTCGCGCTTCTCCTAGTTACCTACCTGTGCAAGCCCAGCCTCTTTAGCACAATGAGCGAGCACACCTTCGACTGGCTTCGCGAAAAGACCATTGGCTGGAGCCACACGCCTCCAGTGAACAAGATCGATACTCACCACCACTGTGTTCCTCCTTTCTACGCCAAAGGTAAGCTGACATTTTCAAGGGCCTTGGTGTCAATCTAACCGTACCACAGCAATTGAAGAGCAAGGAGGCGATCCCAGCGGCTGGCCTACGCCCGTTTGGAATCCGCTGGCTTCCAAGCTGCTGATGAAGCGTGTTGGCGTGCAGACTGCCGTGTTATCTGTGACAGCCCCGGGCGCCTGCATACTCCCAGACCGTCGGGGCCGCGCCCAACTCGCGAGACAGTTAAACGAATATTCCGCCGACCTCCGTGACAAAGATCCTGATAAATTCGCCTTCTTCGTATCATTGCCTAACATTCTCGATACCGAGGATGCCCTCGCGGAGATTGCGTACGGGCTAGACATCCTCCGTGCCGACGGAGTCACCCTATTCACTCGCTACGGGTCTTCTAACACCTACCTCGGCCATCCAGACGTGGAGCCCATCTGGGTTGAACTTAGCAGGAGAGGCTGTGTCGTATTCGTCCATCCGACGCACGCAGTCGATACCAAGCCCGTCAACCCAAAGCTCCCACAGCCATCCATCGACTATCCCCACGAAACAACCCGCGCGGCAATGGACATGATCGTGAACGGAACACGGCTCAAGTATCCCTCCTGCAAAGTTATACTCTCGCACGCCGGCGGAACCATCCCGTACCTAATCTCCCGGGTCACGACGCCGATGAAAAGGGCACCTGACTTTGCAGTCTCGCACCGTATGGGCACAACACATGATAAGTCTATGGAGTCATTCCGCAGCTTCCACTTCGATTTGGCGCTTAGTTCGTCGCCCCAGATTCTGGATATGCTGTTGAAGATAGTTCCGCATGACCACATCTTGTACGGTAGCGACTTCCCATATGCTCCGATAACTGCGTACCCAGCGTTCTTGGAGGAGTTGGAGAGCTATGAGATGAGTCAGGAGTTGAGGGATATGATCAATTTTAAGAATGCGATGAAATTGTTCCCGCGGTTGGCGAATCGGAGGAGCGGGACTCTATAGCTGTTGCAGTAATCCGATGCGTGGACTTCGTTTCGCTGCAGGTATGAGCACAATCACGGACTGCTGCCTGGACAAATCTTACACGCACATATTCTCGGAAAAGTCACGGTCTCGGCCCATACTAGGTTGCTGCCGTTTCGTTCAATATCGTATAGGCCAAGAGCCTTGGTATTTGGTAAATTGTTTTGCCTGGCATGGCATACTTGGTTGCAGGTGGACACTGCGAAATGGCTCTGGGTGGGTCCACCGAGGCTGACAGCCACTGAGGGGGATTGCTCCAGTGAGAGGAAAGATCCAGATTGGTGTCTGTGATCTGTCGCCGACCGTGATGTGCCTTGCCACAATATGACATATATTGGGAGTTACTACTAAAGTATGAGATGACTGAGACGGACTTTTAGCGGAATACAGTATATTGACAGAGTCTACTCCGTACCTAGCACTTCCTTCTAGGCATACATTTTGCTCAATGAAGGTCTCACCGTCTCCAAAGATGTAAAGCTACAGTGCCCCTTGTCATCCTCAATTCCACCCAAATCCCCCGCCCAAGATGGCGATGTCATTGTTTCTCCCCACATCACCGACCCTCTAGCAGCATGATCCAAGTCCTCGTCCTTGGGCACATGGCATGCAGCACTAATCGCAGCACTACAAGCCCCCGCCAACGGCATTTCTGACTTGAACTTTCTGAAAGATAGTCCAAGCAACAAACACACCATCAAACCACCCACAAGCATAGAGATAAAGATAGCCAGAGAGTTATAGCCCAGGGAGCTGATGGAATACTTATAGATTGGCCGGCCAATCCAATCATACGCCATGATCCTAGCATAAAAGATACTCTGAGAGATCAACCAGTGCAGAATCATGTAGAACACCAGCAGGGGGGCTCCGTATCGATATGGCATGGATAGCCAGTACGTTGACTGCTGCATACTGTCTTTGACGGGCCATGTCACTCGAAGAGGCTTTGAACTTGCCCCGTAGGAGCTGTATTCGGCAGTTGCGAGCATGTTGGTCAGCACGCTGTTGTAGAAGAAATAGCTGACTGTGACAACCAGTTGTGGTATATTAGCTACCACCACAGCGCTCAAAGTGGAAAATTTTACTGGCACGTCAATGATTGCGGTGGTCCCCCTGTTGCCAGCGAGCCCTTGTGTCCAAATTATATGGAGCAGTCTGGACGTCAACCACGGGTTTTCTTCTCCGAATGAGGAGATGGATTGCTCGAAGAGATATACTCCGGCGGCAATAAATCCTAGACATCTAGATACTCTATGGTTAACATAGGGTCTAAAGAAATGTTGGAATGTAAGCTCTTACAAGGCGAGGGTCGTTATCCAGCGTGTGAGGCTTGAGGCTTGAATCCAATACTTGCGTCGCGATAGCCCCTTGTATACCATCGGCGCTCGCTGACGGATCCCTTTCAAAGGCTCCTCGGCAGGGTCCTCTGTTCTTTGAGGTACCTTCCATGCTCCTCGGTGGACATCAGAATTGGATAACCAACATATTCCCTCCGTGGTGGAATCTGGATTCTCCATAAAGGACGCCACCGCATCGCCCACGGTGAGCAAAGGTGGAGACCGATGACGGCCTATCCTCGCTGCCAGGAACATTGCTACGACTTTCAGGAGAGTCGCAAGAGCAATTATAATGCAGATCGGTGGACTATAGAGCAGCTGGCATCGCTCTTCCGCTTTGATCACAAGACCTCCGTCGATGCTATAAACCTTTGATTCACGCGTTGATGTATCATCGTCGCAAGTAAGGACATAGCCACTGGTCGTGATGTCGGAGGTAGTGTTAGCCTGAATGTATCGATTCACCCTCTCAAGGGATGGCTGGTCCCCATCATAGTTGGCCCAGTCAAATAGATCGCGGGCATTTGAGCAGGAGTTTTTATCCAGCGTGTGAAGACAGGCTTCATACGTGAAATTCTCATTTATGTAGTAATGGGCTCGGCCAGAGTCAAGGATATTGATCGCCAAGGTTTTGGCAGAGAATTTGTATCCCGTCACTTTGTAACCGATGGTACTATTGTCTGGAATCAAACCAAGCGAGGATGTCGCCGAGAGTATCGCAGTATTTCCACCTTGACTCACCGATAACTCGTTCGTCAGCAGTATGGCCACCTTTGCTCCCTCCATCTTTAATCCCATACTATCTCCGAAACCACTAAGCTTGAGACCTTGCTGAGTATTTAGGCGCTCGTAGTTGCCCCGCACAATATCAGAGGCAAAGTCATCCCATTTCAGCTCACCCTCGGGATACCCATCACTTCTAATACGTGAGTGATATAATTCGCTTGGTTCACTCTCGTGCGCCTCGGCACCCCGAAATACAGCAGCATCCCCACCAGGATATTTCGGGTTTATGCTGAAACACTGATCAAGGGCAGGGGTCTTCAAATTCGCGATGTTGGAAGAATTTAAATCCCCAGGTCCCATAAGAAGTTGTACCTCGTTTATGGCCACGGATTCAAAAATCATCGAGTTGTACCTGTCAACTTATGTTAATTCCATATCTCTGGTATCTTAGACCTCTTCTGACAACATACAACAGATGAAACGGTGTCCCCGTGAAAAGCAGTACCAGCCACAGAGCGAGCCTAGGTTTTCCAATGACAAAGAGGTTCCTCACACTCGAGCACCCGATGTCAAGCCATCGACCTTGTGCGTGATGTTTGTCAACCTCTTCCCGACTCGGCGCAACGAGTGACTGCATGCAGTAGTTGCTAGCACCAAGGATTCCAGTACTGAGTACGTTGATGATCAAGTGCAGGCCGATGTTCCACCGTTTGGTCAAGACACAGCTGCCCTGGTATATTACTTGCTCGCTGGAGAATCCACTGTTCTCCGAGTTCCGATTGGCAAGTCCAGCAGCGACGGCAATGAAGATGAGATTCAGCAGAAGCAAAACGGTAGAGGCCTTGGCACAGAGAAAGACGCCATTAATCCAGTGTGGCTTCTGGGGGTTGGATGAGTCGCCTTCAATAACCTCTGCTTCCGTAATTCCCCCGATGCTTTCGTGTTCTTCTATCCGATTTGACCATTTGAGAGTTGATGTCTTGGTTTGGCCGCTGGGAACTCCATGGTATCGTTGACTGGAGAGCACAGATTTGGCACGACGCCATATACTCTCACTGCGCATACTTGAGGTGGAAATGTACACCTCGGTGTAGGACAGATATTCACTCCAGGCTTGGGATAGAGAGAAGTGTGCAGAGAAGATCAGGAAATGCGGGTAGAAGTAATTCTCCGACCTCCCACTGCTTAAGCAAAAGGGGCTGGGTCTCATAAATTCGGAAATGACCTTCATGACTTGTTTTGGCCCCACCGACCGGGGTCGCATTGGGGCTGATACCCGCATGGCATCCCTAGTGCTCTTGGCATGTGTACTTCGCCATTGCGCCCAAGCGTATGTATTTTTGCTGTGTATACAAGGTCTAGCTCGGATGGTTGTATCAAAGTGATGTCACATCTGGATTGCCGTATGGGGAAACGGACGTTTGAAAGCGGAATCGGAGGTGGCACCTGCTAGTTTATTAGATTTTGTACATATTACAACACACATATACGCACTGACCTCCAGCAAGCGTGATAAAGTGCGTTGAAACTGTGTCGAAGAGAATTTATGCAGAGGGCACATCCAGATGCTTGGGCATGAAGATAGAATATCTAGGCACATTACATGACTCACATGACATCCTTTGTTCCCGTAAATGTACTAATACTTATATATGTAGATGTGAAAGACGGTGGGAGACCTTCACTTGCCTTACTTTCTTCACTTCTTCCTTTCCTTCCCTCTTTTTCTTTTCTATCACTCTTCTTTCCTCTTTTTTTTTCCCTGCTTTCTCTTCTATAAATTCTTTAGGCAATTATCTTTTGTCTTTTTTGGCTTGTCTTTTTTCAGTTCTTCTCGCCATGGCAAAGGTTCCGCTGTTTTCACGACCAAATGAGCTTATATGCGAAATCTCCTCCCACATGTCCATTCTAGACATCCTCTCTTTCAGCAGAAGTTACCCCGGCCTCTCTCAATCTCTTACTTAGCACTACCAGCATCATCGAGAGCATTCGGAGCTACAAGAAGCCCTGATAGCATATATCCGAAGTGGTGACGGGGATGTAACGCGCCTTCTCCTTTCTATAAACACGAATACTAAAATGATACGGGAACAATTGCTGGATGATCATATCATGGGGCATTATTAGAAGGATACAAGCCTGGGCTAGGCTTTCTGAGGTGGGTACCATGAGGTAGTGGACGCTCTTGTTGAGAATCTTGTTCAAATGAAGCTGGAGACCCCAACCAGCGAGGTAAAATACATGAGGGATGCACTGGATTGGGTTGGTCAAGCTGGCCATTTTACCATGACCAAAGTGGTACTTGGAGTTGACTCGAACATCATACGACCGCCTAAAATTTACTCGCACCTGTTGGATGATCCTATCCCCCTTAACGAACGAAAGGAAAGGGCGAATGCGACAAGATAATCCGATAAGATACTGAATTTTGATACTTCCAAGGTTGAGTCAGTTTAGACATCCATGCATTAAGAGTTTCATGTGTGCGTTTAGATTATATATTTTATATGGGCAGTTCTAGCTCAAAAATAATATGATCTGTTGATTTGGAAGATACCGTATAGATCTAAATATCACATTGATTTTGAATATTGTCATGCTTAAAATCAGAAAGTATTTCAAAAATCCACAGTCTCCATCACAATCTAAAGATCAATGTCACTAGCTGGTCGAGCAATATTGAATCGCCAATGGTGCTGGTTAACTGGATCCTTTTGGTACAGATTGATTTCGAAGAACTTGTTGTGCGCTGTGCACTTGAAGTTCTTGTACCTATATCAAATAAGCGTTCTGCACTGTTCAATATATATCGGATCTTCATTAAACATACGAATTGAGCTTCTGAAAGTTCCCAGCGATCAAGTCTTGCTCGGTAATCTCCACGAATTCAACTCGATCCCCCATTACGTAGGGGTGAGGAATGAAATATCTTTTGGTCTCGACAGCACTAAAATTGACTTGTCGGACAAACTGGATCGCGTAAGGTGGCAGATTACCAGGATCCTGGAAAAACGAGGCCGAAGTAGCAGAAGGGGTTGATTCAGATCTTCTAGCCCAGGCAATAAATGGGTCGAACTTAGCCTCGTGCGTTAGACGGGCCGGTCGATACGGAGATGAGGAAGAGCAACAAAAAATGGAAGACATTGTTAGATGGTGGTTCCTTGGTGATTATATTGGTCTTTGGATGATTGGAACGTCTGCTCTAGGGGAATGACAGTCTTTATATGCCTTTCAAGTCGATGAAATCGACGCGAATACCAGTGTTTTCTTTTGTTCTGGAGGAAATTGTAGCAAAACGCAGAATGACGACCATGTACTAATTTGGAAATTTGTCAATGGATATCGAATTTCACGGGCCGATCATTCAATCATAGTTCTTCATTTTGAGGCCCCCTTCTGATCGGCTGCCCAATTCATATCTCCCACTCGAGATTTTTAGGCCCATGGAATTGCAGTCATATAGTGTTGATGATCCCGGCCAATTAGAACACTACATTTTGAGGCCACCCTCACACGGTCCCTCCGCAGGGGCTGCTGACTGCATGATGGAGTAGTTGCATATTTACTAGACTAAGGGAGGTGCATACTCAAGACTAGTCGATCGATTTCAATGTGCCATTCGAAAGGCATAAAAGGCTGGTGATTCCCTGTGTTTCTATTTTTTTTCTTTCTTTTCTCAGGGGCAGCAGGCCTGTCATCTCGCTCTCTACTTCGCCTGCTGCCACTGCCACTCTTTTCCCTCGCCTTTGACTCTGCTTTTTTTTGTTCTCTCATTCATTCGTTTATTTCTGTGTTGCTCTGATTGAGAGGCTAGACTTCCAATTTATCCTCTCTGTATCGTCCAATCTGTGTTCAGTGTATACTGGGGTTTAAAAAGCTGAAGCTACTTATTTCACCCTTTTCCGCGGCGAGCACACATACCAGAACCCCCACCAACAGCCACCGACCGACAGTCCAATCTTCTTGAACAACAACAACAACATCTTTTGGACCTTGGACTTGTCGAGCCAGTATGGCTACACGTGTCGGACACCACTGGTCCCCGTGCATCTCCCGTTTCCACATCCCAACCCCAGTTACCTGATACTACAACACACGATGAAGAGCAACATCAGCAGCAAGTCACCTTACCAGAAGAATATTCTCAAGATGAGCAAATAGAAGAAGAGCATTGTGTTTCCGACGTGGTTTCTACCTCATCAAATTCTGATCGACATACCTCATCTTCCGCGGCAGCCAACGTCTCTCCGCTACAGTGTGGACACTGCCGAAGAGAATATCAAACCCGGACATTGCTAAAGTATGTTTTTTTTTTCTCGTGCAAACAGTTCATTATGCTCCCAACCCTATTCTAATAATCTAAAAGCAAGCATATAAAAACACATACACGCCCCTTCAAGTGTACCGTGGACGCATGCACCTGGGGATTTGCAACCGGTAAAGACCTCATGCGACACGAACAATCAGTACATAACGCCAGTGGGCATTACATGGTCTACTGCCCTTATCCTAGTTGCGACTATTCTGCGAACGGAACGAAAAGGCGGATGCGAAAAGGTAATCTCCAGCGTCACATTGAAGCCAAGCACCGGCTAGAGATTGGATTTTGATATTTGAGTCAGTTCAGACATTGGGTTTTATGTGTGTACAGGGTTCAAATCAGATCTTTGATGCAGGAAATTCTACTCCGAACATATTCTTCGTGAAATCAATATATAACCATCATTATCTCTTCTAATCTCCTATGATAGAGACGGGAAAATCCGTGTTTGCCTGTAGCCTTGATCTTTGAAACCTTAGAATTAAGGACACAATAACATGATGCGAGTCTACCACAACAAGTGTGGCGGTACTAGAAGGATCATCGTGTAGTTTTACGGTGTAGTAGCCAGATTTAGATCAGAGAATCTATAAAAGTGTCGTCGCCTCTTGCCTGACATTTGAAAGTGAGGTCGGAGTACGGGAGCATACCTGCTTATTAGACTTTAGTCTGACCTTACATGATCCAATACTATTCAAGCTGGGCTAAGTGGGAGAAAAGACTTGCGTAGTTGTAATAAATACGAAATTTCTATCCGAGAGAGCACATAAGACGTGGATGTCTTTTTACTTCACTTTCCTCACTTCTATCGCTTCCTTCATGTCCTCCTCTTCTACTTCATTTTCATCCATTCCGTCAATCCTTTCTTTGACTCGCGTCTCTCAGTCTATCGCTTTGGCCCCAATATTCCTCTCTTCATCTTTCACTTCTATCAGTTGACGCCACTTTCAATATGGCAAAGGTGTCTCTCCTTTCATTGCCAAATGAATTGATATAATCACCATACTATGACGCACCAGGGTACTATTGAAATCACTCAGATTTGTACTGGGCTGTTCAGAATAGACATGGGGAGATAATGGAAACCATTATCGCACATCTTATCCAGATCAAGGTGGAGATTCCAAATCTCAATGTGGGATGTGTTGACCGTCTGCTGTATTCTGCTGCTCGGAGAGGCTATTTTTCCATTGTGAAAACGCTGTTGGATCTAGCCTCTCGCCGCATAAACCCACCTCATTATTACGACACAATTCTATCATACGCGTTGGGAGGGGAAGACTATTCGTCCGATGAGAGAGCTTGCTCTTGCACAAAGCAAGATGTCTCCTCCGGATCCAGCGAGAAGCTACTGACAGATCATTATTCAACTGTGCAGCTACTACTGGATCTCGGCGCCCGCTGCAACTATACCGGGAATATCTACTCTTCAGACATGCCGATACTACTTGCACTGTTCAAGTGTAGCTCAATCTCCAACGGCGTTGTGAAGCTGCTTGTCGAACGCGGCGCGAATGTGAGCAGCAAAGGCGTGCTCCAAGGGTTCATAGAGACCACGAACCAATGTGCGTTCTCCAATGAAGAAACAGCAAAGCTGCTTCTTGATCACGGCGCAGATTCCAGTGCACGGGACTACATCAGTACAACGGTTTTCAACAAAGACAACAAAAAGGCCTTGATCGAACTTCTCTCCGCGTGTGGACTTGGCCCAGGCAAAATCAATGGCTGGGATCGAATGAAAGAGACCCCCGAAGGCAGGGCCGAATTAATGAAGCAGCTGTTAGATCTTGATGTCAATATCAAATGTCGCACTACATTTGGACCAACCCCACCTCAATCGACCATCTCGGATAGATCAAACCCATACGAATGCAATTTGGATGAAGATGATCTCAATGGACCCGATCGATTTGGACGCCCAATATCTGAACCCGAACCTGAGAACCCCGATTATGGAACCTGTGATTCATTCATTCGCAAATCGGTAAAGCTTCTTTTCAGCCACGGAGCCGATGGGAGCATTAGAGATAGCGAAGAACAGAATCTCCTTTACCAAACTGACAACAAGCGTCTCGTGAAGCTTATCCTCGCCCATGGAGCGGAGGTGAATGTGGTGGACTCATACGGTCAAACACCCCTGCTTGCCATGACACACGGAGCATCGAAAGCGATGGTTGGAACAATCAAATTACTATTGAAGCATGGAGCTAATATTGCTGCAAAGAATGCCGACGACAACACACCTCTCCACCTGGCGGTACTGACTTCGGCATGGGAAGTGGTCGAGTTGCTTCTTGATCATGGAGCGGATCGAAATAGCCGCAATCAAGACGGGGAGACACCAATGGATCTTCTGGCCCGTCGCCGGAGTCATCAGGAGCAATTCTCGTTCAACAGAAACAAAAAGGGGGATTTGATGACTTTTAGAGATCAAGCGTACCGAGATCTCTGTTGGCAGTGGTGGCATGCATGTCATTATTCGGATCCTATATATTATTGCTATTATTAGACCAAGCAGTAGGGCAATTTGTTTTGTTCTCTCACTGGCATGTTTCTATCAATATCAAGTGTGAATGTAAAAACAAACCCTTCCCCGGTCAAAAGCCGGCCATTCCCCCGCATCCTGGAAAATTGCCTAATCTGATGTTTCATGCATCTTCTAAACATCCACCAATCCGAACATAGTACGGGGTATCTCTACAGCGAGGACCGAAGCATACACACGTTATAACCGGTCTTATTCCAAGATGGAGAGTATCTGCACAGAACTCAACAATGCGCCTTCTCGCGCTTCTCCCTGTCCTCATTGGACTCATATCCAACCATTTCGTCTCTGCAACAGATAATGGCAAGACTACTGATGTGACATGGGATAATCACAGCCTTTCAGTTAAGGGGGAGAGGGTATATGTCTTTTCAGGTGAATTCCATTACCAGCGACTCCCTGTGCCAGAGCTATGGCTCGATGTGTTTCAGAAGCTGCGCGCAAACGGGTTCAATGCGATTTCCAGTGAGTAACTTGACAATAACCCTTCGTCTCCATTGGTACTAATTTCAATCAGTCTACTTCTTTTGGAGTTTCCACTCTGCTTCCGAAGATACTTTCGACTTCGAGAACGGCGCCCATGATGTCCAGCGCGTTTTCGATTATGCCAAGCAGGCAGGTTTGTATGTGATCGCGCGCGCGGGACCTTACTGCAATGCCGAGACCTCTGCTGGTGGGTTTGCGCTGTGGGCATCCAATGGTCAAATGGGCAGCACGCGCACCAGCGCAAGCTCCTACTACGATCGATGGTATCCGTGGATCCAGAAGATCGGAAAGATCATCGCCGCAAACCAAATCACAAACGGCGGTCCAGTTATTCTCAATCAACATGAGAATGAGTTGCAAGAGTTGACTCATAGTGCCGATAACACTGTTGTCAAGTACATGGAACAAATCAAAGCCGCCTTTGCTGAGGCTGGCATTGTTGTCCCGAGTACGCATAACGAGAAGGGCATGCGCTCTATGAGCTGGTCGACGGACTACCAGGATGTGGGTGGTGCCGTCAACATCTATGGTCTGGACTCTTATCCTGGTGGTCTGTCCTGCACCAACCCAAACACTGGGTTCAATCTCGTTCGCACTTATTACCAGTGGTTCCAGAATTACTCGAGTTCTCAGCCTGAGTACCTGCCAGAGTTTGAGGGCGGTTGGTTCTCGGCCTGGGGAGGGACTTTCTATGACCAATGTTCTACCGAGCTTTCGCCTGAGTTCCCTGACGTTTACTATAAAAATAACATCGGTCAGAGAATCACGTTGCAGAATCTCTATATGGTTATGGGCGCAACTTCTTGGGGACAGAGTGCTGCTCCGGTTGTCTACACTTCATATGACTACTCTGCGCCCATGCGAGAGACCCGTGAGATTCGGGACAAGCTCAAACAGACCAAGTTGATTGGTCTGTTTACTCGTGTCTCGTCCGGTCTCTTACACACGCAAATGGAAGGAAATGGAACGGGGTACACTAGTGATGCTAGTATATATACCTGGGCCCTGCGAAACACAGAAACACATGCTGGTTTCTATGTTCTCGCGCACTCTACTAGCTCATCTCGTGCTGTGACTACCACTTCGCTTAATGTCAACACCTCGGTTGGTATGTACTCCAGTATTTGAGAGGAAGAATTGCGCTAACTTAGTGTCTACACAATAGGGGCCCTCACAATCCCCAATATTGAATTGGCCGGCCGCCAGAGCAAAATCATAGTCACTGACTACCAGATCGGCGATGGCTCGAGCTTGCTCTATTCATCCGCCGAGGTTTTGACCTACGCCACCCTCGATGTAGATGTCATTGTCTTCTATCTGAATATCGGGCAGAAAGGAGAGTTCGTCTTCAAAGACGCACCGACGCATCTGACTTTCAAGTCGTACGGCAATTCGAAAGTGAGCTCCGCCGCATCGGATCACGGCACCAAATACACGTACACTCAAGGGGATGGCACGACAGTGCTGAAATTCTCGCACGGCGTACTGGTTTATCTTCTAGATAAGGAGACGGCGTGGAACTTTTTTGCAGTACCGACTACTTCCAATCCGCTTGTGGCTCCTAGTGAGCAGATCATTGCGCATGGGCCATACCTCGTTCGCACAGCCACAGTCAGCGGGCATACCGTCAGCCTTGTCGGTGATAACGCAAACACGACATCTCTTGAGTGAGCACGATATTATCTCTGAAATCAATTGCTAGCTAATATGTGATTCTAGGGTCTACACGGGCAACTCAAAGGTTACCAAAATCAAGTGGAATGGCAAGGAGATTTCAACCAAGAAGACAGCCTACGGCAGCTTAATCGGATCAGTCCCAGGAGCCGGACATGCCAAGATATCACTGCCAACTCTGAAATCATGGAAAGCGCAAGATACACTTCCAGAAATCAAGCCCGACTACGACGATTCTCGCTGGACTGTTTGCAACAAAACGAAATCAGTCAATTCCGTAGCACCACTAACACTTCCCGTGCTTTACTCTGGCGACTACGGCTATCATGCCGGGACGAAAATCTACCGTGGACGGTTCGACGGTACAACCGCGACGGGCGCAAATCTCACTGTCCAGAACGGCGTTGCCGCTGGCTGGGCTGCCTGGCTAAATGGAGTCTACGTTGGCGGAGACATTGGCGATCCCGCCCTAGCAGCGACCTCAGCCGAGCTACTCTTCAACAGCTCTACGCTCCGCAAGAAAGACAATGTCCTGACCGTTGTCATGGATTACACAGGCCACGACGAGGAAAACGTGAAACCGCACGGTGCCCAAAACCCGCGCGGTATACTGGGCGCCACGCTTCTTGGCGGGGATTTCTCATCCTGGCGCATCCAAGGCAATGCCGGCGGCGAGACCAACATCGACCCTGTCCGGGGACCCATGAACGAAGGAGGTCTGTATGGAGAGCGTCTTGGCTGGCATCTTCCAGGATACAAAGCGTCCAAGAGCGCAACCTCTGACAGTCCTCTGGAAGGTGTATCTGGTGCCGCAGGCCGATTCTACACGACAACGTTCAAGCTGGACCTAGACTCGGACCTGGATGTTCCGATTGGCCTGCAGCTTGCATCTGATTCCCCCGCAGTAGTACAGATCTTCATGAATGGGTACCAGTTCGGTCATTACCTGCCACACATCGGACCGCAGACTCGGTTTCCGTTTCCCCCGGGTGTGATCAATAACCGCGGGAAGAATACGTTGGCGATTAGTATGTGGGCGTTGACAGAGCAGGGAGCGAAACTGAAACAGGTGGATCTGGTTGCATATGGGGCTTATCGCACTGGTTTCAACTTCAATCCCGATTGGTCCTACTTGCAGCCACAGTGGAAGAACAACCGGGGACAATATGTTTAGTGATCAATGTCTTATGATACATGGGAGATGAAACGATCATGTTAATATGAGGTTCCCAAAATACACTATGATTCGAGCTGGTAACGGCTGATTTTGTAGCCTGCATTTTTGGCCAGTTGACAATGTGATATCGGAAGTATAGGCGCTATAACAGGCCCATGAATTTCCTTTTCTGGTTAGTTTGCCTTTTTAAGTTTAGCTTCCCGATACGCCTTAAGGGTCTTCAATGCTCTTTTTAACGGGGCCAAGCGCTCAACACTATATCTATGATGTTGGTGCGCCCCAGAGGATCAGGATCACAATCTTTCACTGAATAATAAATTTAGAGACTAAGAATTAATACTAGGATGATATTGATTAAGCTAGATTCGCATTACATATTTGTACTCTTTGTCTTACTTTATCTAGTTCGAGAGTTGAGAAAACTTATATATTGGCTACGAGATGCTTCAGTATCTTTTGTATTAGCAACTCATACAAAAGATAACTAATTTCTCAATTTGTGATACAGTGAAAGATTGTGATCCTTTAGGGCGCACCAAGACCATAGATATAGTGTTGGGCGCTTGGCACTACGGAGTACTCCGTATAGTAAAAGGACTACAGGAGTTAATTCATATACGGACAAAATAATAAAGCGGAATTTTTACAAATTTTTATCGACTTTTGTCGGACCTTAAGGTTAGGAAGCTATTGTAAGTACCTTCCTATATGAATTACCAACAGGTTCGTTTTGCATGGTAAAGGGGGTTACTTAGGACCAGTATGGAGGTATAGACCGCGTACAGTCAGAGTTCTATCAATCTTCTACGACCGTGCCGGTACGGAGAAGTGAAGGGTCCGGGGAAGTGGAGTTGAAGCACGTTGAAAACATACTCCGTACTAAATTTTGAATTAGGAGTAAACTACGCAGATCCCGATCCTTAGACTGCTAGTTCGGGCGTAGAACTACCTAATTTGGCATCTTTAGGGCTAATGTGATAGTTAGTCATCATAACTAAGGGTCCACGGCTCATCTAAAGTTTTCCAAGGTTTTCCAAGGTTCTATCACTGTTTACCTATTACCTGTTCTGGTTTGTGGTCGCATGCCTTCATAGTACTGCCAAACTGCTGATTAACCACCCATTCGGGTAAGTGGTGTCAGGTCTAAATGCCTTGGGGTATACGGAGTATTATCAATCTCAAAATCGTATATAAAGGATATTCTCAGCATGCCAATTGAATTGTTTATCATCTCTTCTGTTTCATGACCATTCGTCCTTTTGTTTAATCCATTTTGATCTTCAAGATGCGAGTCCTAGAACTTTGCGTTTTGGCCAATCTTGCTACCTCGGTGAGCAGTCTGACTGTTGGCCGGGACTACGTGGTCTGGGCTCGTGCTGACCCGGTTCCTTCTTCCCCTTCTGCCTCGCAAGTTCCTTCGCTTGACACGGATGCTTGGAAGACCATGCAATGCTCCCAGGTCCAGGGCGAACCGGATAGTCAATGGGAGCAGGCAGGTGTAAAAGCTGCCTGGGATACCACCGTTGGTGCCTGGAACCAGGGCCCGAGGGATAGCTTATCCCTGTTCTTTAGCAGCCGTCACCATGGGCCTCAAGGTTTGAGATGCAGCGACATTGGGACTGAGAACCGTTGCTCCCAGCCTGTGGAGTGCGAGCATGCTAGCACCCCAGCCGGGTAAGTCACCTTATATCACCTTATATGTTTCCTGTTATATAGTAATGCTAACACCGAGGTAGGGCTCAAATTTTGAATGCGTTTGTCGGTATCCATCAAGTATGTGACTAGCCAACCTATCGACCATTCCTTCGGTTTAAATGTGCTAATCACTTGTCTAGCTTCACGCATCGACTTTCCAGGCTATCGGGAATGTCCAGGACGATGTGACGAACGATATTGGCACTTTCACTTCTACCTTTGCTCCTAAGCCTAAAGATGAGTTGATCATGTTAAAGAACTTCTTGGATAGTGCCATGCTACTTATTAGCTTTGGCTCATCTTTGATATTCAACGTCGGTATAGTCCTCCTGTTAGCCCTTAAGCTAATAGCTTGTGAGGTCTAATGTTCATCTACTAGTCCTGCAAGATATGAAGAACGTGATCCTTCGCGGTCTTACGGTCGATATGACAGCCGCTTCTATGGGCTCTATCGGTTCCTTTTATAAGACTAACGTGAAAGGGTAATACTCCGTACCTCCCCTCATTGAGAGAAACCCTAGCCTAACGAATTGATAGTGCGATAGAGGGTCTGCAGGTCCAGAACACAATCGATTCTTTCCTAGGTTATACTATGAACGCCTGGAAGGGCATCGAGTCAGATTATCTAAAGACCCTCTTCTCCGCGGATAACACCGACACCGATGCTCTTTATAAGATAATCGACGGTGGTGTTATAGGCGCATCAATGAAGGGCCTCGACCTTAGCAGCACTATTAAAGATGTGAAAAAGACCCTCTATGGTGTATTGATCCCGTTCGCGTGGACTGTTTCTCAAACCGAATCCCGTCCTTTCATCTGGTAAGTTATTTCAACAAGGAACTCTGTTTCTCGGACAAAAAGACTGACTCGCACCGGTGACTAAAGGCGGACCGCCGATCCCTGTGATGAAAGCTCCACTGAAGGTAGAACCATCCGCGAAGAAACCCTTTACTATATCAACGGCGGCACAGAGGCGGCTTCGACCGCGGTCTGCTATGAAAATAGGCTTCATTTCCTGCTGAATAGTCATAGGTGGAACACACAAATGCATGCTTTCAACCCCCTTCAGGGTGGAGACAAAATTACTCTGGACGGAGTCAAATGGGGTGGAATTACTATTCAAGACATTGTCGAAAGTAGCGTGCGTGGATGGGCAAATAACGGCAACAAGAACGGCTACGCGCGCCCGGATATCAATAACATCCTGGATGGCTTCGGCAGTGAGCCTCTTAACATTAGAGAGCCTGGATTCTTCAATTTCCCGGTGTGCGAAAATGCCCGTTCCATCTTTGATGACTTGGCATATTATGAACACTCATCCTCGCCCTGTTCCATGTCTGTGGAATTCAGTGATTCTGAGGGATATAACAAGGATGGTACCAATATTGTGAGTTTCTGAAAGGGCCGTTCTGTCACTCCTATCCGCGATTAACTCAGACGATAGAGAGTTTGGGATAACAATCTTGAGGGGGATAATAAGTTTTCGCATGCATTATCTATCGTGATTGATGGCGTAAAGGTTTCGGCGACCATGTCGGATGGAGTCCGTAGTAAGTTGTCTTATTGTCCTTCATTAGAGAGTAGCTAAGCTAACAGTTCTAGACATTGCGGATCAGGGTACTGCTGAATCCACCGCTACCATCTACGCTATATTCGACAAAAACAACCATCTTGATGAAAAAGTGATTCCTGCTTGCAAGATCGTAGCAAAATGGCCTCGCAGCTGGCCTGAACTGCGATTCGTCGATGACTGTCTCGTGGAGGTTCAACCCCAGAACAGACAAGACATGTACAAGAAGTGTTGCGCGGATCAGCCACCCAATACTGATCTTGTCACAAATCCATGGTTTGGTGTAATGGGTTGAGTCCCAGTTGGAATTCATTTAACATTTGATTCGGTCACTGTTCTATTGATGTATCTACGTGTCAATCGTGCCTATGGCGATCATTGTCAAGACCAGTACCTGGTCGCGTGACTTTGTTTGTTTATATATGACTATAATTGAGATAGTTTCCTTCTCTTCCTCTCTCCATTCTACGGTCTCTCTTTAATAGCCAATATAGTCAGCTGCATTGCTAACTCATCCAATATGAAGAGAGGAGTCAGCTCCTGGATGAGCGATTCGGCTTAACGGAAGAGTGATTCAAGTTTCTCACCAGCGAGGCCGACATCATCTTCCACGCCGCCGCAAACCGCTCTGGGACAACTACCAGGTCATGAAACGGGCCAACGTACTGCCTATCAGCCTGGCTACACCCCGCAAAATCCCCATCCACTTCATGTCCTCTGCTGTTCATCTCTTGAACAAGACAAATGAGGAATATTATCCCGAGAGCCAAGCAACACATCCCCCACCAGTGGACGGCAAAGACGGTTACCTAGCCTCGAAGTGGGCGACAGAGAAGATCTTCGAAAATGCATCGAGTCACTTTGGGCTGCCTATATATATTCACCGTCCAGGGCCAGTACGAGAACAACAAGCGCAGCAGTGCTGTCTCCCGAAGGAGAGCATATTTACCGAGTTCATGCGTGTTTCTCAGTAACTTCGACTCCATATCCCCAAGGGCAGCATTCAGGGAGATATTGACTTTCTTGATCTAGCAGGGCTATCCGATATGCTGAGAGACTGTACCAGGAGCACCGGGCCAGCGCCCGAGGTGGATGATTCCGCTTTGGTGCGATATCTCAACCATCACGATATGAAATTGCAGTTGGACGAGTGGTAGGCGTATGGCGAGGAACACAAAATGAGATGATGGAGACACATAATGGGACAGAGTGGATTGCTAGGGCGAAGGAAATCGGGTTCTTTTACATGTCGGCGCAAAAGTTCAAATTGACGGGAGGGAGCAGGTTACTGATTATACAGAGGTGATCTATGTTATGTCCACTAGTATCTGTGTAAATTGATTCCATCAGTTATTTTCATCTTCTTTTGATTCGGAAATTCTAGATGTTCTCTCCCCTTATTATAGAAGGAGAAGAACTAACAAAATCTAGATAGTAAAAAGAAAGTATAAAAGCAAACTCCATATATATGTCAAGAATCTAAAGCAAAGATTAGAAAATGTACTATATTCTTTCCCACATATGTGGGCATCTTGATTCTGCCGGGCCTAGATCTAGCCTTTTGTTAGCTCGGGTACCTGTTTCATCATCGCTTTATATCCCTGTTTCCTTGTTTTGTTACATCAGAGCTGTCAGTCCAAAGTACTTTGTAGACACTAAGGCATACCCCCGTCAAGTTATGCTTCTAGAAATTTATAAAGATCTTTATACTCAAAAGACACTTCTAGGGCTGTCCTGCTATATATAGTCAATCCTTTCAACCTTTGTAGACACTAAATACCAAAGTCATCCCTACCAATAATAATTAAATAAATTGTAACACCCCAAAATGCAAGTTCATTGTCCAGGCGACTATCGGCCATGTCTGCCCAACCTCCGTGGTCCACCGCCATTTGTACTTCTCCACACGTTTAAACACGTTTAAACACGTTCCTCCTTCTCACTTCTAAACATATTCTCTGTTTTGTTTATATTCCTTATAATACCTAATGTCGCGCCATAACAGCGTGGATCTAGACTCGCCTGATCGGCCTTTCGACAACATCATCAATTTTCGCGATGTCGGCCGGTCGGTTAATCAATTTTGTCGCAAAGAGTGAGTTTAAGACGCGTCCCCGGTCTGATATATTCAATTCTAACAAAACTCATTCATATAGAATATTGAAAGAAGGAGTGTTCTTTCGCAGTGCGAGGGTAAATCTAACCCCGCTCAAAATATGACTCTGATTGATGCGTTGTCAGAGTAAGAAAAAGGCAAAAAAACTAATTTGGAAATTTCTAGCTCGATGATGCTTCAGAACGAGATAAACGCCGTTTAGAAGAAGAACTACATATCCATACTGTCATCGATCTCCGTTCCCAGTATGTCAAATATCACCAAACCCCAAGAAACCAACTAATAACAAAAACAGAACAGAACACCAAATGGGCACGCGGAAACGTCGAGCCCAGAACGCCAAATCAGATCTATCAGAAAAGTCACCAGACTCAATCCCAACAAACCCAGACGAACACCTCCTCCAAATCCCCGGCTCGGAAAGAGCTCTAATAAGCCTAACAGGCAAAGGCTTCGAACGCGCCTTATTATCGAAACTGGACTGGCTTACATATCTGTATGTCCCCGCCCATTCATACAATTCACGACAATACCACAAATAACTAATACAAAAATAGCAAAATCATCGGCCTCGTAACAACAGGCTACCGCAGCGACGCCGTGCGGCTGGTATGCAGAACCGCAATGCAACCCCGCGGTCTAACAGGTCTAGCCCAAGACACGTTGGATTCAAGCATGAATGAGATACGCTCCGTGTTCGAGATCCTCGCTTGCGAGGAGTCATATCCCACATTAGTGCATTGCACGCAAGGCAAAGACCGGACAGGTCTGGTCGTGTTACTTATATTACTTCTCGTCGGGGGCATTCCGGTTGACGCGATTGTTGATGATTACAGTCGGTCTGAGCTGGAACTTGTTTCTGAGTTTGAGGAGAGGATGGAGGAGATTAGGGCTATTGGACTCGGGGAGGATTATACGCGTTGTCCGCCTGGTTTTGTGGCTGAGACGACGAAATACCTGGAGAGTAGGTATGGGGGTGTGAGGGGGTATTTGGAACGGGTTGGGGTTGGATTTGAGATGCAGGAGAGGATTAGGGGGAAGTTTTTGGTTTAGGGGTTTCTCTTTTTGGGATTGGATTTGGAATTGGGATTGGATATATGGGTGGCTTGATTGTATTTGATATGGGATATGTAGATACGATAATGACCTTGGCATACTTGGGATGGGTCTAGCGTTTTCTTATTATATGCATGTGGATTTGGCATCGAGATAATAAATGGTGGAGGATTGGATGATTTCATTTCGTATTTTGAACTAAAGGAAGCATATAGATTGAGAAATGGAGAGTTATTGAATTGCTATATAAAGGGACTGAATATTCAAAGGCCAACGTATTGGCTCTAATGATGTATGCCCATCTTTCCCAAAAACACCATATGTAAGAGCATCCATGACAGGTATCAAAGTATCAAAAAAACATTAACAAAAGCAGAGTATCGGATGACATCGTGCACATCATATAAGTAAATACAAGAATAGAAAAAGAGGATTAAACCCGTTGGCCACGGTAATAGCCGGTGCTCGGGCCCATCGAGTCATGGGTCAGCGGCTCTTCAATGGAAACACCTTCTTCATGAGTTCCACGGAATCCATTCTCGCTCATCAGGTACTTCTCACCCTGGGGCACGTGGTTTCGGGTGCGCACGGAAGGCAATAGATCAACGACGAAGGAGAGAACGTAGCCCGTGAAGACAAAAGCAATACACCACTCGAGAACCGCGCCGGGATTTTGCTTGGACGACTTATTGCTACCGATACAAACACCGAAGCCGATGGCGAGTGCAAGCTCGATGATGACGAAGACAAGCTTGATGAAGAAACTGATGAGCAAGATACGATGCTCGCGACGATAGAAGATTCCGATACGGAGGTACTCGATGCAAACCAAGATCGCACTAATCACGTATCCAGCACTGCAGAGAAATTGATTGGTCAGTTGTTATTCGCGCATAGGGTGGGCAGACATGGCTCACATGAACAGACCGATGAACCCATCGTGCATTTTCGGGTGACGGAGCGTATCAAAGACGGAGAGTAGAATCAGACCGGCTGCACCGGCAATCGCAAAAAAGATTGAAAGAATAGCGCATGTCTTGTCCAACCGACCCTTGTTCTTGGCTAACTGGTTGGAGTGTCGAAGCCACCGCTCGGAGAGGAATGCTAAATCGAGGAAGACGACGGTGACCACGCTGCCTGCGACGAACAGCGGCTTCAAGCCTTGCGCTCCGACATCTGAGATGTACCTATAACAGTCCTGTTAGCGCATGGATGGGCGAATGGTGGAGAGAAAACATACGCAATAGTCTGCCCGTCATCCATACTGGGGTAGTGCGGTCTCCCGTCTTGAACCCAGATGACCAGCATGGCAATCAGCATTGCTAAGAGCATGTTAGCTGCAGCCCAGAACGAGATATCCGGTGCAGGGATTCCTTACCAACCCACATGCAGGCTGACACCAGCGGAAACATCCAAAATGATATAATCCACATGGTTGCGACTTTGTTTGTGTTTTGAGACCGATTTCAATGCAAAGGAGCTATGAGAGATTGTCGTATGCCCGCTAAAAAAAAAAAAAAATCGAATTCAAGGAGAGTGGATAAAGAGAGTGGATTGAAAAGACAGTGCGAAACGAGTCTATAAGGTCCTGTCAGTCGCAGTTTCTCCACGCGATGTCCATGTAGGATGGAAAGATGGAAGGAGTGGATTCCAGGGATTTTCCCCAGTGTAACTTACTTATATCCCTGTATTTATGTACAATGTTTCACACAGCATTCCAGATTCAAATCTAAAGGGGGCGATAGTGGCGCTTAGATGACAAAGGGATAGTATCGAAAGGTTTGGAACCGGGACAATGATGATGCGCAAGGGGATATATTCTCAAATGTATACCCAGTGGGTGCCTAGCTAGAAAGGAGAAGCAGAAGAAAAAAAGGAAACAAATTGAGACAGGTACAGACTTCATTAAATGTTTTCCCCTATGGCCCTGGAGACAAAGACGTCATCTCCGGGGCTCTGCCAAGGCAGAAAAATTGTGCGTCCCCACTGCCTAGTCCAATTGATCAGCCTTAATATTTACTCTAATAGTATCTGCTTACTATAGTTACCCTTGTAGCCACGGTACTATTAATGAGGCGTAGTTATATTATTAGGAAAATATGAAAATATGAAGGAATATGGGAGATCTGCGGGTGGCTGAATACTTGGCATACTAAAAACCTTGGGACATAAACCCTTTGACGTTGCATCGTATACTCCGTATAGACAAATCAATCTCAGGTCCACTTATGTAGAATATTAAGCTATTCCAAAACAAAGATCAAAGTGGAAATAATATGTGGATGCTTGTAGCCCAAGACCGATCTACCTAAAACTCCATCGCGTGACTATCGCGTGACGCAAAGACCATCAAAAAAAATCACTGAGCACAAAACACCCCAGACCGAAAGTAAATTTTAGAGGGATATTAGAGCAACCCCGAGAGACACTTCAGCTTCATCGGCTGGTCCGTTTACGGGTGGTTCCAGCAACCGGCCGCCTCTGCGCAACTGGGGCCTTGCGCTCCGCCACCTTGGCCACCTTGACGATCTGCACTTCATCCTCGCTCTCTGATTCATCTTCAGTAGATTGCTCCGGCCCTGACTTGACTGGATCTAGTGGTATGTCTCCCCGGGCCGTTGTGCCTGGCGGTGAGCGTTTGGCCGGAGATTGATAAACTGGGTAGGGAGGCCCTGAAGGGTAACTCATTCGATTCTGCTGGCCAGCCCGGAGATCGGTGGGAACCTGCGGTAGGTATGGCGCAGGTTCCCCGTATGGGTTCATTTGCATGGTATTGTAGTAGGACGGGGCCCACTGAGGATCGTCTGGCAGTGGCCGTGGGAACACAGGCGGTTGTTGCATCGACTGTGGTCGGGCAGTGGGGGCAAAGCGCTCGGGGGTATATGGGTAGGTAGGTCGAAGAGGTGAGTTGGACTGCTGGGGACGAAGAGATTGTGTGGTTGGAGTCCGGGGGCGAGCAGAAGATGAGCTGGACGGCCGCGAGCCGGCCGTCCCACGAGCCCAGGTGCTGTGTGCATCAGGCGCAAAGGTCGAATACGCCCCGGGCTCTGGCGCGACAACGCTCCGTCGGGACGATGGGCGCGACGTCGCTTTGATAGAATGGATGGATGAGCGCCGGCTTCCACTTGACCCATCCGTCTGCTGGCGCTTGCGCTCCAAGGCATCCAGTTCCTGTTTTGACAGCCGGACGTTTTTTTCCCCAGAACTTGGGCGCGGCGAATTCGTTCGAGCGCCGTGTCCACCAGTTGATCCTCCTTGTCTCGCATGGCCAATTGAATCGCATAGGCCACCGTGCTATCCTCATGATCGTATAGATCGAATTCTCCCCCATCAAGAAATTCAGCTTCATCCGTCAAGTCTTCATAATCCACAGGTCGCCTCCGCGGCCCTCGCCCTCCATACTCCTGCTTGTATCGACCGCTCCGCACTAACTCCCGCCCATATGCATCCTCCTCGCTATCCACCTCCTCCAGCCGTGTCTCCTCCCACGCACGTCCCCTAGTATTTCTCCCCGTTCGTGCCCCTGGTGGTCTTCCCCAAGGGGGCATGTCAAAAGGAGCTCGCGGCCGACCACCTAGACCGCCTCCTCGGAAAAAGCATTCTCGATCGGTTTATCCAAAAAAGCAGCGTGGCCGAAAACGGTCACACCGGTTGCGCCAATCAACCACAGGGCAGTGCCGAGGGGGAGGCAAAGATGCCGATGGGGACACCGATGATGAGTAGTCCGGTGTAGAGCTGCGAAGTGGTGAAGCGAGAGAAGCCGAGATCCAGATCCCGGCCTTGTAGCAAGCTGATTCCCCAGAGACCACAGCCCACAAAGATCATGTCGAACAGCAGGATCTTGTTGGTCAGCAAGCTGTAGATGCTAAGCATCACAAACACGACGGCATAGTTGCTGGAGAAGTAGGACAGGTTGTAATTGACTCGGCTCTGGGCTTCAGCGAAGTTGGCAGGCTTGGATATGCGCTTGATGTCGAGGAACTCGGAAATCGGGCGCAGGTTGGCGAAGCGTGTACTCAACGAGGTGCTGCGGAGGTTGTTGAAGCGATCGCCAAAACGCGAAGTGATCGCATCAATTGGAATAGAGACCATTTTGAATAGAGAGGTTGGAAGAGAAAAATAGGTTGAAGAGGTTGAAAATGGGACAGGTAATAGTAGAGTGGAGAGGAAAGAGAGCCGGAAACAAGAGGCAGTCACTTTTGGGCCTTTTCCCCTTTCGATTTTAGTCACAGAGCACGGGCGTTTCACCAAGACTTATCAAGTAATAAGATGAAATAGCAACACCTGGGTAGTTAGGTAGAAACAAATGCCAATACTAATAATAGTAACGGGTACCTGTCCCAGTTCCTAGCTCCCCTAGGTAACTCCCATAGGAAGTTCTGCAAAGAAAAGAAGAGTAAAACTATTAGAATCTAGATCTCTCACTATATATACCATCTACTCCGTACAGATGCAATAATTCATGCAGAGCCCAACTGCCCCTCTAAAGTAAAAAAAAACAGGTAAAATCAGTAAAAAACCACCAATTCAATTGGGGCCACGTTTGGCTCTTCGTAGTGGATAAACGCCCGACCGCTTTTTTCCTACATGTCCTCCACTAACACACAGCCTAGTTCAACTCTATACTTCTCTCGTTGGCTTCTGCGGCATTGACCGCTCTATCATCATGAAGCTGTTTGCCTTTCTATCGGTCTTCGTCTTCTGCGGCCTTGTCGCTGCCTGGTCCAAAGAAGGTGGGTATTGTTTACCCGGACCTGAACCCCATACTGACCTCGAACAGACTATGAGATCTTTGGGCTACAAAACGATGTGGCCACAAACGAGGGTGCCAATGTGACTTTCTACGGTACGTAATATCTCCCTAGCAATGTCAATGGCTTTCCTTTCTTTTTTCATCTTAAGGGATACGTATCTGACTTCTATACCCGACTGCAGACCTCCTCGAGATCCGTCCCAATGCCAATCAGGAACAAATCACCAAGGCCTACCGCAAGAAGTCGAGAACCATTCACCCGGACAAGGTCAAGCGCGCCTTCATCGCCAACTACGCCAAGGACAAGAGCAAGGCCAAGTCCAACCAGGGGGTCAATGTCAACAAGGGTCCTACTAAGCGCGAGATTGACGCCGCAGTCAAGAACGCCGATGCCCGCTCTGCCCGTCTGAACCTCGTCGCCAACGTCCTGCGCGGCCCCAACCGCGAGCGTTACGACCACTTCCTCAAGAATGGCTTCCCCCTGTGGAAGGGTACTGGATACTACTACTCTCGCTTCCGTCCTGGTCTGGGCTCCGTGCTGGCGGGCCTGTTCCTCGTTTTCGGTGGTGGTGCTCACTATGCTGCGTTGGTCCTTAGCTGGAAGCGCCAGCGCGAGTTTGTCGATCGCTACATTCGTCAGGCCCGCAGAGCTGCCTGGGGTGATGAAATGGCTGTTCGTGGCGTCCCTGGAATCGACTCAGTCGAAGCTGCGCCTCCCGCTCCTGCCCCTGAATCCGGCGACGCCGGTGCCGTGGCTGTCAACCGTCGCCAGAAGCGCATGATGGATAAGGAGAACAAGAAGGATAAGAAGGGAGGAGGTGCCCGTGTGAGCGCCCGTCCTTCCTCCGGTACCTCTACCCCCACCGAGCAGGTTGCTAGCACTGGCGAGCGGAAGCGCGTCGTTGCTGAGAATGGAAAGACCCTGATTGTCGATTCCATTGGCAATGTATTTTTGGAGGAGCAGAACGAGGCTGGCGAGCGCCAAGAGTTCCTGCTCGACATTGATCAGATTGCACGTCCTACCATCCGTGAGACGATGGTGTGCAAACTTCCCATCTGGTGCTTCAACAAGACTGTTGGCCGGGTGTTGGGAACTGGAACCACCGAGGAGGAAGTGGATTCTGATGAATCTGAGGAGCCCTTGGTTGAGGAGGCCGAGACCACTGCCACCTCAAACTCCCGCTCTCGGAAGCGTAACAAGCGCTCCCAGCGGTCATAGACTTGAACAGTTATATTACTGTACCTCGGGCGTTAGTCGTTGCTTTCTCTCCCTGTGGGATGATCACAAAAGTTCCCCCAGGTTGCTTTACTATAGAATTCCTGCTCGGATGTTGGCAATGCCCAACTAGAAACCAAAATGTACACATAATTTGTTTTTCTCAAATCCAAACATTCAGGGCAATACATTTATGATGCAGGTCAGTTACTGGCCATACACCGTGCACGGCCTATAGTCACAGGGCCATTGTCGATCCTGTCTGTGTACTCCTTGCAGATCCATCTCATAGTGGTACTACAGAGTATCCCCGCAAACATCGGTCTGCCACAGTGATATCTGTACTCTATACCTAGGTTTGGTGGGTTTATAGGCGGGTCTGCTGTACAAGAGGGACAGTGCACTTCCAGCTGCAGACACAACTAGTGCGGTGTACAGCAGTCCGACATCGTCATATCCACCTGCTTGGGCACCAACACTTGACTAGTTTAGTATAAATAGAAGACTCCAGTATATCTCTGGACTTGTTTCGAATTTTCAGATGTTTCATTCGATACAAAATAGCAGCTTTTCCTAAGAAATCAATTCTATCGAATTCAAACGGGCCTCCCAGTTCATGACAACATCGAAAAGTGCAAAGCGCAACGAGAAAAACAGCGATGGTAGTATAAAAGCGAAAAAGAAGCAAAGGACAGTAGGTGTATCATCGTGATCGTCATGTGTCGAATTTCAGCAAAGCATTGCAAGTCGTGGAAAAGAACCCCAGGCTCGAACAGCACAGCATGTCTAGGGGTATCGATGTCGTCTACGCAAACATCTTGGCAATGTTCATGAGACTGCTAATGTTCTCCGACATACCCCTACCACCACCGCCGCCCATCATACCAGCCACACCACCCATTCCACCACTGGGCTTCGATGCGCCGCCAAGGGCACTGGTAATAGCATGCGGCAAGCGAATGCCAATCATAGCCAGCAGCTTGGGAAGAACGCCGCTAGTCAGAAGAGGCACGATAACCATCATAAAGACCTTCATAGGATTGCGACGGGCCCAGCGATAGATATCGCGGAACAGACGCTTGATGTCGCGGAGCATGCGCTGCACGAATCCCTCGCGGGGACGGGCCCTTCGCGACGATGACGAGAATGACGAGAAAACAGATGGGCTTGATCGGCCTCCTGTTCGGCTTCCGCCTAGTCCGGCCAATCCACCGAAGAAGGACGGCGGTGAGTGTCGCGACTGATGCGTGGACGAGTGCCCTGATTTGCTGCGTCTGCTGTGTGTGCTGTGGCCGCTAGGCGTGGGTGATGACCGTCGCCGCACGTACCCTGTCGAGGAAACTCCACTGGATTTACCGTCGAACCAACCCATTGTGGTAGTGTGGTGGTGCTGATGCTGGAGCTGCTTACGGGTGCGACTTGGGGTACTTGGGGGCCAGAGGTGTTTGGTCTGAGGGCAGGTGGGTGCTAGTAGAGGGATTGTGGTGGGTAGGTACACAGAGAAAGGTGGGTTTGAGATGTTGCGTAACAATGCCCCTGATGATCTCTTTGAAACTTTTTTTTGAGCTTCTGTGTGGCAATTGAAAGAATGAGAAGAGACAGATGCAAGTCAGCCACTAGCTGCTGCGGAGATGCGCAATTTGAGGTCTAGGCCGATGTGTGCACCCGCTTTGCGGATTTTCTATGCAGGAAATTTCTTTGACAGCTGGCACAATTGAGATTCTAAGAGGGGTTTGTAAATAACGCTGGGATGGTAATTTCAGACGAATCAAACGGGATCTTCAGATATTGATCAGTCACCCCCTGGCGAAATAAAAGTGGCTGGGTTGTGTGGCCGGCTAAACTTAGACTTTGACTGCATTTTGTAGACGAAGGACCCATAGTCAATCCACTCTCGAGTAGTTCAAAATTATCCTTGAATATGGACTGTTGACCCTGTATAGATGTGGTCGTCTAAAATCAAATATCATTAAATATTTGAACCATGGAACTTGATCAGGATTCATGCCTCAGGCCACAACTACGTCACTGCATGTGATGGCTTTCCATGGAAGACTCTCTCCAGTTTCTTCGAGTCTATCATTAGTTTATCATAATACATTTTTTTCTCGTTGAAATTCAGAACCAAGTGTGATAATGTCAAGTATGTTGCTTTTATTCCCGCTCTCTTGCCTAAGTATATACTAACTCTTGACCAGGCCCCGATTACTGTAAGACCTCACCCAAAGGCCTAACTGAGATCGTTCCAACTAACACATACCAGACAAGATTCTAGGCATCGCCCAAGATGCCACCCAACAACAGATCCGCAGTGCATATAAGAGGTAAGTGTACCACAACTAGCCTCGAAATGACCCTCTAACCAAGCCTAGGGAATCACTGAAATCCCATCCCGATCGAGTCCCCGTCGACTCCCCAGAGCGACCCGCACGCACACGAAAGTTCCAGGAAATAAACGACGCCTACTATACCCTCTCAGACCCCTCGCGCCGCCGAGAGTATGATGCTACCCGCGCATACCAAGCAGCCGAGGAGGAAGCCGAAGCAAAAGTCCCACCAACCGGCGGTGGTTTCCCCTGGTCCAGCTTTGGATTCGGCGGGAACCGCGAAGAGCGTGACAGCGACCAATTCGGCTCCGTCTTTGAAGAGATGCTGCGCGAGGAGGGTCTCGCCGAGGAGACTGAGGGAGAAGGCGGCAGGCGCACTCGCCCAACCGGGAGGTTCTGGTCACTCGTTGGCGGTGTCAGCGGTGGTGCTATGGGGTTCATTGTTGGCAATTTACCTGGTGCGTTGGCTGGCGCTGTTGCCGGTAATCGTATCGGCGCAATCCGTGATGCTAAGGGCAAAAGTGTCTATGAGGTTTTCTTGGACCTTCCAACGCCAGATCGGACGAGGCTCCTGAGTGAGCTTGCCGCTAAGGTCTTCCAGACTACTATGGGACGCTGAGTATGTCTACTTATGGTTTGCTGAGCGGTTTGGGCGTTGGGGATTTGGGAGCTGGCTCTACAGGCCTTAGGAAATTGGGTTGAGCTGGTGATTCCAACTGTGCATGTCTACGTGGCTATAGACCACTTAGTACATGATGGAATACACATCAGTATATAGCAAGTAGTTAAGATAATTCTCGAGTGCACATGTTTGACTCGTTCTGATGATGGACCCCTCCGTTTCTTATCGATAACAGCCAGGCACTTGGCAGAGTCTAGACTACCTAGCTCTTTATGTCGCCACAAAACATGGCATAGTCTAGGACAGTATGCAACGTATACAATGTAGATCAATACCCAGGTAATCCAAGCAAGTCATTAAATCTAGTCCTTTTTCTAAACAGGTGAGACAGACCAGGTGGCCTTCTCTCCGCTTCTGGGCCCAATCGCCTCACGCTAAGCTCCCGCTTTCGCTCTCACCGCTTGCGGTCAAAATATAGGCCCCTCTCTCTATATTTACCCCCGAGTTGCGCAATTTTTATCTTTGACAAACTCCTTAAGATTCAATTGAACAAATCCTTTAAAATGACTGAAGCTGCCAGCATTTACCCCTCATTGGAGAACCGTCCCATCAAGGACACGGTTGTTCTGTTCGATGTTGACGAGACTCTCACCCCCGCGAGACGGGTAGGTCGCAATGAAACTCAACGCTGTTCAATTATACTAATATATTCCTATTACAGCATGCCTCGCACGAGATGCTTGAGTTGCTCTCTCGATTGCGCCACAAGTGCGCTATTGGATTCGTTTGTCTCCTCCAAATCAATACACCCACCCCGTTCCTAACATGATTCAGGTTGGCGGTTCGAACCTTGTGAAGCAGCAAGAGCAGCTTGGATCACCCACCATCGATGTTACCACCATGTTCGATTTCTGCTTCTCCGAAAATGGCCTCACCGCATTCCGCCTCGGCAAGCCACTTGCCAGCAACAACTTCATTCAGTGGCTCGGAGAGGACAAGTACCAAGATCTGGTGGATTTCGTTCTCAAGTTCATTGCCAACACCAAGCTGCCCCGCAAGCGCGGTACCTTCATTGAGTTCCGCAATGGAATGGTCAACATCAGCCCCGTTGGACGTAATGCTAGCATTGAGGAGCGTGATGAGTTCCAAGCGTACGTACTGGTCTTGCGCTCACTATGTCGAGGTGATCATGGATACAAAAATGGGCTGGCTAACTGACCTGCACTATAGTTATGACAAGATCCACAACATCAGAAAGACCCTAGTGGACCTCTTAAAGAAGGAGTTCCCCGACTATGGTCTCACGTAAGTCTTTGTCTGGCGAAGTTTGCTTTTGATACGGTGTTAACCAATCTCCCAACACAGCTACTCCATCGGCGGTCAGATTTCTTTCGATGTCTTCCCCACCGGTTGGGACAAGACCTACTGCCTGCAGCACATCGAAGCTGAAAAGGGCATCACGGGTATCGACTACAAGACCATCCACTTCTTCGGCGACAAGACTTTCGTCGGAGGAAACGATCATGAGATCTACGAAGACCCCCGCACCATTGGACACTCCGTTGACGGCCCTCAAGACACCATCAACCAGCTGAAGAAGCTGTTCGACCTATAGATATGAGGTTGGATGTCGAGTGGCCAAAAGGGCATGGATTTGTGATAGCGTTTACATGTGAAGTCTAATTTAGATATTTTCTGAAAAAGCCTTAGTTAATGATCAATCAAAATAGTCCTTTAATTTCATGAAATGAGAATATAACTCTACTAGTCAATGCGGGTAATGCGGGCACTGGGGCCGGGAAACTCCAGGGCTGGAAGCGTCGATCCCGCTTTCCGATGGCCTTAGTCATCCCGATCATTTCAGGCCCTGGAATAAGGGCTTCCAAGCTTTCGTCTTCTGCGTCATTCTTGATCAGTTTGAAGTGCCCTTAAATTAATTATCCATCTGCCCAGTGTCCTTGACATGGCGCCTCCAAAACATGTCGCGGATGTCCCGCGCAATATCCTTCCCCGTCTGAGTTGGAACAGCTCCTCCTCACGTCCGTCCGTTACCATCACCCACCATTCCGCACTTGCAACAAATCAACGACGACCACTTTCCCAAGGCTCGAGTCCTTTAAAACAACGATTCCATTCCTTCAGCGCACCTTCCCAGTCTTCCCGGCTCATCTCCACATCGACCCGGGATGCTATCTCCGGATATCTCGTTTCCCGAGGAACCTCTATAACCACGCCGGCGACGTCCACAACGCAGCGCGGCAATCCGATCCGACACAATGGCGTCTATGTGGCTACCTTCCATCCCGCTCGTCGCGCCTTCCATGCGACACCAGTTCGAGCCCGCGATCATCACTTTGATACCCTGAAATTCGTGAAGCGTCTACAGACGGAGGGCTTCAGCGAGGAGCAGTCCGTAGCAATGATGCGGGTACTGAACGATATCATTCAAGAGTCGATCCAGAATCTTACCAGGACAATGGTCCTCCGAGAAGGTATGTGAATGTGACTGTCGCGCATCGTGACTTTGGAATGCTTATCGGATATCTAACGGGAAACGCTTTACTAGACTCGGAGAGATCGACTTATACACAAAAAGTGGACTTTGCGAAATTGCGCTCCGAACTACTCAACGCAGACTCGACCGAGGCACAATTAACCCGCTCCTCACACGAGAAGATCGCAGCAGACCTCGCCAAACTCAACTCACGACTCCGGGATGAGATTGGACGAACACAAGCCTCGGTCCGGTTGGATCTGAACCTTGAGAAGGGTCGGATTCGCGAGGAAGCAAATAGCCAAGAAATGCGGATCAAGGAGACCGAAACGCGAATTGAGCAGGAGGTTGCTGGATTAAGGGAACGAGTGGAGGCTGTCAAGTTCTCGACGTTGCAGTGGCTTATGTATGATCCTCAAAATATCCCGATGCGCGAGCTTATGCTGACTTTCTTTTCTCTCCAGGGGTGTATGCACAGGTACCGCCGCCCTTATTCTTGGTGCCTGGCGCTTGTTTATGTGATTGGGACAAAATTCTGCATTGGATATGGAGTGATTGTTTCTGCCTTGCTTTACATAAGACATTTGGTGTCTTACAACTTTTCTTTGTTTTTGTATACTACCATCTCTACTCGTCTAGACATTTTATGTTGCTATATATGTAGGTTTAGACAATACCAAGCATTTGGTAAATATCAATGAAAACCATTGGATAATTCAAATTTTGGCCTGGGTATATCTAGTGTGCGATACCAGTAGCCCTGATGGGCTTACATAGGGGATCCAGGGTACGTGACAAGCTCGAAAGGGGGAGTACGGACATTTGGAGTCTCCTAGGTTCCTTCGCTATTTGTACACCTTCCCCTCTTTATGCACCTTTATCCTCAGGGATAAGTCTACTACTTTCATGTATGCCAAGGTTGCATCGCAACCACTTTCAAGGTTACATAGCTTTTAACCAGGTTGTGGATAAAACACATCCTAACTGGTTCACCTAGGGAGAGCTAACATGCTAGTTCCTCTATGGCACTTGTCTCAACGGCTGATGGGTCCTCAATCTCCAATGGAGTATTGTTGTACCCACCTAGCTGCATGCTTGTTATCTATTCTTCTGCTCTGGCTTGTGGTTACATTTTGCAATGTTGTTAAATGGCAGCGCAGGTCGAATCGATCTTCGGTGTCGATACACAGTCAACAACCCCTGAAGCCCCAAGAGACTTACAAAACCGCCAATACTGTGTTGTCGGTTGATCATTGCGATTTGAAATCGAGTGTGAACGACAGCAACGGCAAACTGAGAAGAGTCAATCCAAGCTTCGGACTACTAGCGATTATGGCTCTGATCGCCATATGTGGGTTGTTGCTTTTGGGGCACCTTCCATCGGCTTTCTCGCTCCAGAGCGGATTGAAGTCTGGTGCGGGTTTTTTATCCCAGACGCCTAGCTCGACTGGTTTGCAAGACTTTTTCCAGCTCTATCAGCCGATATCGTTCGCTTCCAGTGGAGATGATAACTGCAATGTCGAGATCTTGCTCATGGATCATGTTTTTGGAGTCAGTTATGGAGCACCGTTTGTTGGTAAGAGGTCTCAAAAGTTGCTTCTCCTTGTGGTCTAATCTCACAGCTTATCTAGGCGACTATGAGCCCCCAAATTGCGATTTTGATACTGTACGAATCAATCTCACTGTCACTTCTCGGGGAAAGCAGTATGACCGCCTGGCACTCATGTACCTTGGAGACAATGAAGTGTTCCGGACTTCAACGGCAGAGCCAACAACCAATGGGATTGTCTGGACCTATATCAAAGAGATGTCGCAGTACAACTCGCTATGGAAGAGCCCCCAGAAGCTGATATTTGACTTGGGAAATATCATTAACGATGTTTACACCGGCTCGTTCAATGCCACACTAACAGCGCACTTCTCTACGGGGCAGAATGTCAAGACCGCGGATATGATTCTTCCAATCTCAGCCAAAAAGTCGGCTTCAAACTCTTCAAGTGCCTTCCAACTTCCCACAGACAACACAACAGTCATGTACAAGATCCCTGCTGCGGCGTCGCGTGCTGTTGTCTCAATATCGGCATGTGGACAGTCAGAAGAAGAGTTCTGGTGGTCCAATGTCTTCTCTGAGGATACCCAAGACTTTGGAAGCACCGTCGGTGGGCTATATGGGTACACTCCCTTTCGTGAAGTTCAGCTATATATCGATGGAATCCTTGCCGGGCTTGTCTGGCCATTCCCTGTTATCTTCACGGGAGGTGTGGCTCCGGGATTCTGGCGTCCTGTCGTTGGAACGGATGCATTTGATCTTCGACAACCGGAGATTGATATTTCCCCATTTCTCCCCATGATTCAAGACGGGAAACAACACTCGTTTGAGATCCGGGTGACTGGTCTTGATGTCTCTTCAGATGGGAGTGCCACATTTGCACACACTGTGGGCTCCTATTGGGTTGTGACAGGAAATATTTTCATATATATAGATAACGACAGCTCAGCCGCTAAAGCCACCATCACTCGTGACAACAATGCGCCCACAGTGAATGCTCCCTTGCCAGTGTTTTCTGTGACTCGAAATCTTGTTCACAACGAGACCGGGGGAAATGATTCCTTGTCGTACTCTGTAGTTGTCAAGCGAGTTTTCCGCGCAACATCTTCTCTGTACTCGTGGTCTCAGACACTATCCTTCTCCAACCACGGTGTCCTTAACCAGCAAGGATACAGTCAAGTCAACAGACAACTCACAACTGGCAATAACACTATCACCAAACTTGGAGATACACCCATTTCACACAGCCTTGAATTCCAATACCCGTTGGTTGTCAATGCAACTTACGGTATCACCTCGAATGGGATGACGATTGACTCTTGGATGAAGAGAGGTCTCGATTTTGAGGCAACAGGAGGGCTCGGTATTTCCACTTACACCTTGACCTCGGGACCATCATACCTACACACAACGCAGTCTGGCACGGCGAAGTATAAATCAATCACTGGTGGAAAGTCAAGCTCTTGGGGCGACACCAGCAATATATTTGCCAGTCAGATGAATGGGCGATCATACCACCGATCTGTTCATGCAGTTAATGGTACCGTTGTACACGACACCGACCATAAAGGCAAGACCTCTCCTTCTTCTCCTCAAGAGCTTGGGGATACTGGAAGAGACAGTGTGAGGGCTATACTTGGAAAGGGACCAGGAGCTCTCATAAATCAGTGAGGGTGACGTATATGAAGGATCCCAGACGTGAAGGTTGCAAGGTAGACGATAACCCTTTTGGGACACGGAGGCTGGATACAACGCGTCATGATAGAGTAGCGCAAGTAGTGAGTCATGATAATCTCACAACAAATCCAATGTGTGGTTTTGCACAATAAGACTCTGTTGGAGATGAGACAAGGTCCTAGATAGTCAGTTACCTTTGTTGGGGCATTTCAGTCTCATTTGTGATTGAGCGTAAAAGCATCCGAACTGCTCATCGTTGTTACCCCAACAGGTTTGAATCCTTATTTTGCTTCTTCACATATTCAACTGACCCCGTCTCGGCCCCTTCGCGTCAACGTTCAGTTTGACGCGCCCTTGCAATGGAACTACCTTCTTACAGTGTCGAGGGTACTGATCGGTTTGTCTACCGACTAGGGGGTAAGTTCTTGAGTATGCACACCGTATGAACAATATAACTGACAAGAGACAGATTTTACCCTACAGGCATGTTCTCCGACCTCACAATTTACACCACGGACCAAGCCTTGAACGTGCACAGACTCGTAGTCTGCAGCCGATCTGAGGCTTTCTGCAGATTCCTCTCTAATGTCCCCAATGTAAGTCTCCTAAAATCCCAAGCTCTTCATTACCCACAGTCCCAACTGACTTTATGACTGCAGGAAAGCAAACAGGCCCATGAGTTCGAAATAAAGGACGAACACCCACGAGTCGTAGAAGGCATGATACGCTCGTTCTACGGACTACATTACGACATCAACCGATCAGACCCTCAAATGTGTCCTATGTTATTCAATGTCAAGGTATACTCTCTTGCGGACAAATTCGAGGTGGAATATCTCAAAATCCAAGCAAAGTTAGCCTTCGTCACCCTCGCCCAAGAAAACTGGAACTCGGACGAATTCCTGACGGCTGCTTTTGAAGCATACAAAACAACACCAAAGTCGGATCGAGGTCTGAGGGATGTGGTCGTCGCCGTTTGTCAGAAGTATAGGAAGGACCTGCGCGAGAAGAAGGGGTTTGAGAAATTGCTTGAAGAAACTCCCGGGCTTGCTACCGATGTTGTGCTACTTTCGCACAGATGGTTGCCTCAGCCTGCGTCTGCGAGAGTTCGGATCGTGCAGTCTTTCTCTTGTCTTTCTTGTTTTGCGAGATGGCAGATCGAGGTCGGGTTGGCAGAGTACTTTACTTCGTGTCCGTTTTGTCGGGATGATAAGGTTGGGGCTTTTTGAGGTCAGTCTTGCTGTAATTTGAGACGTCTCTTGCTTGGAGATATTATGGTTCTGTTGTAATATTCGTGGGAATATTTAGCACAAATCAAAGATATGTTGGGTATCTCGCTGTTGTGAATAAACAGATTTTGTTCGAGAATACAGACACTGGATATTGTATTCACCTAGATAAGCCTAGGAATCTCTATGTTAGTATGCTTCTATAAAAAGGAACTCTTGGCTGTGATCCATGTCAGTATTGTGTAGCAGAATACGAATGAAGTACACGATTGAGACAAAGCCAGAACACTCTCAACTTCGCCGTGCCCCTTCCCTTCTGGGCACGCCCTTACCCTCCCCCGTTTTGGCTTAGCCCCAAGCCGCTTTTACCGTCTACTATTCAATAACACTACTCGACTTGTCGACGCACTTTCTCTCTTTCCCTGCCTTTCTTTCTCGCCCCTGGAGGAATATTGTTTCTTGGTTAAGCTTAGGGACGAGACTGGCTTACACCTTCCCCTTATTTATTCAAGTAGACTTTATATAAGCAACTAGTGTAAATTAGTGCTTCGGAGGTTATAAGTAGCAGATTACAGATTAAGAATACACACTTCTAAACCTCTCTTAGTTGACTTCTTGGTTTGCTATCCCGGTTTGCTTTATATGCTGTGGAAGGTATGAAATTAAATTACGGCAGCTGAATCGACCCGTATGCTAGAGAGCATACTGCCTAGAGCGTTCCCATCTTCAATAGTTAAAAGTCCCATGTTTTAGCGGTAAAAAGACAGGGTAATCAAATGCAACACCTTGTTTCTTGACAACTGTTTTCGAATCCACGGAATATCCGCGTCCAATCCTCGCATATAGTTGGATATGAACCTGCTCAGTCATATTAAAAATCCCCTTATCTATGTACAGCTTTAATTATGGCCCTTAACTAAATGAGTGACGGCTGCACGAGCCTCATATTCAAGAGGTGTAACTCGTGTGATAGATAGGCCGCTCCGACTCTCTCCTGCTGCTTGATATGTCCGTTGATTAATGAGGGCTTTTTCATTATTTGAGATTGGACGAAAAGTACCCTATCTGTTGGAGTTGGATGCCTACTTGGATAATAAAACACTACCCGTTTACCAAGACCCGTTTTCAATTATGGAAAAGCCCCCTCATTTGAGCCTTTACTCAACTAGTTCGAATAATCAAGTGTTAGTAAAGTTGGAAATCAAGGAAATGGCATTTACACAGCATCACCATGCCCTAGTAGTCCCTATACTCATCCGGGATCAATAAATGGGCTTTTTTTCTGATTTTCATTGGCTGGGACAGTTTTCCACTTGACATGCGTCCCTGCACCTATACCAAACCGAACCCTTTTGTGCAATACAATGCGTGATAATAGTGCTTTCCTGATGTGTCCATGAGGAAAGTTCTCAAGCTGGTCTGTTATTTAAAGAGTCACTTTAGGTCACCTACCGGAAGATATAAAAATATTCCTTATCAGTAAAACTGGACGCCATAATGAGCAACGAAACATCATCTCAGCCTGACTTTCTCCGACCAGTTGAACATGAGAACAATCCTGGCCTCACAGAGGATACCTTCACGGACCTTCCAACCTACGATTTCCTTTTAACAGGAATTACCAGAGAAGGCCATCAAAAGAACAACTCTGTTACTTTTGATCCTGTTGGGTTACAACTGCCATGGCCAAGTTCCTTCCCTGCCGCTCGTCAGTGCAAATACTGGCTAGAGGCAGAAACCGAGTGTAAGGACTTTATGCACCAGATTAGAGAGGCTTTATACGCCCTGGCGGGCAGATTACCGGAAAACTTCAAAGAGTCTTTGCTGCATCATGAACTTTCAGTCATGGAATTGGATAGAGTTGTAACTGCTTCGGGTTGCGCAATATACATGCAACCAGAGTGTGGCAGAACCGAAGTTTCCATAATCTCAAAGCTACATGTTCTTATATGGTTTCACGATGGTACGCAATTATATGCCGAAACTGTAGAAATTTAGCCTAACTGACCGTACTTACTCTCTGACAGATGTTGTCGAAACTCAGCGTTCTGGCAGTTGCGTGCGTCTCACAGAATCCAAGACTTCCCTACTGACTGACCTCTACTTTAGGAATCTACGATCACAGAGGTCATTGTACGATGCTGGCCAGAAATTCTGGCTAACCCTCAAGCCTTCTACGCACATTCTGGAGACTGGTGCGTGAAGCTAGCGCTAGAAATTCTGGCTGCAAATGCTCAGGGGCCAGATCTGATACGAGCATTCCTTTCTTGGATGAACTTTACGAAATTACAAGCCAGAGAAGGCTTCATCTCTCTGAGGGAATACCTTGACTATCGTGCTGGGAATATTGGGCAAGAGTAAGCTTTGGGCCCGAAAATGAACCGCACCATTTGCTAACGTCTCTCAGTTATATCTTTTCCTGCACACGATTCAGTGAGAACATTCAGCTTTCGAACATCGAGCAAAATGCCCTAGAGGACCTCATAAAGCTTTCAACTGATCATATCATTTTTGTAAACGACTACTTCTCTTACGAAAGGGAGATACAAGAGTCGAGACGTCACTGCTCTCCATGCCTTAATGCGATCAAATACATTGAGGACACTTTATCGATCGAGACGAGCTTGGCAAAGAATGTTGCTTTGCATCTCCTTCAAGCCTTGGAAAGTCAAATATGTGAAGAGTTCGAAAAATTGCAGGACTCGGGTGCACTGAACTTGTCGCAGGTTAGGTATGCACATGCTATTATTGAGGCGACAGTGGGAAATCTGGCTTTTTCTATTACTACGCCGAGGTACAGCCTCGCGTAGGCATCGGCATAGTGCGGTTCCGGTTCCAACACCCGTTGCACCTCGTATTTTCGCGGCTCTGAAACTTCAAAAACGCAAATCCATTATTCTGCTAATAATTTTATTTTCTGGAATCCTCCCACACGCCATTACCGCTCATCAAGGTGGGATGTTTTTGTCTCGATGTCAATTTCCGGCCACAATATCGCTATGTGATAAACCTTCCTGCCGAATGTGTGGATTAGATCGTGCTCTAGAACTCATTTACGAATTCGAATTTGAAATCTGAAATTTTGCCAATGCGCGATAATGAGATCTTCAAATGCGTAGGTTTATGTTGAGTGAAAAGAGAGAGAGAGAGAGAGAGAGAGAGAGAGAAGCTACATGGGAAACGGGCCTGGGCAAGAGAGAGGGATCATATAGAATATTGTCTCAACATAAGTTCTATAATAAAAACCAGATGCCAATCAATCCGATCATAAATGGTACTGATTTAATGCCTGGGAGGGAGCAACGGATATGATAGCCATGCAGCATGCTGTGGCTGGTCAAGAGGCCGGTATTGTGAGGGCGGGACCTGGGTCAGACGAAGTCTCCAGTTTTGAACGGATTAGCAGCCTCGCAATGTGTTCCTTCCCATCCAGGTATCTCGCGTGGTATGTTATGGAAAGGCTAGCCTTGATAGTGCCAGGGTCATTTCGTGCATAGCCAAAGAGCAAAGTTTGCTCCTGCTCGCAAGCCTCCTGTCCGAGAAGCTGCGCAATGTGGGACTCGGTGGTCGTTACCCGAGCAGCATGCGAGTAGCGAGCCACAAGTGTGACGAGAACGGCAAATATCTGGTAGCCTAACCAAGCATACTGCACAGGGAGGGGCATCCATAGTGTTGAACAGAATAGGCCAATCGGAAAGAGGGAGCCAAATCCTATAACAATAGCTAGTTGGATGATCTCTCTAAAGTGGCTTCGGACCGGGTGGCCGTAGTGGCGTGTAAACTGGAGGACAAGAGCTGGCGGCCCGGTGATAAGTAGGAAGTTGCCGTCAGATTGTGGGTAGCGGACTTCAAAGTCGCTGACTGGGTCATTCGCCACATGAGAGGGAAATGATATAAGCGGTTCCCGGCGAAGGGAGAAGGATGCGCTAACAAAGCGTAAGAAGAGCGGAGCGAGCCAGAGGAGAGCCCATGCGGTTTGATAGATGGAAAGTAGGATGATGGTGACACTAATCCCTGATATCTCAGCGAGAGCGAGGCCTAGGAAAATGCGTAGCGAAGGACCGTTAACACTTTCCGCCACGAAAGGGAGCTTAGATGATATATCAGCTGGTGTGGCTTTAGAGAGGGTTAAATGGCCAACGATGACCTGGGCGCGAATAGGGCGTGTAGGTTCACCCATTTCGGAGCCCTGAATATAATTTTTGTCTCGCATAGCCCGGACGCCTATGTAAGTAAAGGCGCGAGCCCAAATACAGTTCCGGAGAGGCGCAGTGCGCGACGTAGGCGCAGCATCATTGTGCACGACATATGACCATCCTAATTCCGGCATAAAAGAGGTCCCCAGCATATGTCCTTGGTAGGAGCCTTCAAGTAGGCCGTGTTGAAACATGGTGTCCATAGTCTTTAATGCCACCGTGTGTAGCGGCCCTCCCATGGGATGGAGGAGCGCCAGCTGGGGTGCCGAGCGGATTGTAAGGCCGGATAAGAAGCGCTGGGGCCATAGAAGCCGCTCAAATGATAGTACCGTCGTCGCCTCTGCCCCAATGTATCCAAGGAGGGCACCAAATGCACCAAAAAGGTTGTTCAAGCTTTTGTTGTCCGGCGAGCCAGGTTCCTGGTCGAGGGTTGCCATGGTGTACTCTTTCACCTATAATCCACAGTATATTACTAGTTTGCGAATAATTTATGAAAATTGGGGGAAAGGGAAGTGTTCAACAGAGGAGCCAGAAATGACTCCCCTCGTCCAAAAGGACAAAAAAGGGCTCGTAGCGGCTGCATTACGAGTGGGGTGGGTTCCCAGCCCACGACACACCATCAACGGGATAGGACTGTGTCAGTAGAGTGCGCTGGCCGTGGCGGTAGATGCATTACGCCAAGGCCGTCTAGGTGAGTGGAGGCTTAAAACGGCGTCATAGGCGGCCCGTTCCAGGCCTCCCATTCACCGTCTTACTCTGTAGTATATACCCACCAGGAGGGATCTATACAATATATATGTTGCGTAAATTTCCAGTCATATTATCTAGGAAAGCGATATTGAGCGAAAATAGCTATTATTAGATGAGGTAAATAGTATAAACTCTAGTCGATATAGTAGATTATAGACAGCTGGATGCAGTATTGAGACCTGAGCTATTGTCGTCTTGATATACCAAGTTGAGTCGGACTTGCATTTAGCCGAACTTGCATTTAGCCGACAATCAGCCCCTGTTCTTATCTTCCCGTGATTATTACGATAAGATGATCCGTGGATCCATTCATGGATGGATCGCCCCATTTCTCCAAGTCGAATTATCTCTCCTCGTCAACTCTCTATTGTGGCGACAGAATCGTCTGTGGTTTTCAAAATGGGTGTGGTCGTAGAAGATATCGCTTTACCAGGTAATTCTTGTTTCCTGATATCACAACGGATTGAAGCACTGACATTCATTGTTATTCTAGACGCGACTCTCGAGTCTCTATACCCCATCTTCCAGCAACCCGATGACCGTCCCACCAAGCGGCGCAAGACTACCAAAGGGAGCGCAAGGAGCCTGACACAAGAAAATGGGGTATCAGCGACAGGAATACCTCTAGGCTACATTCCATTAGCACGGTTGACAATGCGCATAGTAGGTTGCCACTGGTATCCCGCTCTGTAAAGCAAAATTACTGACCTCTCACCCTCCGCAGAAACCCTCCAATACGAGCACACGCAAATACAAGAGGCCCTACGACCCAAACTTCTCCAACTCTCGGGTTCCCATACTCATAGATGTTCGGAGCGTTCATTTTATCGATGAAGATCTGAATAACACGCCACAACCAGACTCAACAAATGGCGACGCCAATCGTATGGAGCTGGAACTATCTAGCCTCGACGAGGAAGAATTGCTGATATATCCATGCGAGGATTTGCACCTGTTTGATCTCCTCGGTCAACTTCAGGCTGTCAGCAGACTTGCTCACGTTGATCAGTTCTCTAATAATGTGCCCACGGCCTGCTACCAAGCACACTTGTGTGTCTCCTCAGATGGAGCAACTTTTACTCTCGAGACAGTTGTGCTTTGGAGGGATTCTCTTGAGGCCCCGGATTTGAACCGCTTGACGGAAGCAGAGCTGGAAGCCTTTACAAAATATGTGTTGAAAGAAAAATGCGTTCGCCCATCAGAATTGACCGACCCGCGCGAATATCGCAATAGAATGCTCGGAACTGTGAAGGAATGGTCTCCCCGGGATTTCTACACAAATGTTCACGTTCCCAACCCCGCAGAAAGTTCGACGAATCTCAAATGCCCTGATTTAAAATGCGAGTTATACCCGTTCCAGAAAAGAGCTGTTCGCTGGCTTTTGCAAAGAGAAGGAAGAGAAGTAGGGCCAGATGGCAAAATTATCCCTATGGAAGAGCTTCCTAAAAGTGACATTCCAGCGTCTTTCAATTCCACGAAAGATGTCGATGGACGGAAATACTACTTCAGTCATCTTTTCATGATTCTGACAACGGATCTTTCCGGGTGGCACGATGCCGCAGATAACTTGAAAGGTGGAATACTTGCAGAGGAAATGGGGCTGGGCAAGACAGTCGAAGTGATAGCATTGATAAGTCTGAATAAGCGAGAAAGGCAGCTCAAGGCTGATCCTGACGGGCTGACACCTACTGGCGCCACGTTGATCATCACACCACCCGCGATTCTTGAGCAATGGAGACAAGAGTTGAAGGAGCATGCGCCCACTCTGCGTGTTCATCATTACAATGGCATCAAACGTGGGAGAGAAACAACCGACGACATGATTGTCGACGAGCTTGCCGAGTTCGATGTTGTTCTTACTACCTACAATGTCATCGCAAAAGAAATTCACTATTCGGGGAATGCTCCGCAGCGAGCTCTACGACACGAAAAGCGATTTGTACAGAGGAAGACACCCCTCGTTCGCATTGCATGGTGGCGTGTATGCCTGGATGAGGCCCAGATGATTGAGAGTGGAGTCAGCAATGCAGCGAAAGTAGCTCGCTTGATACCTCGAGAGATTGCTTGGGCTGTGACTGGTACCCCACTGCGCAGAAACATAGATGACCTGTTTGGCCTTCTCCTTTTCCTCCATTATGAGCCGTTCTGCTCTTCGGTCCCTTTGTGGAGAAGATTGTGTCTATGTTTTGGGACAGTCCTGGCAAAAATCATAAACACAATCGCTCTTCGGCACAGGAAAGGCCAATTACTGGATGAGCTCCGCCTACCACCCCAAAAGCGCATTGTGATCACTACTCCCTTCACAGCTGTAGAAGAACAGCAATACGGTCAGCTTTTCGAGCAAATGTGTGAAGAATGCGGGTTGAACGCCTTAGGAGCCCCCCTTCGAGGCGACTGGGACCCCGAAGATCCTGCAATTGTCGAAAAGATGCGTAATTGGCTATCAAGACTGCGACAAACATGCCTCCACCCCCAAGTCGGATATCGCCGAGTCCTAGGTCCAGGGTCCGGACCTTTGCGGACTGTGGATCAGGTTTTAGACGTCATGACTGAGGCCAACGAGTCGGCCATACGTACAGAAGAACGATCGCTTCTTTTATCGCAACTTCGACGAGGCCAGCTTCTGGAAAATGCAAAACGTCGCCAAAAAGCCCTTGCTATTTGGCAGAAAGCATTGGACCATGCCACTCAGTTGGTTGAAGACAGCAGAGAGCAACTGCGCCTGCTGAAGTCCAAAGACACTAACGGGACTCCAGGAGTCGTCGATCTGGATACCAAGGATGAGGAGGAGGATGAAAACGAAGAGGCAGACAAGAACAGCCGCCTCGGCCAGTGTCGACAGAAGCTTCGAGCTGCGCTCGAGGTCCAGCATATTGCGGTGTTCTTCACTGCGAACGCATATTACCAAATCAAGAGCGATACAAATCTAACCCAGCCAGATTCAGATGAGTTTAAATCGCTCGAGAAACGGGAAGAAGATGCTTATGAGGCTGCAAAAGTCATTCGTAAAGAGCTGCTGAATGATATTTCCCGGAAAGTGGAGCGCTACATGAAAGAAATCAAGATTAAGGCACAAGAGAAGAAATTTGTGAACATCCCGAAATTGAAACCTCATCTCTACAGCAAAGGAGTCGAGTCATACAACCTGCTCAGCAAATTTGAAGACTTTTGCGACGCTCTTAACAAGCATGCCGACCAATACAAGGAATGGCGGGATGCCATGGTCAAATTGGTCTCTCAGTCACTTATTGACCAGGAAGAAGAAGCAAAGCTAGAGGGCGACGAGTATGAGCGGTCAACAAAACATCAAGATGAGATGTATGTCTACATGGAGGCTTTGAGGTCAATTTCCAGCGACCGTTATGATGCTCTCACTGGTCAAAAGAATACTCTCATTTCCCACGAAGTCAAAGCCGGAATCGTCCAGGCCCAAAAAGGTGAGGGGCCCTCTCCGGAACTGTTTCTTAAGATTATGGAAACTCGCAGTCAGATTATGCCTGATCCTAGTCTTGGATCGCTCCGCAATATTGTCAGTGAGCTTCGCAAACTTGTGGCCTCGCTGGATTGGCAAGCCAGCTCGGGCAATTCGCGTGCTCGTGCTGAACACGAGATCGTCGAAATGGTCCTGAAAAACGCCGGTCAGATGGTCGCTGAGCAACTGAAAGTAACGACCAAACTAAACAGAGAAGTTGAAATGTTCCGCGACACCATGAACAATCGACTGGAGTATTATCGTCATTTACAGCAGATTTCGGACACAGTCGCCCCATACGACGAGGAAAGTGCAGGAAAACCGCTAGATGAAGATGCTTTTGCCTTGAGGCTGGAGCAAGAGGAAACCATTGAAGAAAAGATTTCTACTCTCAAGTCCAAGGCAAGATACCTCGTTCACCTAAGAGATGATGGTGGCTCCGACGGTAACCCCCGAGAGTGCATTATCTGCCAATCGACCTTCGAAGTTGGTAAATATTGATTTATCTGGATGTATATTTTACACGCGGACTGACATTTTATCCAGGTGTGTTGACTGTGTGCGGTCACAAGTACTGTAAGGACTGCTTGCGAATGTGGTGGTCTGCACACCAAAATTGTCCAATGTGCAAGAAGAAGTTGAAGCGTAATGATTTCCATCAGATCACATACAAGCCACAGGAACTGGTAGCACAAGAGGAAAAGCCACCCGTCAAGTTAGACCACGAAGGTCATTCACAGAATGCTATTTACAGTGACATCAGCTCCGGTCATCTCAATGAGATTAAGAACATTGACTTGGAAGGTTCTTACGGGACAAAGATTGACACTTTGGCCCGGCACATCCTATGGCTGCGGGAACACGACCCTGGGGCAAAGTCAATCATTTTCTCTCAATACGGAAGCTTTTTGTCGGTATTACAGAGCGCATTCAGCTCTCTTGGAATAGTCACTACCAGTATTGACTTTCCCAATGGCATTGAGAAGTTCAAAACCGACCCGGCTGTAAGCGCCCCAGAATGATACCTCGTTGAAAGGAACACACTGACAGTATATAATCTAGATCGAGTGCTTTTGTTTGCATGGCAAAGCACAATCGTCCGGGCTGAATTTGATCGTTGCAACCCATGTCTTCCTATGCGAGCCACTGATCAACACGGCAATCGAGCTCCAGATCATTGCTCGAGTGCATCGTATTGGCCAATATCGACCAACAACAGTATGGATGTACCTTGTCTCCGGCACGGTCGAAGAATCCATATATGAGATCTCAGTAACCCGACGCCTGGCTCACATCATGGAAAAAGAGAAGGAATATAAAGCAGCACTCTTGACATCTCCTGTGGATGAAGATGGTGTTACTGAAGCGGCTATTGAATCTGCCAACTCGATAGAGCTACAAGGTGCCACTCTCACAACTATGATGCAACGCGGCGGCCTAGGTGGAGAGATGGTGAGGGAGGACGACCTTTGGCAGTGTCTCTTCGGAAATAACAAGAAGAAAGATGGCACTGATCCTTCAGCTGAGGCAGAAAGGGAGGTTGGTCGGTTCTTGAGAGGCGAAGCTGCTGAGCAAAGAATGGAAGGTTAAGATAATACTTACTGTAGTTAAGACCATTTTATGTCTTGTTGCGACGTAGACTTAATTCCCACTTGTTCATTCTAACTTTTTCTATATGTACATACCTCTGTATACATATTGTAGACTTGTGTTTACTTTGGGATCGCACCTGCCATAGATGCCCAGGTGACCCGTGGACTGCCAAGAAAGTGACTAATCACTTACTGACTAATCAACCACCTGGGCAGGTGCCCCCCATACTGTTCACCTGAATGGCGATGACGTGAGTGCAGTTGCCTATATCGTCTATTCATTTATAAATCTGGTCGTCTTGGTGTTTTTTACCTGTCAACTTGATGCTCTGTTAGAATCATCCGCAAATCACTTTCATCATGGCGGACTCTCAGAGTCCTGAGGCTCGCGAGTTGAGTCTGATAGGCAAGGTGGAATTCAGAATTGCAATGGCAGACACAGATGAAAAACTGCAATCACTACTTGGAACATATCTGCCTCCCTTGTTGTTGAAGCTTGGGTCGGACAGCGTGGAGGTGCGCAACAAAATCATCTCGGTCTGCCAGCATGTCAACACCCGAATCAAAGCCCCCTCTATTCAGCTGCCCGTGGCAGCATTGTTGAAGCAGTTCAAGGAGCAGAAATCTCAATTGATCAGGCATTTTGATCTCATCTATGCTCAGCAAGGTATCGATCGCCTCGGCTCTGAAGCCAGAGTCGAAATCCTATTGCCCTTGCTCCAAGGTATCTCGAAGATCGGAACGTCACCCACTCAAGGTGCTATCGTATTTAATCTGGTTTTGCGTCTATTGCCACTTCTAAAGCTGCCAGCAAGAGGAAGTGAAGAAGACCAGGCCTTGAAAACCCGACTTGGTCTATCAGACGATGATTCCCAATTCTTGTCCTTTTGGCTGGCGAAATTGTTACTTCTTACCCCTGGTCCTAAGGAAACTTCAACATGCCCCGGTCTATCTCCAGATGAGTATAGCTTTTTGAACAAGGGTGCCCCCGCAAACGAGACGTGGAACCCTTCTACCGATGGTGGCTTGAATCTGACCGAGACAAAAGTCACCGCCCTTCGATTCATCGGAAGCGGTGCCTTTAAAGATCCACAACGATTCCTGCCTTCGCTGATCGCTTCTGCTGATGCCAACTCCCGCCTTGCTGATCTGGGAGATGAGACCCTGAAGCGATTTACTGCGGATATTGAAAATCCCGATGTCGTTCAGGAGTTGTATGATCTGTATTTCGGTACCGTTTCGCCTAGTGCGCCCAATGGTGCTCCTCCCGCGCGATCTCCACTGCAAGTGAAGATTCTTGTCTTTTTAGGGAAGTCCATCAAAGCTACTGCAGACCCCCAGCGAATATTGAGACTCATTGAAGATGGGCTCTTGTCAGACTCTGCTAGATCCTCTCAGGGGTTGCAAGCGTCGAAACTAAGGACGCAAATTTTTACTTTCACCACTTGGGTGGTCCGTATGGGCGCACCCTCTGATCTGAAGCAAATCGCGCCCATACTTATCGCAGGACTGAGGGACTTCATTCAGTCTCAAGGATGGCCCAGTCCGGCAGCTAGTGGGCAGAAGCTACCCACAACAGACCTCAGCCTGCGAGGTCTTGCCTACGAGAGTATCGGTATCATGGTCCCAAAGGTCGACTTTATGTCGCAAGCCGATGCTGTAGAGAACTTCGAATTTGACCTGGTCCGATGGCTCTTTGCTTCCTTGAGTGCAGATGACTCGAGTCCTCAAATATTCGTCAGCATCGATCAGGCACTAGGAAGTATTCTCAATTCTTCATTAGACAGCCACGACAAGACCTTCCAGGACCAGCTGCGGCCATTCCTGGTTCGTCAGATGAGCATGCAGCCTGGCGATATGGATCCCGAAACTGGTTATCGTGCTGTGCGAGGTGTTCAGTATGCCGCAGTGCGGTTTGCCAACCGATTCCTGCCATTTGGAGATGTAGTCGCTCGTTGGATCGATTTGATGGCCATTGCAAGAGGCCCAGAAAGACAACAAGAAATCGTTGAGGAAGGAAAGAAAGGTCTTCATCCTTACTGGTACCGACTCCTCAACCCTGCCAAGGATGGGAAATGGTCAGCTTCATCGGCAGCTCCAGTTCACGACGAATCCTGGTTCGACTTCCCAAAGTTCGATGAGGCTACTCGTTTCCTGCTTGGTTCGGGAGGGCAAGAGGAACACTTGAATGTCCAGTCTTTGTCCGCATCGCAGCTCCTGTCTGGTCCCTACAAAGGTTCATTTATGCCTGCCATCTCATTCCTTCGAAATACATTGCTTTGGGAGGCGTTCTCGGCCTCCGGTGTTGCTGCAGCTCTAGAACAAGATTGGGACTATAAGCTAGAAGTGCTCCTCTCCACCAGCGTGGAAGCCCGTTCAGCCGTGAGAAAGTACATTCGAGAGTCTGCAAAGGAGTCTGTTTTGGCATTTTTGTCTGGTACTCTTGAAGGTCTTGTAACCGGCGATCGTGAAGGCTTGCGGCAATGTGGTGTTCATTTCGTGGAAATCTGCTCGCTGGCACCTAATGACGTTGTTCAGCACTTGGTCTCGCGTGCGGCATCCTTGATGGAGCCTATTTGCAGCAACAATCAAGATAATCAGGGTATTACTGCACGGGCTTTTGGAATTCTGGTTTCGCATCCTGTCTTCTCAGAGGAGCAACTGAAGAGTTTCATTACTCAACTGACTGCTACCATCCAGTCATGGAATACTTCTATTGGTCAAGAGGTCATGCGAGTCCGTGGAGCGATTTTAGCGCTCTCGTATTTGTTGAGTCGACTTGCGTACCGCGGCCTAGTGAACCGAGCCCCAGAAGCACAAACCAAGCAGTTTATTGAGACTCTCTTCGATATTCTAGATGTTTCCCGAGATACTCTGCTCCAAAGGACCGCACAAGAGGCCATTGGACAGCTAAGTCTATCTGGTGTGCTGTCTCTTGATATTATGACAGAAGATGGCTGGAAAAAGATTCTGGAAAAGCTATCGCGCGACGCCAAAACTGAAAATCAGATACCTATCAGCTCTCTGGGGCTGTTGACTATGACTTTCTCCCGATCTGGCTCAGACAGCAGCTTGTTAACCGATTTCCTGAGTTCACTCTACAGTTTACATGAAATCCGCAGTCCCGAAGTCCAGTTCACTGTAGGCGAGGCCTTGAGTAATGTCGCTGTTGGGTGGGATTCTCGGGCTCTTATCCAAGATTTCGATATCGATGCAGAATTCCCTCGCTCAGATGTCCCACGCTCGGTGTTTACAGTCATCTGTGACAAGGTCATCGCCGACTGCGTTGCGCCCAAGCCATCTCTGCGGAAGGCATCTGCAATCTGGCTGTTGTCGCTGGTTAAGAACTGCGGTCACATGCAGGAGATGCAGGAGCGGCTGCGTAAGTGCCAAGCTACTTTCAGCAGCCTTCTTGGAAACCGAGACGAGGTGGTGCAGGAGACTGGAGCGCACGGACTCAGCCTTGTATATGAGATCGGTGACCAATCCCTGAAAGACGATCTGGTCCAAGATCTGGTCGAATCGTTCACCTCAACTGGTCCCAATCTCGGGGGTGGCAAGATTGAGGCCGATACCCAGCTATTTGAGCCTGGGGCTCTCCCCACTGGCGAAGGGTCGTCTGTCAACACTTACAAGGATATCATGAACCTGGCTGCCGAGGCGGGTGACCCCACTCTGGTTTACCGGTTTATGTCACTGGCTTCAAACAATGCTATTTGGACAAATCGTGCGGCGTTTGGCCGCTTCGGAATTAGCAGCATCTTTTCTGATTCTAGTGTCGATGGCTATCTGGCAAAGAACCCTAAGATCTACCCCAAGCTTTTCCGTTACCGGTTCGATCCCAACCCGAATGTGCAAAGATCTATGAACACCATCTGGCAAGCACTAGTTAAGGACCCTACGGTGGTCATCGATACCCACTTTGATGATATCATGCAGGATCTGCTCAAGAGCGTTCTAGCTGGTCGAGAATGGCGTGTTCGGCAAGCAAGTTGTGCTGCCGTGGCAGACTTGATTCAAGGTCGCCGTCCGGAGAAGTTCGCCCAGTATCTCGATGAGATTTACAGCAAGGCTTTCAAATTACTGGACGATATTAAGGAATCCGTCCGCACTGCCGCGCTGAAGCTCTGTCAAACCATTACCAATTCGGTCATCCGCACACTCGAGACGAGCGGCACGGAGAAGCGCGCAGGTACTCTACTCAAGAGTGCTATCCCCTTCCTTCTGAGCGATAAGGGGCTGGATTCCAGCGTGGAAGAAGTGCAAGGATATGCCATTGGCGCTCTCATCTCAATGATCAAGAAGAGCCCTGGCAGCTTACTGCGCCCACATGTTCCCAATATGCTGGAGAAATTCCTGAGTGCTCTGAGCTCTCTGGAGCCACAGGCTGTCAACTATGTCCACCTCAATGCCGACAAATATGGTCTCACCGGTCAAGAGATTGATAAAATGCGTCTATCTAGCATCCGCGCATCCCCTATGATGGAGGTGATTGAACGGTATCTGATTGACAATTTGGATGAAAGCAATCTCGACGAACTAGCACAGAGACTGGAAGATGTCCTTCGGTCGGCCGTGGGCTTGCCATCGAAGGTGGGTTGCAGCCGCGTTCTGGTGCTGCTTAGCATGAAGACTTTGCTCTTCCGCCCATACGCAGACCGATTTATCCAAATTCTCACCAAGTACGTGGTGGACCGAAACGACACGGTCAGCGCCTCCTACTGCTCATCCATGGGATATCTGTTGCGGCTTGCTTCGGACGATCGGGTTCTCAAGACTTTTGACTATGCCAAAAACCTCTATCTAACAGCCGAGGATGCCACGCCGCGAGTGATCTCCGGCGAAATTCTGTATTCCGCGTCTAAACTATCGAACGATCGGTTCATGGCATTTGCGGCGAGCGCATTGCCGTTCGTCTTTGTGTGTAAGCACGATGGCGACGAACATGTGAAAGAGCAATTTGAAAAAACATGGCAAGATAACGTTGGTGGATCGCGCGCTGTGTCACTTTACATTCGCGAGATTGTGGGCCTCGTTTCGGACAATTTGGACTCTCCCCGCTGGGCTATCAAGCACACCGCCGCACGGGCGATTGCGCAAGCAGTGTTATCGCTGGACGCGGAGATTGACCTCCCGACGGCTCAATTGATTTGGCCAGTATTGGAGCGTGCCCTGGCGGGGAAGACGTGGGAAGGTAAAGAAGTGGTGCTTAAGGCACTAGTGAAATTTAGCGGGCAAGCCCAAAAGTTGTGGCAATCCAAAGAGGAGTTGAATAAGCTAAAGGTATGGGCTGACATGTCGCCACTTCCAAGGTTTTTTCATTATAAAATAATGAGGGTTCGAACTATGCAATTGCTAACGCATGTCAGACTATCACGGTTCGCGAAGCGAAGCGAGCTAATGTCCTCTACCGGCCGCATGGACTGCGGGCAATGGGCCAGATTGCCCAGGTACGCAAGGACCTCAATTTTATGCCGGATGCCTTGAAGATTATTCCGGTGGTTGAAGAAATGAAAGACCAGGACCAAGACCAAATGGAGATAGACTCCAGGAATGGGCGCGGCTCGACCCAAGATGACACCCTTGCGGCGTGTGTACAATGTTTCCTGCAATGTTTCAACACCGCTTCGGGAGAAGGTCAGTCACCGAAATCCCCGAAATCCCCACCCGAAATCCTAAAATCCCAAAAAAAAAACCCTGTGAGAAACCCCTAGCGTCGTTCCTTGCTAACACTAACCATAGCCCTGGGAAAGTACGTGGACCAGGTGACCAGTCCGCTGGCTCAAGTTCTCCAACTGGGTGGGCGACTGGTCGTCAGCACGGTCTACGATGAGCTCCGAGCTTTCTTTACGCGAGTGGATCAGTGGATCATTTCACCGGATGCCTCCGGTGAACAAATCGCCGCGCCCTTGACTGTTCTTGCAGAACAGTTACTCACAAAGGAAGTGGAAGGGTCTGTCGAGACCATCCGCAAGGGTCGTGCAGAGGCCATTTTAGCGTACCTGAAACTGAGTCCGCATGCCCAAGCGGCTGTGCCTGACACCCTTATCATGCATGTTCGTGACTGGAGAGCCAGTGAACGATCCGAATCAGTCCAGCGTCTACTGGACGAGGCTTTAGCTTTGCCGAATTAAGAATCCCACGTGGTTTCACTATTTTTTTCTTATATTTCCCAGGTCGATCAATGTTTATTTCTTATTTCTCGTATCTCGGGTATAGAGGGGGGAGGATATACCCAATTTCAAGCAATCGTACCAATAGGAAGCCCTTCCAAGGGGAAATCGTAAGGACTTGAGTTAAATTCCTGCAGCGAAATGCCCTCAAGTCTGCGCCACTCGCTTAATACTCGGCCAAGTCCGTTTGGAATGCGGAGAGAGTCCCAAAGAGATCGAAAGTGTGATCTCTTCGATTTTCACGATCCAGACCGGGGTCCCGGCCGATCGAGACTTATATTTTTCTTCCCCAGATAGTCTCGTAAGTAGACACCTAATTGAGCTCATTCTTCGGCTCCGGAAGGGGGAAAGAAGAGAGGGTTCAGCCAGCCCCTGAAGTCCCGAGGTCTATTTCTCACCTCCGACCTCCGTACTCTCCGTATCTCTGCCCTAATTCCCTTTCCCTTTCCCTAGCTCCCCTTAGCCCGTAACCTTTGGGCTTCCTAATGTAATAATAGTAACTTTGTCCACATGGTTGGCACCTGCATGCCATTTGATTTTTTTTTTTTTATTGAATTTTTTTTATCTCTGTTTTTCCCTGTTTTTCGAAGGCTTTTGGTCTTTTTTTTTCCTGCCCTTTTCTTCATTTTTGTCCTTTTTTTCTCTCTTCAAATAATTTTTTTATAGAAATAAAACTTGAAAATAACTTGAAAATAACTATAATTTTATTTTTCCTTAATTCCCGCCACCCGTTCACTGCGCCCATGAACTGCATTTTTCGTGAACATACACATCTAGCCTTTTCCCTCCTTTTTTCCCCACCCTATCTCTTATAATATCTTCTTTTTTTCTATCTTTAATACGCCTTCCCCCATACTCTCTTAGCTTTTTTTTTCTTTCTGAACCCTTTTTAATATATAGTAAGTGTTCCAATTCAGCCCCGTCCGTACAGCACTGATCCATACAGCCTTATGACGGTAACCAGTCTGATCATGCAAAACAGACGGAGCAAAGCCTCTGGAAAACCTCCTTTGCGGTTACCCATCATCGCCCCTAAGGAAGATCTTTTTGACGCCTTTGCCAAGTCTGAAAAGGCCTTGATTGCTCCACCGCGCATCCGCTTGCCTCCACGATCTCGTACCGGTTGTTGGTAAGTGATCGTCTGTGATCGTCTCTATATGAATCAAGCTTATTCGCTCTAGGACATGCCGAGTGAGTTTCTTTTTTTGGTCTACCCCCCTACACAAAAATTACAGTTGATTAATTGGGGGTTTTTTTTTCCTTTTTCTGCAGAGTCGAAAGGGTAAGTGATTTGAAATTGTTCTCTAATTCCCCGTGGCTGACGCACATTCTCTAGTCAAATGTGATGAAGGACATCCGCAATGTAATGTATGCATTCTTCACGCTTCTAATTTCCACTTTTACTTATCTCTTTTACAGCAATGTACTCGTCTAGGCCATACTTGCGATTATCGTCCACGGTTGGCGTTTCGTGATGATACCCCTCGTATCATGGGCCGCATGGCCGATGTCAAGACAAACGGTCATGTCGTTTGGGATCGTAAGCACTTTCTTTTTAGGGGTTTTTCTTGTATAGTACTAACTAGAGTAGTCACCTCACCCGGTTCCAGTGATGAGAGAACCGATTATTTCTCTCTGGGGGATTCACTTCCTCCATTTTCCCTGCTCACTTCGGACGAAGAGCGGGAAAAGAAAGCAGAGGCGTTTAGTCCAGGCACGTACCATGTCGTGATGACACCAGACAGTTTCTCCTCCCTGCCGGAATATGCAGACGAGGAGAAACCTAAATCAAATCCCGAGTGTAGGAGCTCGGCCACCAATAGCCCCACAATCACCGCAAAGCCAGAAGTGAGAGAAGATCCCAATGTGGTGATTTTGAAGACTTTTGAAGATGTTACACGTCGCTCGCCGTCAAGTGGGAAGATCAGAATCTCTCCCACTTCGGAGATATCCGATCCTTTTTGCAATTTGTCACTCTCGCCAAATTTCACGTCTCTTCCGTCGCCCGATGTCAAGGTAGAGGAGATGACTTTCCTTGACCCCCGTCTTGACCAGCAAAGTCAGGACTCGACTATCTTTTCCCACTTCCGTCATGTCGTATGGAGGCAGTTGTTCCCTCACGATCATAGGCTGGATGATTCTTGTGGGTCGGATAGTCATAGTCACTTTATGACTCTCAGCATGGACTTCCTAGAGCAGGAAGCCACTCGTTTCCCTCCTGTGGGTATTCCGTTCTTTAGTTCGTATGCTCGTGCTAATAATCACAGCTTTCCCACGCTATGATGGCTGTATCAGCCCTTAGTCTCTCGCACAGCGGCACAGGTCACAATGTCGATGCGCTACAATATTATCAGCAAGCTTTCCCCTCGCTCCAGGTCAGCCTACGGAACAACGATGATCTCGTATCCGACGGACTGTTCCTAACCCACTTCCTGCTTTTGATCTACGAGGTAGGAGTTTACAGTTGCATTTCTCCCAGTCTATATACTTACAATCCCTTAGATCGCAGCCGCCGAGCCACACGGCTCGAATCTCTGGTCTCACCATATCTCTCGCCTCCTCCACATCGCCTTCCTTCGACGCGCCAAATATGGCCAAGAACCCCACCCATTTATCCTCTGGTGGGTGTGCCACATCGACCTGTACGCCCTTTTCAGCGGAGCAGGGACCGGAGAGTTTGTACGAGCCGTCATCGACCACCAGATGCTCCCTGGCTCTGAATGTCTTCTCTACCCTTCGGCCCCAGAGGGATATAGTGTTATTTACTCCGACGAGCATGAGAGCTTACCGGTGATCATGCGTCTGTACCACGACACATTCCGGCTGGCGGCTCAACTGGGCTTCTTGGCTGCTCGACTTCGCCACGATAAACAGAATGTGCCCTTTGCAGAGTTCGATCAGAGAACCCAGGAAGTAACCGATCTGCGTCAGGCTTTTGGGAGATTGTGGGAATCTCCCGATGTTGCCTTCCTACATCAACACCAGGATAGTCTTCCGCGACGATCTCGGGAAATCATGCAGCAGGTTGGTCATCAATTTTAACGTATCAAAAGGAAAAAGAAACTAACTCCTTCTAGTCCGCTACACTGTACCATGTTTGTCAACTCTTCTCCTACAGCAGCATGTGGCCCGGACAACGTGTCGAAACCGATTTCTCCCCAGACGGAGAAATCGACCACCACGCAACAGAGATCCTACGCTTAGCCGAGCGGACTACACACACTCGCCGGGCTGATCGACACTTTATAGTCTTCCCCTTATTCCTAGCAGGGGCTACAGCATCCGCTAGTGGATTGAAGATGATGGCGATGGAATTGATGACTAGTATGGAAGACGAGGAAGATGGAATGGGTCGCAATGCAGCCACGACTCGTGCTATCCTCCAGATTGTGTATGAGCGGCAATTGGAGCGACTTATGCATGTGGGTCATACATTTGATGTGGATTGGTCTGACTTAATGGCTCAGGAGGGTCTTCAGATGGTCAATTTCGGGTTTTAATTGGAGATCTTTTTGGTTTTTGAGCATTGGCGCATACGAGCATGGGGACTTTATATGTTTTGACTATGTTAGCATGATTGATGGGATATGGGGCTGTATGTATAGAAATGAATATAATTCCATGGAAACTCGGGCCGACCCTAGAATATCAACTTGGCAAATATTGGCATGTAATATAGTACATATATACTATATCTACTATCTACTATAGCCAAGGCAGCAATGTGATGAGAATCACCTGCGGGGTTCGGCGTCTCGCCCAACCTAGCGCCTACAGAATTCACATCCTTCACACCTTTTGCTTTTTTTTTTTCCTTTTCCTTTTTTTTTACTCTCGGACAATTTCTATGAATAGATGAGTTCTGCTCATTTCTGCCCCGCATCTACCCCTCTGTTCCAACTTCGCGCTCTGAGAGTCGCATTCTGTGGCTGAATTTTGTCTTCTGCAGCCGGAATTACTCCAAGATGAGTGGCAGCAGTCGTGCCCTCCACCCCGAGGAGCTTTTCCTCAACAACGGCCCAGGTAGACAAGAATCACCTACCATCGGCCCCCTACGTATCAGCAAACGGGACTCATCATCCCCAGCATCGGCCGCGGGCTCCAGTCCCCCACCAAACGCCCCGCTCCCCTACCCGGATGACCGTCAACGTCCGCAAATGCGCACCTCAAGCTCAAACGAGCGATATCATGACAACATTAGATATGGGTCTCCGCCAGCTGGTCCTGGTTCAGGCTCCGTAAGTCCAAATGAATACCCAACAGCGCTGCGGCCGCGGGACGGTCGCGAACCCAGAGTCGCAACATTGGCCGAACGAAGAGGTGCAGCCCCTAAACCGCTTCCCGAATCGCCTAGCCACGATGCGCCAGATCGCGACGCTTTAGCGGCAAGACAGTACCCCCGACCCCCAGCAAGTCTACCACCCGGCCCACCGGAGCCACCAGCAAACACAAGCCAATATGATTACCGTCAACAATACTACCCGCCCCCTCAACGCCAAAGCTCAACTTCTGCTGCCCGTCCCCCGTCAAGTCTACAGGCCCCACAAGGCCCGCTCAATCGCATCAGTTCCACTTCGACAACCCGCGCCCAGCGTGGCTCGCCCCCGCCACCGGAGACGCCTATCGTTGGTCCAGGCCAGCATCCCGCCTCTGATATCGAGGCCCGCTATGCGGCCGCTGGTATCGCAGGCACGGGAACTCTGCAGGGCATCCAGTCGCATAATGTGGCAGCACAGAGACGTGCAGAACAGTACTCCGGACAACAGCCGGTTTTCCAGCAGCAACAGCAGCAGCGCCCGTGGACTCCGACTGAGCAGCCTGGTTCCCAGCCTCATGGGCCTCCGACGGTTTATCAGGGTGATGAGGTCGTCACGGATAATCAGCCTGCTGCGCATCCTGGTCAATATGGTAGTCCGCCGCCGCAGATGCCTGGCTCCTATGGAAGCCCGCCGCCTCAGGTTCATCCGGGCCAATACAGCAGCCCGCCGCCCCAGGCTCACCCCGGTCAATACAGCAGCCCCCCACCCCAGGCTCATCCGGGTCAATATAGTACCCCGCCGCCCCAGTCTCATCCAGGCCAATATAGTAGCCCAGCGCCTCAGGCTCACCCTGGCCAATATAACAGTCCGGCGCCTCAGGCTCACCCTGGACAATACAGTGGATCCCCATCTCAAATGCACCCTGCATCTGGGCTACAGCAGCAGCAGCAAGAACAGCCAGGAAGAGCTGCCCCTAATGCCCTGGAACAAGACATGGACCGGATGCGCCTCAGCTCCTCTCCTCCTCCTGCCTACTCAAGTGTGTCTGGTCCTGCTTCAAATGGGTATCCCAATGAAAAGCATAACAATGCGGCGGCGGCAGCAGCAACAGCAGCGGCTGCTGCTGCTGGAGCTGGAGCGGCAATGATGCACCCGGCCTTGGTAAACCAGCCCAATCCTGTTGTAAATGCACATTCGCCTGCACCGACAGCCTCCCCGCAGGACCATCCCGCTTTCCGGAATGACCAGAGACAGCAACAGCAGGCAGGCCAATCCCCACAGGCGTCTGTTGCTAATGACTTGTCTGGTTTCCATCATCAGACAATCCAGGTGACTTCCCCTGGTCCCTCTAGCGCCGGTCCGGCATCACCACCACCTCTCCCGGAGGGGTGGATTGCCCATATGGATCCAAGCTCAGGACAGTATTACTATATCCACTTGCCCACACAGTCAACTCAGTGGGAGTTCCCCAAGGGACCTACGCCGCTTAATCTCAATGACACGCCCTTGTCCCCAGTGGGAAGTGTGTATAGCGCCCACCCGCTAGTTTCTCCGGGTCTGTCGGCTTTCGGAAAGCCTCTGGCGTCACCGGGTGTGCCTTTGACCCCTGGCTTCGAAAGCCTACAATCTCCCATCGTGTCTGGATTCTCCGGGCCTCCCCCGAGTAGTGGCATGGATCTGTACAAGAACACTCCAACCAACGGTGTCTACTTTGGTCCTTATCTGCGTTACACCAACATGGATCTCGAGCGTGGAGTCTGGATGGGATCTATCCTGCTGGTGACAGATGCCGCACAGCCACCCACGATTCACATGCACCAGAGTCTAGACCTTTCTCCAAACCCAAGACAATTGAAGGCAGTCAACATTGCCGCCCATCAACGCTGGACATTCTACAAGTATGAGATTGACCTACAGATGGACGACGCAGGTCCTGCAAAATGGACCTACGCCATCACCTCGCACCTGGGCTGCACTCGCTACGAGTTCCTCGTCGCTGGTCGACACGAGACCAACTGGCGATTCATTGCTACTTCTGGAAATGACTTCTCGCTCAATGTCAATGCTAGTGAGCGGGCTCGTGTGGGTGGCGTCGGCTATATGTGGAAAGACATCATGCAAAAGCACAACGAGATCGGTGGCTTCCACACACAGTTATGTCTGGGTGGTCAGATCTATGCGGATCGCATGTGGAAAGAGATTCCGTCTCTCAAGCAGTGGTTGACTATCAGCGGGAAAGAGGCTAGAAAGAACGCTCCTTGGACAGCGGCTAACCAGCAGGATGTTTCTTACGCATACTTCCATTACTATACCAGCCATTTCGATCAACCCCACATAAGAGAGTCATTTGCGCAGATTCCTTATGTCTGCCAGATTGATGATCATGACATGTGAGTTGCCCATACAGTAACAGTAACAGTCAACTAGCAGCACACTGACATATCCACAGCTTTGATGGATTCGGCTCATATCCAGAGCACATGCAGTTCTCAAACATGTTCAAGAACATCGGCCGCATCGGTATCGAGATGTACCTCCTCTTCCAGCATCACACAACCCTCGACATCCTCCGAAACGTCAGCAATGACACAGACCTCTTCACCATCACCGGAACAGGCTGGCACTTTGTTAAATACCTAGGTCCCGGCGTTGTCGTCGTCGGTCCGGATTGCCGCTCAGAACGAAACCCTCACCAAGTCATGGCTGGTCCCACGTACCAGGGTCTCTTCCCAAAGATCGCAATGCTACCACCCAGTGTGCAACACTGTCTCTGGATGGTCGCTGTCCCACTCATCTACCCTCGTCTAGAGACGGCAGAACACATCGTCCAGACCGTTGCAACTGGAAAGCGGGCCGTGACTGGCGCGTACAATGTGCTAGGCAAGGTTACCAGTTCGGTAGCCGGAGTAGTCGGCGCCAAAGACTTCGTCGGCTCGGGCTTCGACTCGGTGAAGCGAGCCGTAGGCAAATCCGGTCTGATGGGTGGTATATTGAGTCCATTTGGTGAATTTAGCTCAATGGACGAGCTTCGCGATCAATGGACGCACGAGTCAAAGGTTCGTCCCCCCCCCTTCCTCTACCAATCACAACTTCCATCCATACTAACCTAAACCAGGATCTCGAACGCACATATCTCATTCGCACCCTCCAAGGCATCGCCCACCAAAAATCAATCCGAATGACCTTCCTCTCCGGCGCCGTCAACGTCTGCGGCGCAGGTCTCGTCCACGACCCCTCAAGCCCCTCAGACCACAAGACAATGTACCAACTCATCGCCTCCTCCGTCGTCAATACCCCACCCCCATCATACATCATCAAACTCCTTCACAGCCACAGCAAACCCCTCTATGTCCCCGCCAACGGCCACAGATCCTCCGCCCAGGTCAGCGATACAAAGGAAGACATGATGGAGATCTTCCAGACAGACGTCAACGGTCAACCTCGTGAGTACCGTAAGCTCATGGCGAGAAGGAATTACGTCGCTATTGTTGCGTATGATCCTGAGGCTGTTAATGCTTCTTATGGCATGTCAGCTGGGGTTAGTAAATTGAGTCTTGCGGCGGACTTTATGGTGCAGGGAGATGGGGCGCTTGGGAATGTGGTTAAATTTGGACCGGTTATTGTGCCGTGTTTGGATCAGGGGAGGTGAGGATGCTTAGGGAGGGTTTCTTTATACTTGTATTTCGGGATTTGAGATGTTTGTTTCTTTCTTGCACAGCATTGTTATTGTTTGATGGTTTTGAATTGGCGTGTTTGCATATGTTACTGTTCTTTCCCTGTTCCCTAGCCTTGGTCTGTCTTTGATATTGAGACAATTATACCGCTGTTCTGATTTCTTGTACTTGCTTTGCTTTGAGGTAACAATCTTAGAAATATAATAGATATCAGGTTGAAAGAAGATCGTTTCTCGTAAGACAGGTACCAATAATGTACAGAATGGGGTATCCGGATTATATCAACAGTAAACCAAGCAACCAACGCCCGCATCCAACCCAAATAGATACATATACTCTACCCAGTTGGATCACCCCCGGAACACAAAGCCCAATCCTCCAAAAGTAATCCCGATGAGCATAAAACAGCTCCCAAAGTCGATACCTCGCCGGTATAAGAGACCAATCCCACCGAAGAGGCGATAATCGATCCTCACAACCAAGATCAGAACCCACTGGATGTCCCAAGACAGCCTGCTCCCCTGCCATAGCACCATCCCCACTGCCACTGCCACCAGTCGACCGACACCCCTCCCCATCACCAGCCAACCCAACAGGAATATTCAAATCCCGATACAACTCCCCCAAAGCCCCCTCACTCCCCCCACCAGCAATACACGCAGGATCATCCGCACCAACACAATGCACCACATCCTCCACCCGCGGCGGCAACCCCTCCTTCGAAATAAAAACCTCCCCTGCATGAGGACTATACCCCCACTCAACAAGCGGCAACATAGGAACCGGATCCCCAACATGCGTCACACGGCGAAATCGCTGACCCCCTTCCGATCCCCCAGGCGGTGGGATAGTTATACCATCCAGCCCAAACTGCTCATCAAGGAATCTCGCAAACGCCCAATTCCCAATCATAGGCTCTCCGAACGTCGTCACAGTCGCATCCCAACCTTTCAATCGCATTTCCAGTCCGGCAAGTGCGGCGATAGCTCCGCCCAGGGAATGACCAACTAGCGTTATAGGGTAATCTGGGTATTGTTCACGCAGAGCGGAGATTCGGGGGATGATTTCTGTTCGGGTGTTTAGCCATGAGCGCATGAAACCTGCGTGCACGGTGCAGTTTTCGCAGGTATTTTCTTCGTCTTGGTATGGGATGTAGGCTTGTGGGTAGGCGGATAGGTCGATTATTGTGTTTGTTATTGAGTATGTGCCGCGGAAGGCGAGGAGGATTTGTTTGGAGGTCGGGGTGTGGGAGAGGGCTATGTAGCCGCATGAGTCGGAGAGGAGGAGGCCTGTGTTCCAGGTCTGTTGGATAGGTTAGTGGGGTTTGTTGGTTTTGTTGGGATGGGGGATTGGTTGGTGGGCTTACGGTTACTAGTTCTAGATCTGGGAATTCGATGCAGCGGCTCAGACACTGGAATGGTTGTTGAACTCCTGTTGTTCCGACGCAGTATGAGATGTCCACTATTCGGGATAACTCCTCTAGGGAGTTGAATAGGTCGGTTGCAACATGTTTGGTCTGGGCTGTGGCGGGGCTCAGGAAGTAGATATAGAGTAGTAAAGGGAGGAGTAAAATGCTAGTCATGGCGTAACATACTGACTTGGGTAACTGGAGGGAAGGTATAAATGCATTAAAAGGAAGAGAGAACCAAGACCGTGTGATGTGGAGATGTGACCGGAATCCGGGGTAACCTGGCCATTATGTCATCGGTTTTCTTATTGGTCAGTTCATGTCGATCAAGGTACCCGGGGAGTACATGGGTCTACAACTACGTGATGCAATTTGAATGGTCACGAGAGACTGGAATGTACTCGAAGAATTCTATCCAATACTATATGCATGCTAGGGCCGCATTGAAAGGTAGTTCAAATCAGGCGGTCCAAATGACAACACGACCGTCGACACCGCTCGCTATAACAATATGTCAGTCTCTTGTAGGTCTCGTGTTTCAGGAGGGTGATCTTACTGCTGAAGGAGCGCACAACTCCGTTGGCTTCATCGTGGGCCCGGATGGTGTGAACAGTATTCTGGTGGGTAGACTTGAGCTTGGTGTCTGCCTGGGCCTGGCCCTTGAGATCCATCTGTCGGAACATGTTCAAAGCAGACTCCTCGCGGGCACCTCCGGCTTCTCCAGCCTTCTTCTCCAGAGATCCGGCAAGTTGCCATCCATTCTCATCGCCGCGGAAACGGAAGGGCTCACAGTCCTAGATACAGTTAGCACAGGCCGTAGTATTACTAAAAGAAACAACAACTTACATGTCCAGCGGCAATGATCTCAGTCTCGCCGTTCCAGATAAGGCTGTTGAGCGGCAGCAAACGGGTAGCGATGTTCAACATCGCCCGCGGGGGCTGCTCCGGGGCGCTGGGGTATACGACAGTCACACTGCTATCGTGTCCAGTGAAGGCAAGCGCATTACCACTAGGAGAGAATGCAACACCTTGGATCCAACCAGCAGTATCATTCAGGTACTCGCCACAGATGGTGTTGAAAGGAAGGCGCTCTCCCCACGCACTAGGCTCCGGGCGGGTATCAATGCCCTTGATGAAGCTGGAGAAGACTCGGGCGTGAGAATCGGTGGATCCGGCTGCCAGCAGGACGGAGTTCGGGTGCCACGCCAGGGTTGTAATAGTGCTGCGAATAGGCTTCTTGATGTGCTTCGAGATCCACCAGTCGTTCTCCTCCTCAAAGTAGCAGACAGCGATCACTCGGGCGCCGGAGCCGACGGCGAACTTTTGCTCCGATGGAGACCAGCGCACGAAGGTTGCGGCACGGTTGATTCGGAGAAGGACCAGGGTAGGCTTCCATCCAGTGGGGGTCTGCTCCCAAACGTAGGCATTGCGGTCTATAGAGCGAACACCTGTTAGGTATTGTAGGTGTAAAAGGAGCCTTGCTAAAACATACCCTGCGAGCAAGTGACGATTCGGCCACTGTTGGGAGCAATATCAACACTGGTGACAGTCTTCTCGTGCCCCTTGAGCTCATCGCTCAGCGCAAACTTGTTGCCTGATTGTTGATACAGCTCCACATTGTTCTCCCGAGCGACAGCAAGTGTCTTCTTATCGGATGAGAACGAGTGGTCTGCAATTGGTGCATGGAACAGATGGTGAACCTGAGGAGTGGCCATATTGGAGATAATAACGACAGGAGGGTCTCTCTACCGTCGTGCTTGTATACTTAGTTGTTGTAGTTGCGGGACCAGGAGGGGAGCTGGGTGATGACGGTGGCGCTTAGTCAGAGCATGCATCACATGACCCAAAGCTACTTTTATGTCGAGGTTTTGAGTCGCCATTGACACAGCACGCGATTGAGCTTCATTTCCCCATACGCTATCCCATTTACTCTTTCGATCAGACGACAGCCTTTCTGACATTTCTAATCCTCCAAGAAATGGCTTCAAAATCATTGCCCGCCCGTGGCGGCCCCGATACTAAGGCCGTCGCTACCGGCCCTCCCAACCAGACGTGAGCTTGTCCTTCCACGCACCGGAGACTGTCGCGCATTGGCGCTAACAATTTTTAGGCTCTACTGCACACAATTGCCCGACAAGAGGATTCCGAAACATGATCTGCGAACGGCACTTTATGCTCTATTCTCCACATACGGCACCGTTCTCGACATTGTGGTCATGAAGACCAACAAAATGCGAGGCCAGGCCCATGTTGTTTTCAAGGATGTCCAAGCCAGCACGCAGGCACTGCGGGCTTTACAAGGATTCGACTTCTTCGGGAAACAGATGGTATGTTCTCATTCCCCTTCTATCGTCGCAAGCCCCCGCTCAATCAATGGATGTGTAGAAAATCGTTTACGCCAAAGGATCATCAAATGTCATTTCCAAACTTCGCGGTACATATGTTGCGCCAGTTGAGACTGCGCCAGCCCCAGTCACAACCGACCTCCAAAAGTCTATCTTCGGTGCTCCTCCGGGTGCCCTCCCTGCACGCCCCACAACCGGTGCCAATGGAGAAGGCCAAGGCTTGAAGCGACCGCGTGAAGAAGAAAGTGACAACGAAGAGGCCCCCATGGACGAAGATAGCGACGTACCAATGGAAGCTTCCTCAGACGAGGAGTAATCTAATGAACGCCCTGCTGGGGACTGAGAGAGACTTGAAGTCCTCGCCTTGCATGTGATTTCTTTTTTATATTCTCCAGCGTTTCCAGCATATGCAAGAAGTATTGGCTGGTACTGTGCTAAACAAAAACCTCGCGTGGGACGTGCAGGTTCACGCAATGACCTACAAGGCCGAGCCAGATGAGGAGATATGAGCCAGGAGTGACGCTCTGTGCGTCTGCAAGATTCGCCATGGCATCCGCGGTGTTGCATGGGTGGACAAAAAAGGCCGGGGCGCCAGAGCCAGGATGGTACTACAAGAAAAAAAAACAAAAAGAAGACATGAGCTCTTGTCACCAAGGTTCCGAGAATGCACCTACACCCATACTAATGCCACCCATTACACCCACACTCTTCAATTCTTGCCTGTACCGTTCCGGCACGACATACTGGTAGACTTGATCTAGTCCGAGTGGGCCGTTGTCCCACCTGAGGCCGAAGTACAAGACGGGGACCTGATATGTGGGGGACAATAAGATGTCATAGTCGATCTGTAAGCCGGGGGGTTGGCGCGAATGAGAGCTTCCTGCGGTGAAGAGTCAGGACAAGTGGACACGTCCCTTGGGGGCTAGAACTCTGCAGACCGGATCCTCGTCTTCTAGTGATTCTTCCAGCGATTCTTCCAGCGCTGGGGTTTCTAGGCTGGGGACATCGACACATTTTGTTATTCTGAGGCCTGTTCCATCTGGCTATTATTCATCCCAAACATATTTTCTCATCAGTTTTTCATTCCAATCAAATAAGGAAATAGATTAGATTTAATGGTTCATGCATGACAAAAAAGGGATACCTTTGTGAGCAGTCGAATGGACCAGGTAATATTTTGGGCCGAAGTGCATCGATCGACGAGATCTTTACATGCACTGTCAAACTCCGATTGCACCAGGAAGGGAAATACAGAGCAAGATTCAGCCATGCGGCTGGAGCCTGAGATGGCTGTCAACTCGTATCAGTGTACAGAGTACCAGTGACCGGATGCAGATGCTCAGCTGTGAATGCGGTGTGGCCAGGGTACGAGGATATTGCAAGGATAAGAGCACTTGACCTTGTCACTTGTCACTTGATGTCAAATCAGAGACAAGGGAAGATGGATCCACGGATACAAAGCGGTTTAAAAAAAAGGAATGATGATTGCGGTGATCCGGATATAGAAGAGGAAGAAGAAACAATGGAGTTTGTCAAGAATGATACGTGTCAATAGGTACCTAGTACTTAAGTTATGTATGGTACTTACACATTAAATACAAGTACGAGTTACTTTCTCCGGTTGCAGTAAGAAGGCGGTACCTGTCCCTGTCCCGCGTGGAGATGTTGCATGCAGCGATGCAAATGCGAGCTGATTATGGCAAAATGCTTGCGTCTTTTTTTTTTCCTAGCGTTTAGTTGCATATACACCTCGTTTGTCTTCCTATCCACTTATGTATCATATGTTCCCCCTTCCTTAATCCCCCCCATTTCTACTTCGTTTTTGCTTTTTTTAATTTTCTATTGTCTATAATCTTTAATGTCGATCCGTATCTATCGATTTTGATCTACCCCTGGTCAACCTCCCCGTGAACCGTCACGAAATCGTGAAATCTTCAAAATCTTGCTTGAAGGGACTCCCGGCTTCCAAGATTGGTTATCGGCTTTGACGTTACCTCAATTCCCCGTCATCTGCCTTCCATCACTCCAGTCCAACCAATTCCTGCATTGTACCCAATCTGAAACACGGACCATCATCTCCGGGCTTGCTGGGAAACCCTGAGCCGCCAATCGTCTCAATTCCAAACCCAGCTGTTGTACAAGCTTGGGGCTCGGATTGCGTCCTCTGTGGACAAGGGCGTGGCTTGACGTCAGTAGTCCGGGGTGCGATCTAATCTGAAAAGCTCTATCGGGATAAGCTTGGAAATCCCAGAGGTCACTCGTGCGGGGGAACAGTGCTCCAAGCCTTTATTTCAATTGTATATCATTCCCTGCACATGCCCCGTTGAATCTGGAGCAAATCTGAATCTACCTGCATTGCATTTTTGAAGTCATGGGCAACTCTCAATCGAGCCAAGCCAAAGACGAGACCCGCCGCTCCAACCGCCTTTCAAAGCCCCTGACGAAGAAATTCACCCTTCAAAGCTCCCAGCTCCCCGAAACAGACCCTACAACGTTCAGTTCAGGGCTAATAGGGTGGCAAAACCCTTGGGTTGGCAAGAATCTCCCCAGTACCCCTATAGAAAAACGGGGCAGTTACCCCAAGAAAGCAGAGATCCCGCCTACCCTTTTTGAAACAGAGTCGTCCGAAGAGACCCCGACGGAGGATCGAGCCTTGGTATATGACCAGAGTCCCACGCAGCGTCATCCAACCCGTCCAAGCCTGTTGACCGCAAGCTCTTCGAGAAGAACATCGTACCAGTCGGAAACTTGGGAATCGGCTTCCCAACCCTCGCCTCTTTATGAACAGCCACCAAAGCGGGCCAGTTCGACTCGGATTCCCCTACAGAGGCACAACAGCGCTGTCTACGAGAATCAAATCGGGGATGCGACATCTTCCAACACTCACTTCTTGGTTGGCAACCAACGGTTCTCATTAACGCGTCGACGATCGCTCCTGACGCGACCTGGGGTTGCCACAAGACGAACCGGCACAGTTCGACGCGTCCCATCGCCCATTGGGGAGCCTGAATGCCCGATTGAGGATCCGACTGAGTCAACCGTTTTGCAATGGCCGTTGCCTTCGACCCAGCGACCGCTGCGTCTGCCATCCCCAGCGCGGCCAAGGAGTCCAATGGATGCCCGATATACTCAGCTCGGGGCACTCAAATTAGGGTCTTTGCGAGTCGTAAATGGCTCCGCCTCTCCATGTCCAAGCGAGCGCATTCCTTTTAATGGGCCTTGCGATTCAGGTCCTGGGCTTGGTCTTGAGAACATCGAAGTCACAGGGCCTTGCAGGGGGTCGACGCTGGATATTCCATCCTTGCCCGACTTGAAGAAATCGGACGATGTTCCAGGCAGTCCATTCTCTTTCGAAAAGTCTCCCACTATCACAGTCCACCCTCGGGCAAAATCATTGTTTCCTGGAGAACCAGAAGATGAAGGAATTGTCCTCTGCGATGATACGAGAATTCAGTTGGAGAAAGGTGTCCTAGACACTGGTCTTACCCGAAGCACGTCTCAATCTCTCAACAAGTCGGACAGTGGCTACAGCTCTGCCACCTCAATCCACTCCATACAACGGAGCAGGACTCAGAGCTCTGCTACCTCGCAGGCGTCTAGCTCGTGTGGTACTGATAGCTCAAAGAACATCTGTATCCTGAACGGCCCATCTTCAGGTCAACCAGGCGATAAAGTACAGCGTCCCTTGAGTCTGCAGACAAAGCCGGAGAACTACTCAAGGCTGTATCCAGTCCCTGCTCGCTGGTACGATTCGAGTGACCCAACTCCCCTCGCTCCGTCGCGATCGCGTCGGTCAACATTGTGTGCGCCCCGATACACGGAATATTCTTGGCCGCGCGAATCCCTCGAAGCCAAGTCTACTGCCCTAGCTTCCGTTCCGCACCAGAGTCAAGGCTTTACCAGAGGACCTCTCTATGGAGATCGATTGTCCTTGCGCTCGTTTGATCTTGCGTCTACTACAGGCTCTGCCACAACTGGAGAATCACTACCCAGTCACCAACAGCCAACTACTGAAAACAAGGAGCGACTTCGCAGGTCGGCCTCCGAGTATCAAATTAATGAAGAGTATAATACCCAACGCCAACTCTCTCGATCTAGAAGCCGACTGGGAAGTCGCATTTGGAGCATGAAACCAGGCATTGACGCTCCTCCGCTGCCCACTATCCTGTCCCCAGGTTACTTGCAGGATGACCTTGACCTTGATGCTGAATTATCGTCCGAGCCGATGCGAGGCCGGTCTCGAAGCCGAAGCAATGACTATCGCCGTCGCTTGACGAAGACCCGTCCCCAGACGGATTTGTGCATATAATGACGTCCCCCTTTTTTGGTTATTAATTTTTCTGGTAATAATTTTGTTGCCCATTTTCCGCCTTGGATTTATTTTGTTCTTGTCTCTTTGTCTATGGCGTCTACAAAAGTTCATTATGGAGGTGGTGCGTTCTTTTTTCTTTTTGGTCTTTGGCGGGAGTTTGATATGGTCTTATTAGGTATACCCTTTTGGAATTGGAAGTGGAATTGGCGTGAAATCATACCTGGCATTGTACACAAACCTATTATGTATGCCATGTGCTGTTTTGCACTTTTAGTGGTTTCATTGGGCGTTTAGTCTAGTCCCCGAAATGCATGTATGTCCCCGATGGAATACGATCTCAGTCTTCGGCTATCTTGCCTTGTTATGATTACATGCATATTCTTCACCGCGTGGCTCAGGGCTTCCCCGGCCATTCCAGTATACGAAGTAAGGTTATCGAGTCAAGCAAGGGGCGTTTAGTAGGCGCAGGGTAGGCGCAGGGTCAATGAAGTTAAGTTCTTTACGATCTACTGCATATTACCTGTCTAGACACGGGATAGCCAATATAATAAACATCAATTTAGATTAATATAACAAAAAAGTCTGATCATAGTACAAATCCATATGCAAACAAGGAAAGAAAACGCCCGGAGATCCCAATGCAAATGCAATCAATTATACAGAGTCAATGGTTTCAAATCCATCAACACCAATTAATTTCAAATCACATAATGCGAATCTTCTTCGGCGCAGGAGTCGCCTCTTTCGGCACAATAACAGACAAAACACCATTCTTCAGACTCGCCCGAACAGAGTCCTGATCAACACGCGCAGTGAAGCTAAATGTCCGCTGGAAATCACCGATAGACCTCTCCTTGGCCCAGAAGTGAGGCTGATCATCCTCGGTGTGGGAAGCAGCGGTGTCGACAGTATCGGCCGAGCTAGTGGACGCGGCATCCTCGTCTTCGACTGTGGGCTTGTGCCAGCCTGCAGGAGAGGAGCTGCGGCTTGAGCTGGCATCGTCGATGTAATCGCGGTCTGTGTGGCCCTTGATCACGAGGGTGTGGGGATCGGTAAATTCGATCTCGATGTTGCTTTGGTCCACGCCTGGGAGTTCGCCGTCGAGGTGGTAGGCGTTTGTTAGCTCGCGCACGTCGAAGGCTGGTGCGAAGGTGGAGCTAAGTGCTTGCTTGGTGCAGCGGGACTTGGGACATTGGGGAGACTTGTATTGGGGAGTCTCGTAGTCGTTGAGGAATTGGAAGAGTGGCGCAAGGCTGGGTTGGGTGTAGAAGGCCATTGTTTTGGATTTTTGGTTTGAGAAAGTTGGAAGAGTGGTAGATTGTCTGAGAGACTGTGATGATTGTGTTCTGTTTGATCTGTTCTGTTTAATTGTCGTGGAATATCTGCCATTTTATATCTGTTGTTTCATAGTACCTGAGGCTGATTGCTTATACTCCGGCGGAAGCATCTAGAAACTAGTGGCGCCGTCTACAAGCCGCCAGCAACGTCAAGAATCAACCACACCATTCCATACCTCAATCATTCTAATAACTCTGACAAATGACTCTCTAGATAGACTGAATAATTACTGATTGGTAATTACTCTTGAAACTCGAAAGTTCCAGGACTTTACAATGAGTCAATGGTGGCGATATGGTATACAACATAGGTAGAACATTCGATGACAAAGCCCTAATAACTCAACAGTTTATGATATACTATTATACAAAATGCCTCCAAAATGAGGGCTTAATCACGTCATGCATGGCCATGTCTTTTGGAGAACATGTCCAACATGTTCGCAGGAATCCGTCCTGGGTGGAACCGGCGATACTAGAGATCTCCGATTCTATTCCAATGAGTGAACTGGTGGAGATATAAGGCTGAAAGGCGTGAGACATACAAAACAAGCCCTGTACTCCGTAGGCACCCCGGAGAATTAGGATCCTGGGATCTGGCTCCGCTCATCGGATATTGCGGATTCCCGGGGTAGCATACAGCTCGAGCTGTCGATTTCCTTTGCGCAAGAGATACTCAATTGTGCTAAAGTCTTTCTTATTCACCGAGATATGTTTTTGGAACTCTGCCCTGTATACCGTCTTAGCCGGATTGCACCGATATCTAGGGGGATAGCTGTCGGGAAAGGAAAAAAGAACGGAAAGGAAAGAACAGGGAGATAGGAAGATAGGAAGATAGGCAATTGATAAAGCCTTACCGAGCATAGTTCTTGAAATTGATCCTGGAGTCCTACAATAGAATGTATCAGTTGAGGCCGACGTCGGATGAAGTGACATAACCCACCTCCGGCTTATTTCGGATCTCTCGTAGGCATTTTCGGTATAGAGACAGAACGTCCCTCTGGAGACCGGAGAGCCTGGCCATTGCGAATCAATATGAAAAGGGGAAAAGCTTGCGAATCATTGGGTGGAGCTGATGTTTCCCGCTCTGGGGAAAAAGAGGTTCCCGGCCGAGTGCCCAGATATCACCTTCTCCATTCTCCAACGAACTTTCAACTTCCCCATATTCCCCCAATGACTACTTTTACTGTAAGAGTGAAAATTGATTAAATGCAAAGTACTCATTATATCAACATATACTAATTTTCCTAAATAGCACCTCATCCGCTTCCTGGCCAAGGATGGCCAAATCTATTATGGTGATGCTATCCTCCCATCGGGAGTGAGCGATATCGCCAAAGCCACTAAAGCCAGAGTCATCCAGGGTGACATCTTTGGTCAGCACCGGGTTACCGACCAGATCGTCGATGTGAGAATGCTCCTCGCACCCCTGGCCCGTAAGGATATCGGCACAGTCCGATGCCTGGGTCTGAACTATGAGCAACACGCCAAGGAATCAAACATGCCCATCCCAACATATCCAATCTTGTTCTACAAGCCCATCACTTCAATTTCCGGCCCCACAGATGATATCCCCGTGGCCCAACTTGCCCAGGAGGGCGAGGGTCTGGATTACGAGTGTGAACTCGTCATCGTTATCGGAAAAGAGGCTACTAATGTCTCCGAGAGCAAGGCTTTGGATTATGTCCTGGGCTATGCTATCGGCAACGATGTTTCCCACCGTGATTGGCAGATCAAGCGTGGTGGTGGTCAGTGGTCACTGGGTAAGGGATTCAATGGATGGGCTCCGTTTGGTCCTGGTATTGTTTCTTCCAGTGTGATTGCCGATCCGAATAACTTGGCTATCGCGACCAAGTTGAATGGGCAGACTGTTCAGTCTTCCTCGACTAAGGATATGATCTTCGGCGTGGCTAAGACGATAGCTTTCCTGTCTCAGGGAACTACACTCATGCCTGGAGATCTTATCTTCACTGGAACGTAAGTACACCCTGGTAAGCAAAGAAACAGGCGTTTGAATTTGATAGACTGACTGTTTGGCAGACCCCAAGGCGTGGGTATGGGTCGCAAGCCTCCTGTGTGGCTGAAGGACGGCGATGAAGTCGAGGTTTCGCTGGAGGGCGTTGGTTCTTGTGTCAATCGGGTGGTCTTTGACAAGCCTAGCGCCAAGCTCTAAATTTATCTCTCTTGAATGCCTTGAGACCAATGAAAGGATTGGCTCCCTAGTTCAAGTTGTATATAACTCCCTACGCGTCTCAGCCTTTGCAATTCAATCATTGAGGTTATTTGGACCCAAAAAATTATCTTTGTATCCGTAATCCCGTGTGCATTACATGTAAAAGAAGGACATAAATAAGAATCTAAGCAGTCTGGGCGCCGTATCCCCTGATTCGCTCGGCAAAGGCCCAGCTCTGACCCTGAATCTGCTCATCCTCCTTCAGATCAATACCATCCTTCGTGATCACGGCTATCGAGTACTTGTCGCTACTCCGTGCATCGCGGTAGAACAGAACCTTCAAACACGCCTTCACAGCCTCAACGGCCTCTTCCTTGCTGACTTGTTCAAGGGGTGTACCCTCGGGGAACTGGCGGCGCAGAATCGGAACCGCAAGATGAGCACCAAAGCCTGTAGCCAGGTGAGGAGCTGAGAATGTCGTTCCGAGCAAATCTGCCGAGCTAAGGAAAGGCTCTCCTTCGGCATCGAAGCCTGCGACCAGGACGTGGTTCCACAGCGGGTTGAACTCGGAGCGTCGTTTGTAGAAAACCTTTGCAAGGTACGTGTGTAGGTTCTTGGCGTTGAGCATGTTGCCGTGAGGCGAGTAGTTCTCCTTGATATCCATGGAGTCGAGGAGACGGTCGAGATATTGCATATCGGAAACGTCACCGCCAAAGCCAACCATTGCCTTATCGCCGAAATTACGCAGACGCTTCGTATCGGAGAAACGAGCCAGGGATCCGTAGGAGGCTATATATTCACAAAGAATATCACGTTAGATGGCAATGCAGCAAAGGAAACGGAACATGACAATGGAACGACATACCCAGGTTGTCGGTAGCTATAACCACGCCGCCATTAAACTTGACACCCACCACTGACGTTCCGGTCACGGCAGGGGATGAGGTATGGGCCTTAGGGCCTGTGGTCTGCAAATATGAGTGGTCGTAGGCACCGTAGACATCGTTCCTGGGCTGGATGGATAGTTAGCAACAGAGCAAGGACTGGGAAGGTTGTGCCACCTACGCGACCCCAAGCTTCAGGGGAGTGGTTCATGATGAATGAAGATAAATGATAGTTTCAACGGGGTTCGAAAAAGGGAGGTAAATTGCAGACAATGAGGGAAGACAACAGATGGATAGCACAGTGAAGTGATGACGATAGATGGGAGCTATCTTAGGCAGTCGAGCTGACGGAGAGCTTGGCTGACTAAGATTCGCGGTAACCCGTGGACGGCGGAGCCCTGGAGGAGACCATACAAACATGTTAATCCTTTAAATGTGAATATTTAGGAAGTAAAAGGAGATAATTGGTTATAATATACTTCACTAGTTACTCCAGAGGACAATACTTTTGTCCAACCTAATTTAGTGCTCGTATTCGCTTCCAAAGGGACAATCCCACTTTTTCTGGTAGAATGCTTCGCCTCAAAACTTATATACTACATCGATGGCTGTGCCCCCGGCAATTTCCCTCCATTTGAAGATCTTGAATAACCAGACTCTTTTCCTGGAAATTTTAATGTCTTCTCCGGGCTCAAGTCGTGCTGGGTCAACGGCATCTGCCCATCCCGTTGACGACAATGGCCCCTCACGCGTGTATAATATCACCAACCGGCTCTTCCACCGGCACTATGATATCAACTCGGATGATGACCAGCCTCTGTTTTACGGCGAAATATCTATGTTCACCCCCAACAAGCCCGACCTTATTCTCCATGCTGGTACCAGCACCCGGGCCCCAATTGTGGCCGTCTCCAAATTTTTGAAGTCGTCCGGTGACTACAAAATAGGCATTGGGAATCCCGATGATGTGAACGCCGTCCAGTGGGAGGATTTGACCAAGGAGCTCATTCATAAACCAAAATACCGCTTCGAAATGACACTTCAATGTGGATCTGATCAAACTCAGAGCGGGAGGCGGTCATTCCTGTGGAAGCGAACACGAACCGTTGGCGTTGAAAATTCAGCACCGTCTAAATGGACCGGCCGGAACTATAAGCTCGTTGATGAACACAGCGAGCAGATTCTTGCCGTCTTTTCAGGTGCGAAAAGACTGGGCAAAGGTGGGAAACTTCAAATCAGAGTGGAATACGGAGAGGACTTTGATCGAATGGTGTTGATTTCTTGTTTAAGTCTGTATGAGAAGGCGAGGCGGCGCAGACAGAGTGCATCCGGTGGTGGTGGAGGAGGCTGAATTGATCATTGTTCCAATGCATGATCCACAAGTATGATAATATACACGAGTCCATGTGAGCGTTATGTCAATTGAGAGGGTATCGTTGATCCTCTTCTAGGACGCTTTCTAGAGTCATTGGATATACCACAAGGATGTTTCCCCGAGACGGACACATAGTCTTAGAGTTTGTTGACCGAAGATAGAAGAGTCCTTCCTCTTGAGTGATAGGATACCAGAACGGAAGTTCCGTTGTCGGGTAGGCAAACACTGCGTCACTGAATACTCGAAGCATCCAGGTTATGTGCTGAAGCCCCATTTCAGGGCACAATTTCGAATATCTGCATTTCCTGAGGGAACTAATGCACCCGAGGCTATTTGGCCTTGCCTTTCGAAATCTGGCATTAGGATTGGTCTTCTTGGTCCAGTTGCCGCTAAATGAATCCTCAGGCAGACCCAGAGACAAAATCAACCGAGCTTCGCTGGCCCGATGCCTTGTTCTCCTCCGATTGTTTACGGAAATCTTGCTGGGTTCTCAAGAGCTCTTCCTTGAAACCCCATTTGGGTAGATTGGATGTATTCCATAAGTCGGCTGGCAGCGATGTGTCGTATTGCGATTGCTCATTGATCCCAGCATGTTCCATCATCTTCCTCAACAAGCTTGGATTCTTGAGCGACGACGAGCTGGCCAGTTTTGAGTTGAAGTGTACGCCTTGCTTTTTGAGCGAGAGGAAATGCTCAAATTTCGCGTTCGCGGCTGGGTTGGGAGACCCAGGAGGTGATGGCGGGATGTCTAGATTGGGAACCGGAGGGAGAGTGAGATCTTGGACAAGTCCTCGTGTAGCCGAAAAGGGAGACGAGCGTCCGCTTGTCGAATGCTTATCCTCCGAGAGGGGCGCCATGTCCATAGACGCGGGGCCAAGGACAGGTCCTTCTGGGACCGAATCGGTGGCGACGGAAACGGGCGTCTCTTTTGGTTGTTGGTGAGACGATTTATGATCTAGACATCTTGTCAGCGCCTACCCTTAGAGCATACTGGCGGAGAATTAAGAAGCATGTTACCTTCCTCCTGGGCAGCTTGCGAGGTTGTAGATGGGATATCTTTGTTACGCTGTTGCTTCGGAATCAGCGACTCTTCAATGCTATCCTTTCGGGGCTCAAAGTACCTGGGAATTGGGTGAAGGACCCTTTTGCTCTACCTCATCCTCACTACTGCTCTCATAGTCACCGAGACCAAGCATCACGTCGCAGTTTGTGGAAGCGTCGAAATTGAAGGAAATCAAAAAGGCACTGGAATAAGATCCAGAGGTATGGACAAGTTTATCACTCGAACCAGTGTAAGTCAATCTTAACGCCCAGGAATAAGTGAGGCGCGGAGAGTAACTATCCAGACAGCCCTTCAGGGCCCTGGAGCTTGGATATTCTTACCTAATCAGAAGGCAGCTACCGCATCGCGTCAGACACCCAGCTTCTTTGCTCTCCATCTTCCAGAACTCCCCAATCCCGAGAATCCTCTACATTCAACACTTTAATCTTTTTCACCAAGCTGTCATTGTGATATTTTCTCCTGATCAAGCTCCATCTCGCCGAAAATGACGTCGCTCATGGGTAACCAGTCTGGGACTATTGGATACTCC